CATACCAACTTCGCTTAATTTACAATCTTCAAATTTAACTTTAGCATAGTAATTTCTCATGACCACATCGTCATAGTCTTTTCCATCGAATGGGGATTTGCCTGCAATTAAAATAAACATGAGTATTCCAACACTGTAGATATCAACTTTATAATCATAGAGCTTATCTTATAATAGTTCTGGTGCAACATACCCTGGAGTTCCACATCGAGTGAAAAGATATTAACCATTTGGAGAATAATAATCTGCCAATCCAAAGTCTCCTATACAAATATTATCAAGATCATCTTTGTTTCTTAGCATAATATTTTCAGGTTTGAGATCTCTATGTAATACACCCTTTTCATGTATTGAATGAACAGCTTTCAATATTCTATAAATTAGTTTTTAACATTTCTCTTCTGAAAAGGGATGCGACTTCTTGATAAACTAATATAGTTCTCCACCTCTCAAATATTCCAAAACCAAGTACAAACATTCCGGTCCTTCAAAAACCTCGTATAATTTAATGACAGATTCATGTTATATTTTCTTCATGATTGATATTTCTTTGATCATTGATAATCTATCAATTTTCTCCTTCAATTTACTCTTTCTGAAGCACTTAATGGCATATTCAGCTCCATCCAATTTGTTTGTTGCCTTGTAAACCTACAATAGGAAAATTATTTACTTCTGCAAAATTTCCTTGTCCTATCTTCTTTAACAAAGTGTAACTTTAGGAAAAATTTCTTTATACACAATATTATCTCAAATAATTATACCAAGGTTCAACATCTCCGAAGAACTCAAAGTATTGTTTATGTTTTGAAATTCTAATTCCCACTCCTGCAGTTTAATGTTTGATGTATTCCATTGTAGAATTGTTCAAATTAACCCATTTTTAAACAGTCTATTAGTTATTGTTTACTATTTACTTATTGTTTAAAATAAAGTAAGTAATGATACTAAATACCTAAAGTGCATTTGTGAAACTCTTAATCTTTTTAGATGTACATAGAATCTTGCAAATGTAAAATTTAATCTTAACTGGGTAGACTATTATTAATCCAGAAGGTGGTAGTTTCAGGATCATCAAAAAAAGAATCTTTAATTTTCTCATCCATTTTTCTATAATATTAAATAAGTGAATAAAAATAATTACAGATGATATAAAACCTTACAATTTTCAAAACAAATATCAATTTTAGAAAAAGTGTATCTTAAGGAATTCATCATAAGTCGCTTATATGAGAATTAAGACTGGTATCAATTTTTATAAAATAAGAATCCATCTAATTAATAAATATAATTTTTAAATTGATATTTATTATATATTCTATTGCTATCCAATTTTTATTAGTTGGCCATCTCACCCTTTTCAATCATTAACAGCGTTATATTTAGGAATAAATTTAGTCTTATTCAACTAAATAATTCTGGGGTAGTTAAATCTATAATTCCTTTTAAGGTGCAGTCACCTATTAAATACTTAGATTTAGAAGACAATATTTAAGAAACATGTCTTTCTAGATTTATATTAAGTCACTGATATTTTCAAAATCGAATTCTTTATGATTTAATAATAATTATGTAATATAATCATGTAATATTATCATTTCTTAACTCCTCTCACATCTGCTTAGGATCTATCACAAATGGTATTCAAACCCCCGTGATTCTTATCTATTGTTGATGGTCCACCATTTGCATGAACTCCTGTGTATAAGTTTTTATCGTCATGGAATTTCACAGCGTCGGCTTTTGTACCTTAAAAGTGAGGTCCACCAGCATTAAGAATTTGATTTTAAACATCTTGAATTCCAACTCCCTTCTTTTCAGCCATCATTTACAAACCCTTTTCAAATTAAGCATAGGTTATTGATCTAGCTGCTGGTGTGGGTTTGATTTTAGCAAAGATTAAATCTACATCTGTGGATGTCAATTTCTTATCTAAGAGATGACAATCTTTGGAAACTTTAGCAAAGGTTTTTCCATCCATTTCTGGTTTATTTGCAGTGAATTGCAAAAATACTTATTAAACAGTGCCTTACATATTTTTATTATTATCTTTTTTTCTTAATTATACTGTGTTTTTATAATATAAAATATTAATTCCAGTGAAAAATATAAACAAATTATATAATTACAAACTTTCAATTTGAAGCCATTTTTAATAATTTTAATAACATTTTAATACAGACTTCCTTTGGATTATGTAAAAATATTAGGTAATTGTGTTTGATTTCTTTAAGTAAGAAATAGTTAAAATAGTATTCTTCTTAATAAAATTCTTGAGTTCTTGGGTTAACTAATAAACATTAATCCTAGATGCAATATCTCACTTAATCATTAATTTATCTAGAAGTTAATACTATTTCCCTATATATGCCTAAAATCAGATAATAACTAACTCAATTTTCAACTATCCTAATAGATAATAAGTTTTGAAAATAAAACTTGATAAAAAACTCTTAGTTGATTTTATGTCATGGCATTGCTTACAATTACATTATCTATTTAAATAAATCATTTTTTGTAGTTTATCAATAAATTTTGATCGAACTCATAAAGTTTGAATCTTCTCCGCTTAATTCATATGTGAAATAAATTGCTCTTCATGAAAATCAGCAATTGGAACATTATTTAGTTTTTTAATGATCTAATATTTTTCTTTTCTTTCAATGTTAGAAATCTTATATATTTCTAAGTAATCTTCAATTTAAAATAATGCATTTTTAAACTTACAGTAAGAATCACAAGTTATAACTTTTTGTTTTCTTCTAACAAATTTCATAATATTATTTTAATAATTATTACAACAAATTTTTTCAATATTAAGACAATCATAAAAATTTAATAAATTATTTGTTTCTTCATTTAATTTTAAAGAAAAATTAAAAAGCTTCCTAAATTAAACTAATTAGATTTTTTTTGACAGCTTTAATTACTTTTATGCTGAGAATTCTAATATATTTGTTTGTTGTATCAAAACTCTAGAGATTTGATTTATAATCTAAAAGAATTTCTACATTTTATATGTCATTTGCAGATATTTCCTATAGACCTTTACTTTTACCACAAAAAATGTCAATATTTTCCATAATAATTATAAAATCACAACAGAATAGAAATTTATTTATTACACTAGTTTTAGCGCAAATTATATGAAATCCTCTGTAAATATCAAAAAAAAGATGATTTTTGATATGTAAAATTTATAAATTTTAAATTAAATTCATAATATTCAACTCTTTGTTTAATAGTTGACTAATTATTTATTATTATGTGAAAGGAAATTTATTCTAAGTTTGAAGCTGGATGTTTTTACTAAATTTATCTATTCAGAATTAATAGTATGCTTTCAAAATTATTATTTATTCTTTCCATCCAAGATATATATTTGATTTGGAGTATCTCTCAAACGAGAATTTACTATATAACCTACTTCCTATATACAATCTGATTGCTTCATTTGTTTTCAAAATTTGGATTAGAGAAGTTCATTAAATTAGTATCATTTTAAAGAACATGGGAATAAGTATTATTTCATTGATCATCTTCGTTTTGTTTTTATAAAGAAGCTCTTGTTGTGGATTAAGGTCTAATTTATATAGATATATAGGTTAAGGTGGTTATGAATTAAATTTCTTAACAGATGAGTAAATTATATTAATTTTTTCAATAAATGAGTTAAGAGCGTCTAGAATAAAGACCAGAGACATCTAAATGTTCTCGCTTAGAAAAAAGAAGAATGACAAATTAGAATTCTCAAAGAAATCGAACAGCAATTTAAAGCAGAACAGCCCAGAATTTTAATCCAAATAGTTACAATGGAATGACTTTAGACGAATATTTTAGAAAAAAAGGATAAGACAATAGTATTTAGTAGGTCGAGAAAAAAAAGAAAGTAAAATACTTAAATGATTTAGTTTTTGGTTACAAGTAATGAGTTCTTCAAGGAATTCCAAAATTAAGATGCAATGAGAAGAACATATATGGGTGATAGCAAATATATGAATATGAAATAGGATCTGAAAAAAAAAATATAGGATTATGATAAGGATTTGTTTTAGAAGTATGCTAATAAATTTGATCTGGGAAATGGTTTAGGAAAGTGAATTTATTATATATATTCACGATTTTTAATAAAATAAATAAAAGATTTCAGTAAACTAAGCTAGGTTATAATCCCTAATGCAGCTTAAGTGAAAATCAAATGGTGAATATGCATTGTGTTCTCTTCTGTATATTAAACTTAAAGGAATATACAATAATAGTTAATAATTATAGATAAATGTCTCAATTGGTAATTTATAATGAAAATGAAGAAGAGAAATATATACAGCCAATGTATTTCCTCTATTTAAAGGAATTGAAAAGCACTTAGCTGAAGGTAAAATAAATATCACAGTATTACTGTAGAATATATTACATTTATGAGCAGGAATATTTTTGATATACTCTTATTTGAAGATGCTCATGCACTATTAACTATTATTATTTTATTCCCTCTTTTTATTTTCCCGTTTTTTGATCTTGAATTACAAATTTAGGTCTTTGATCAGATTCTGATATTAGAAGATTTAGTTAGGAATCAGGTTTAATTCTTATCTGAATTTACTTTAAATTTGTTGATATTTTCATCAAAATATTCCTTTAATTTCAGGACTTAGTTTAAGCTTTGGTATCAATTTTAGAATAGGATTTCTACTAGTTCTATGTAATTTTGTTCCTTACTTAACCTAGGTACTTCATTAAAGTAAATTAAAGTCTATATTTAATAGTTAAACATTCAATTTAAAGATTATTTTCTTACTTTTCAAAGGATTAACTTTCACCTCCTCTTTTATTATTCAATTATTCATTGGTTTGAATATGACTATGTTCTATAAATTACCTCAACCTGTGGTTTATCTTTTTTAAATTAATGAATCTCTATTAATTAAGAAGGATGAATGATTTAATATTTGAAATAATACTACTTAAGTTTATAAAATATAAATATTTGATTTAATAAATCATAAAATGTGAACTTTTGCTAAACACGATAAACTAAAACAAAAATAAGCATATAATAAATAGCTTTTTATTTAAATTTCTGCTTTTTTATTGCTCTAAATTAACAAAAAATAAATACTCTTAAATTTATTAAGCTTAATGATAAATTATCTAGTTGTTTATTAAAAACAAGCATAAATTAATTATTATCATTATCAGGAAATAACAAATCAACTTCTTCTTATTCAATTAATTATTTATCCTTCTAAACATAACATCCTTAATCATTAATTAGAATTAAATTTTCTTCATTGCCCTCTTCAGATAAGCTGCATTTATTTAATATCCCTGTGTACAATCCGAACTTACTCTTTCCATCCTTATATAAAATATCCCCTTCATATTTGAATGTCAATTTTATCTAATCTTTTGCTAAGTCAAGTAGGTTTGGGGTAAGAATTGCCAATTTTTCAATATCAGTTCCAGAAATTAATTCATAATCACGAATTTCAATTGTATTAAAAACATTTTCCCTTAAAATTTATGGTTAAAAATTATTCATTCCATAATTTTTATTAATTTTGGCTGACAAGCCTTATGTAATTATCTTATTTCTCGCTTAGGATTAATTGGGAACGAATAATTATTCAAATGATTTTCCATCAAATTGCATGGAATTCAATTGTTTTATTTTTTCACTTAAAGCTTTATCAAAATAATTTGATTGAAAGTCCAGTTGAGATAGACTTTAGGAAAACTAATAAAAATCTTTTGATGTCCAATCTAATATATTTTGGGATAATTAAATTTAAAATATAGGGCAGTGTTAAAAAGCAAATTTTTATTCTATTTGCTTTCTTACTTTTTTCAGAAACCCTTCAATTGCTGTTTCTGTATCTGTATATGCATCCTTTTTCTATTTCTATATTACATTAAGTTATTAAGGAATATCACAAATTAAGAAGCAGTCTTGTATATGAGTTTTATGATCAATCAAACATCTATCACAAATTAGTCTGTTTTTATTACAACTCTTTTATTAACATACTCTTTTGATTATTTGATCAAAACAATTATCATTCTGGCAAAGAACACTTACTTAATCCATAATTTAATTATATCAATAAAAATTTATTAGAAAATAGGTTATAAAACAATGTAATTGTAACGAGGGAAGACTGATAAACAAAGATTAATACAAAAGATAAGATGTTCTTATCAAATGTAAACGTGAGAATGCATCAGTAATTTATTCGTAAATTACTTATTTAATTAATTCATTTTATTTGCATACTTTCATCTTCAGTTTGAACTTTTTCTTGAGAATTACTCAGCTAACTTTTTAAATTAAAAATAATATCAATACCCAGTAGGAGATAGCTCCAAGTCTTTATTCAAATTCTCTATTTGAAATTCTATTTTCTGGGTTCCTGCAAATACTAAGTCATATGCTTGTGAAATTGGAATGAAATCTTATCTTGAAATGTATTTTTATAGAAAAGCTTTCTTCTCTATTTATTCAATAAAACGCTTAGGCAATCTAAACATGGGTCCTTTGTATATTATAAACTCTAGAAAAGCAATGAAGGCAAAAAATAACACTGAATACCGAGTTTGTTAAAATAATTGTAAAAACAATAGCAAGCAGATTAAATAATATCTGTCTTTTATCACTAACCCCAAAAATATAAACTCTGTTTCCGCATTAGTTTTAATAAGAGTTCTAAGATTTTAATGATTAAGTACTTGCTTGCAATAAAATAAACCGCGACATTCCAAAAACCAAAATGATTGGAATACATCATCTCTAGATCATAATTAAACAAACAATATAATCTGACTATTAAAAAGATACATGCCTAAATATTAATGAAACAATACCATTCCAATACTGTTTTTGATTATAAATTCTAATAAATACAAAATGCTTCCCAATCTTTTTTCTGTATTGTTTAGATCAGGCAAACAACATAAATTAAAGATGAGTGACAAAATAGACCCTATGTATTAGAATTTATCCTATACCTTAAACAAATGCTGATGTTATCAATTGCCAAATACAAACATATTACAATGAAATTGGCTAAAATTTGAGCTGATCACCAATAAAAAGTTCTATAATCCAAAATATAGCAGCAATTATTGTAAAGAGTTTATTTACTATTGGAGTAGATTGCCAAAAAGCAAATATTTTATTCTGATTAAATTAATTCATATTATTTAAATAATATTAAGAGAACCTGTTTTTGTTTGTTAATATCAATAAATTTATAGATATACGCTCTATTTCAATGATCCCAAGGGACAATTAATAAAAATAAGATAATTTGAACTAACATGGTCCATTTTATACATTCTTAAGATTGAATGAAAAGTACAATTGTATTGCTGGGAGTCTTATATTTCTGAGGATTCAAACAAACATAAGATGGTAATACAAATTTATTTAAAATAAAGTAAATTATATTATAAATTAACTAAATTATATAAAATTTAAAATATTTATATATTTTATTTGACAGTTGTCAAGTTAAAAAAGATATTTATTATAATCAACGAATTTAGATTGGCTGATGCTCTGCTTCTTTGTGTTGAAATAAATTAATAGTTGATAATATAAATTGTGCACACTTGATTGTAACAGTATTAATTTTAATAATACGTATTTCATGCATTATAAGTGAATATGGTTCGAATCTTGTGATTTAAATATTCTTTTGTAAATTATGAATTCATTCTTGCTCTATGATCAACAATTTCTTATTCAGCAATAACTTTTGCTTCAATAACTTGTTCAATTCAACTCGTTGATAGCTCTGAGGTAAGCTTTACCCTTAATGTTTGTTTAGAACTGCTTGCTCTCTCCAAGCATAGTCAAGTCCTTAGATTTAACCCCGATCTCCTCAAGAAACCCAAACAATCGAACATAATACTATAATGAATGATGAATAAAGTTCATTTGAACTATCTAAATCCCAAAAAATATAGAAAGTCATCAAAAAATCAAAGGAAACTAAGTCTAACAACCAAAATTCTTCTCAAAAACAGACTAAAAAAAAGATATTCTTATCTATGAAAGACATCAAGGACGTCCAATATAAAAAGTATTAAGTTTAATTTATCTAGAAATGGAATCCCAAATGAGAACAAAAATGAAGTGGTAGTAACGAAATAAGAAGAGAAGAATTGATTTGTAATATACTCTCCATTATTTTTTAAGTCAATGTCAAATCCTTTTTTTTAACATTCCTTTTTAAACTAAAAGTATATTAAACATATATTTTTATAAAAAATCATTATAAAAGTCCACTAACATTAGCTTCTTGAGGAGATTAGGGAGACTTTAGACAAGCGTAGAGCAACCATTCATTATAAGGGATTATATACATTTATATAATTTTAATGAGAAATAAATCGTATGATCCGTCATTAAATAAATTGCATCGATTTACCATGATAAATTATAATAAATATATATAATTTATAATAATAATTATTTACATTGTAAAAAATTTTTATTAAATAATCAATTGTATCTTATTGTTTCCTCTTTATATTACATTAATATCTTACAAACAATCTTACTGGATTAATTTGAATAAAATTATAATAATTTTATCAAGAATTTGTATTATTTATGGCCTAATTAAAAAACCTAAACAAACGATGCCTCTCTTGCCACAATAAACTAAATTTTATATAAGCATTCTAAAACTAGAAAATATACATATGACTGCTTAAGAATTCTCAGAATTCAGAAAATAAATAAAAGAAAGAGTTATCAAATAAATAAAGTTAAATAAATAATAATTAATTATGTTGCTTTTCATATTTATTGCATTAGCATCATCACTAAGAATTCAAAAAAACTTTTTCATTTCAAATATTGAGAGGACAGTGCAATTAACTGATAGATATGTCTACATCAAATCTAAAGTAACGATTAACATCATCTTAAGATTAATTTTTAAAATGATGGAGTCATTCCAATTGAAAAGATTTATTATACAATCCATAGTGCATTGTCAGATAAATTATATCATGTCAATATTGAGGAAAGCAATGCAAAAAAAGTAATAGAAGATATGGATGTGAAATACAAATAGAATGCAACAGTCTATGAATTTACATTATAGAAATCAATTGAACCTTCTGCCAATTTAGAAGTAGAATTAAATGAATATTATTATAAACGATTCAAACCAATGCCTAAAGAAATTGGAGTTGAGGTATTCTGTGATTAATAATAAATAGGATGAATAATTAGTCCAATTTATGGATTCCGTATATTTCTTCACTCCTTATTTTGTTCAGAATCAAATAACGTATTATGAAACTCAAAAAATTATGTAAATACGCACATTACCTATAGCTCTTATACACTAAAATCAGCTACTCAGAGAAATCAACTTCTAGAATTTGGGCCATACTAAGACATTAAGGCTTATTCGACTTAGATTCATACAATCCATCTAGAAAACAACACACCAATGACTGTTTTCACAAAGGCATCTAAAATCGTTGAAGTATCTCATTGGGGTAATATTTTAATTGAAGAAAACTATTCAATTGAAAATCAAGGAGCAAAGTTGAAAGGTGAATTTGGAAGAGTTAATTTTAATAAATACAATCCAAACATAGGAAAACACTCTTTGAAATAACTATCTGCATCACTCCCATATGATTCTTGGGGTGTTTACTATAGGGATGAGATCGGAAACATTTCAACATCAAATGCTGCTAAAGGGGTAACATTCATAATTGATTATCTTAGAAACTTAATGGGGAAAATTAAGCCTTGATCTAATTAAGACCCAGATTTGCAATATTTGGAGGATGGAGAAGCAATTTTACTTTAGGGTACAATTTACCAACAAAAAAGTATTTGACATCAATATCATTTAGATACCTGGAATAAGATGGAAATAATTTTAGATTAACTTTGAATTTCTCCTTCTCTGTCAAGGAAATGGTATCTGACTCATATAACTTTTAAATTTCCTTACCTGAAGGAGCCTATGACATTAAAGTTGATTTGCCTTTGTAAGTGGAAAGGAATGATACATTATTGTTTTCTTACTTTGATACAGTTGGCAGACCTACAATCATTTTGGATAAAACTACAACAAGCCAATTCGATAATAAGCAAATTATTGTATAACTATATTTTAACACAGATCACTTATAAATTTTCTGGAATATCTATATTAAGAGAGCCCTTGATGATTTTTGGAACATTTTTGTTTGCCTTTTTGTTGATAATATATTTAAGAAGATTAGATTTGTAGACCTTAAAATTAAAAGAGTGATATATTTTAAATTCATATATTAAATCATTAATCCTAAAGAATGGTCAATTTGTTTCCTATTTATAAAGACTATTAGATTATCCTTTTGAATTATTCCCTCAAACAAAATTATAGATCAAATTTTTTAATATCGTTTTGAACAATTCTTGCAATTTATAGAAATTCTTATGATATTTCTTTTAATTCTATTTTAAGGCAGATTATAACAATATTTTCTAAAAAGGATTTCACAATAAAAAGATTAAAATTGTGTTGATGCAAATTATGTAATTTTCAAATCAGCCATGTAGTCTAGTCTAACTTATTATATTTCCAAATAATAGATGTAAAGGTAAGGAAAGCGGTAATTAGTTTATTTGAGTTAGACTCCTATTAACAAATATTAGTCATTATAATAATGTATTTAGATTTAATGTATTATTTAATATTATCACTAATCATTATTATTCTACGTTTAATTCGACATTAATTCCTGGACCAATCTTGAAGTTTGTAATATCTTTGAAAGCTGGTAGAGTGCATTAGAAATCAATTACTCTTTTGTGAATCTAATTCTTAATTAATTGTATTACTCTCATTTCAAATCTATCCCAAGTCTTTGAACCTTCACCGCAAGGACTCTTTCTGACAGTCATTTTAAGATGCTTTGTTGGCATTCTAACTGGTCCTTTGAATACAACTTGTGCACCTTAATCTCTCTTAATGTTGAAATGTAATCATTACTTGAAGTCCTCTGGTCTTTTCAATAACTTAATTAGTGAAATTTTCCAAATCTTAAGCACTTCTAGATGTAACAATCATTCTAATTTTTTTAGTTTATTGTTCATCTTCTACTTTCTTCTCTTTCAAGTCAGTCATAATATTTTTGGTTTTTTAAAATATATTTTTAATAAAAGATTTAAAATATATTTCCTCTATTTCTTCATTTATTATATTATTATATTCACAAATTTGGCAATCCTTTATTGATTCGACATCCCTGTCCAACTATATCTTATGATGAGTCAATGGCATTTCTTGCATATTCTATTTTAATATTCGATAAACAAAGTTTCAAAGACTTTACAATGAGTAATATGATATTCGATATCAATATAAGCGAACTGCAATCAATACTTTAATCTCATGATTCTTAAACTAATATATATAGAAAATATAATCTCAAACGACTCTTATTATTTATATAAAAGTATTCAAACTAAGTTTATTACTTGACACATTTGGATTGATTCATCATACGAGGTGTTCAGCATAAAATTATTGATGACTTTAAATTTAAATCAATAAATTGGTATTGATTGTAACTATTCATTTGCAATTAGTCTTTTTCATCTAAAACTAAATCTTATACTTCTTATTTAGGTACATTAGTAAATTCTAAAGACTCTACTATTGATAATTATTCTTCCGAAATATGTTATATTATTTAAATGATTAAATCCCAAATTAACAAAGCCATCATTTTATCATAATCTATCTTAGATGACAGTCCAGAATTCTGGATACAAAGACCTTAAATATTAATTCAATTCCAACTATCAGACGAACTCTCAATCGTTAATAGGAATAGATTAATCCAAAAAACAATTTATTTCGGAGGTTATTATCTAAAATATGGAGATGATGTATGAATAATCTCTATAATTAAACAGAAATTCCTTGACGTTAGGAATCTATTTCTTGAGATCGTTTACCATCCAAGAACTTCTCAAACAGGATTCAGATTAAGTAAAAATGGCGAAAAACTGGATGCCTACGGAGACATCTAAAATTGGGTTGAAGTCTTAAGAAAGTATACAATCTAAAAGAATTTATAACAAAAATACAAAATAATCAAGAAAATAGGCGAGGGAAGCTAATTTCAAGTATTTTTTGACTTTATTTTTCTAAAAGGTATTCAAAATTCGAGACAAACTAACTGGATAGTAAAATGCTGTTAAGATATATGATAAATTGAAACTACTAAATTCTCCTTACTTGTTAGACCTTTTGAAAAAGCAAATTGGTATGAAAAGACAATTTGATCATAAAAATTTAATTCGCCTATAAGAAGTTTATGAAAGTGCCAATCATCTCTACGTCGTGGAAGAGTTGGTTGAAGGAGGAACTTTAGAAAGTAAAATTTCATCAACAACCTTTAACCAACAATAGATCATACTGATCATTAAACAAACTTTAAATGGGTTACAAGAAATGCATAAGAAAGGATTCATACATGGTGATGTCACCCTCAAAGCAATAGGATTCAAGAGTGAGTAAGATTTGGATTCCTTATGCTTATTACATTATTCCAAAGTGATGTCAATCAACGCAGCAAGAAACTCCACCAAAAAAATGTTAAGTTAAAGACCATCCTTAAAGAATGACAAAGCCCATACTTCTGATCTACAATAGTTGGGAATCATTTTGATAAGATTACTTACTGGCTATTAGTTCAATCAATTCAATTTGCCTAGTCAAATGGATGATATCAAAAGCATTTTAAATTTCTAATAAACAAGCAAGGAATTAGAAGTTCTACTTTAACAATTACTTTTAATTGATTTCGAATTGCAATTGAGTGATACTAACACTCCCCTTGAAGTGTTAAAAAATGATATCTTTAAAAAACAAATAGAACCTTAAAATTTCATTCTTAAATATCAAAATCTAAATGATAAAAGAAGGCAAAGTGAATAAAGTAATAGTGATGATGAATCAATGGAAATTCGTTCTAGAGTTAATACATTACCGAATATTCAAGATAGAAATAGTGAGTCTAGAAGTCTATCAAATAGAGTTAAAAATATGGTATCCCCTCTGAAGATATCAAAATTCAATAAAATTGATTCCAGTTAAAAGCCACCCTCACAAAATTCATAAAGAAGACCTAGCAATTTATATCAGCTACCAAGAATGAATCTTATGCCCATGATAAAGTAAAAGGTTTGGTGATTACAATGACATCATTATTTCTCTCAATTCATTAATAATCATTTCCTCTCTATATTATTTTATTTATTTATTCAATAAATTTGACAGATTGAATATTTAATTTGATTGACATTTATGTATAGGAGGACACTCTCACTAGTTTGATTTCTTTGTTAAAAAAAATAGATAATTAATAATTTTATCATCATTTTTGATTAATCTATTAGGCTGCCTAAGATAGAGTTGCCTGAATTGATTTTTTTGCCGCTTCATTAAATCTTCGTTCTTCAATTTAAACTAATAATTTATTATTGATAATTACTTTGTTTTTATAATTTAGACCTTTATACATTTGGAATTAAAAATTGCTAAACTAAATCTTTGATAATAGTTTCATCACTATTGTATTTTCTTTCAAAGTATTCAACAGGAGTATTCATCTTTTGTTTTCTTAGATTAGTCATAATGGTTGCTTGTCTAGTGGCAGCTACAAATGTATTTAAATATGTCTACCTTATTCTATAGTATTCTTAAATATCCAATGCAAATATGTATCTACAGTTCCTTAATGAACTCTCATAATCTGATTGTATTAGACATCTTCTCTATCTCTCAAGATTTATTCTGCCTATCTCGTACCAGCCTCTTGAATTTCTCTTAATCTTCTATCTTCTTCAGCTGAATTCACCATTTGAGCAATTCTCTTCTCCTATTTGATTCTGAGCAACTCTTTGCTTAACATATCCAAAGTATCTGCAATCACTTCTCCTTGAATAGCTTCCAAAGCAGCATTCTTCACTTTTTCTTCATGTTATTACATCAATATTTCCTCTTATTCAGCTTCTGGTAGATCTGGTATTTTAGCAACAGTTAGCAATTCTTCAATCAAGGCAGTTCTCTAGATGAAGATAAAATTAATAAAACTACCTTTTCTTTTCCTTCATACATTATATTCTACATAGCCCTACCTCTAAATAATCTTTATAGGAGGATAACAGCTGAATTCTTTTTATCTTCTGATTGTCTCTTAACTGCTTCTTCTTTGAATTACTCGTAATTTTCAAATTTCATTTCTTATCTCTTGATATCAGCATTTTCAAATTCTTAATTATATGTTGGAGTTGCAGGTCTAATAATGATATTTTTATTCCCAATATGATCTGCTTAAATGTCATTAGATTGATCTTGTTTGTTTGATCCAAATATTTGATTTCTAGCTTTGTTGACTTCCATCTTATGTTGAATTTCCAATCTTGTGTAATCCTTTTCAATAGTTTTAATAAATTGAGCCACATTTACTGTTGTTTCTAAGATAGAAGGTTTAATTGTAGTTGATAATTCAGTCAAACCTTTATAAGTATTTAATGCAACTGGTTACACTTCATATTTGCTAGCTATTTTATCAAGACTCAATCCTTCCCTTGTGATACCAGCATACACTTTAGATGCAAAATTAGCATAATCTTCTATGATTTCTCTGCCCTTATCCTCATTATCAATTTCTTTTCTGCTTTTTTGCATTTTTCTAAGTATTTTTATCTTTCTCTTTTAGATCTTAGCCACCATCCTGTTCTTCAACTCTGTTTTCTTTATTTTAATGCTTTCAATTCTTTAAGCATTCTTTTCTTCTACATCTTTTTCTCTTTCTTTCAATGCCTCTTACAATAAATATAACCTCTCGTTCTGATTTCTAAGTCATTTTAAATCACAATTACATTTTGATATCTGTTTCCTTCTTCTTCCACTCTCTTTCTTCTTATGACTTCATCAACGCTCTTCTCAATTTAAATGAAGCTTCATCGGATATCGGAGGCAATGCATTCTCAAACCAAACCTTTTCTCGATTCCATTCTATGGACTCTAATTCCTCAATTGAAGCAGGTAATCCCTTGTCCCATTTCAGATGTTGCAATGCTAATATTTCTATATTTTGATCTTCGTTCTAATCATGAGCTGGTGTGTATGGGTCTGTCTAGGCCTCAGCCTCTCTATAATCAGTTTAAATTTCAACATCTTTAACCTAGAAAAATAAATGGTAGCAATACTCTTTCTATTGTCACTTTGACTGGAGGAGGTTATTCTTTCACTTATTATACTGGGGGCTGACTCAATTTTATAGGAGTGTCTGTCATTGTAGGCACTAAAGGCCTTTTGAAATACAGAGGTCGAGATGTTCCACTGATGTAATTGTACATGGATAGATTCCTGTATTGATCATGTAAAACATAAGCTTCTTGCATTGAATATATTTTAATTTTATTATTTTTCAAAAAAAAATATAAAAAATAGGACCTACTTGGATTCGAACCAAGGTCTTGAGGGTTAGAGCCTCAGGTACTAACCGCTATACGATAGATCCAGTAATGCTAAGTTATTTGAGAGGAACTAGATATAGTATTCATTTATTCTTAATATAAGATGTCAATATTTGAGATTTATTATTTTCATAACATGCAAGTAAATGCACCCATAATTTGTAGATTAAATGGAATTTTGCAGACAAAGAAGTTATTACATCCTAAATTGATATTCTATAAAATAGATTATAATTTTTTATATTGTCTATCATATGAACATCGTAGAATGAAATTATTATTATTATTTTAAAGATTATTTATGTTTATTATATAAAAAAGCATTATCTACATTAGCAATTCTATAAATTAATCAATTAGAGAGAATCACACTCCACTTGAAGCTCTGGATTATATAATCCGCTATTACATCTGACGGAAGAATGAAAAGTTCATTTTGGTATATGTAAGAACCCATTTGCAAACAAATGACCGAGTGGTATATGAAAAATTCTTGGTGATAAAATTGCTCATAAATCAAAGCCAATTCCCCTAAATTGATTTAGATTGCTCTAACTCTTTATTTAATTGCTAGTATCCATTCATGAGATTCCTAAAATGGTAGAACATGAAAAATATTCAAAAATGAATAAATTAATCATAAAGAAAGAGTTGGACATCAAAAATGAAGCTTCTTAAATTAAAAAGATACAGAGAATTCATGCAAAAAACAGGGATTATCTTGTTGGTTAAATAATTAGTTTTTTGTTGAGAAGATATTTAGGATTACAAACATGGAATAAATGTAGATCAATGTAAGCGTATTATTCGACAAGTTATGATATATATGAGGTTATTTTAGGGAGTTTTAATTATTTTCAAACATGTTATTTTTGAGCTATGAATAGTTTACACAATTTATGGCAAGAAGATAAAACCTGTTCAATTTGAATGAATTATAAATATCTGTTATACTTCCACGATATTAAGTTAAAAATTCTATATTATTAATATAAAAATGGGTAATCAATGTTCAGCAAAGGAGAATTCTTCATCGGATGCACCAATATCAAGAACTACATTATCACGGATCTCAGTTCAAGATAAATTGTTAAAAGATAACAATGCCTTTATAAATTCATGCACTGAAACTTATTTTAAAAAATTTCACAAGGTATTAGAGTAGTAATCTAAAATTAGAAAATAGTGGAAAATGACATACAGGAATTGAGTAAAAATATGAATCAGAAAAAGCTGTTTGTAAAGATAAAAGGAAAGTATCCTGATGATGGTGAATAATAGATAATTTATAAAAAGATTTCTGATGACATGCAATAAAAGGGGAAGCATCTCTACAATTAGCTCATTTTGCATTATAGTTAATTTTTGAATGAGCTTTTTGAATTCCAAGAAGAATTCCCTTTAAAATCCATGACTTCATATAATTATGGGGATGTAAAGACCAGTACACAACTTGTGAGAAATGTAAGTTTCAAAAGAAGTTAGTCTGAGAATTGTAGGGTTTAGCAACCATCATTGCCAGATTAAAATATGACTTAATAATCAATTAATAATTAAAATATTGCTAGGCAATTTTTCGAGAATAAACAATTGGCATACTTATTTTTAGAATAGTTAAGTTGCATATTTAAACTTTGTTCTACTATTATCGAATACACTTATGGCTCATTCATTTCTTCAGTATTTGGCAGTGATATTGACGCTTTTACAGATCGGCAATTATTTGTTTATAAGATATATTAAAAGGACATTTTCAAATCAATTCCTTATATGTCATCATTGCTTTCCAATGCCTTACCAATAGTTTACCACAATAGATCTGCTCTAATTAGCAACGATTGTGCATCCCCTCCAATTTTGGACCAAAGTTTAATGCCTTTAGTGACTGAGAACATTTAGAGTGAGCATTTCTTTGGTTTATTGGATTCAACAGAATAAAATATAGGGCAGTAATCAATATTCAATGAATAGAGTTGGAATACATAGCCTTATTCATAGACATTTGCCTTAATTAATAACATTATCAATTGTAAAATGCCTTGGTTGAAATTTAAACTGATAGGCAAATTAGATAATTTAATTGTGGAGATCTTTTTATCATCTCGATCCAACAATTAGATCTCTCATTTTAGAGATATCATTCAACCTGAAGATTCTAAAATTGAAGTGTTAAAATATATATTACAAAAATACATGAGTTCCAGCAAAAGTTAGAATCTATTGTTGTGCTATTATTATTTAAGATGGATGCAGGAATATGATTCAGTAATACATTAGAAATTAAAGACATTTACATGTCCTTATTTTGTTCGATTTATTTCATTATATGAGGTGGCATACAGTTACAATTAAAAAAGATCACCAATGCTTTAATTTAATTAATGAGTTTATTTAATGTTATTTTTATTATTTTTATAAATCGCTTATGCAAATCAAAACGAAGACTATGTTCGCTTTAATTCCACTATTAGTGCCAATCTAAGATACGGATAATTTATACAATTAATTCCTAATAGCTTTGGAATGGGATTAAACAATCAATCTCCAATTGTAGATGGGACAGCCATTATTAATTTGACCATTGGCTCTCCAGCGAAGAATGAATTCGATTTTTTTATCTTTGACTCTCCTTACAATCAATTTTATGTCTGTTACATTCATTTTTCAGAGAGATCAGGGAATGTATGTTAGCAATTAGTATCCAATATTTGTCAACCTTGCCCCAAAAATTAAATCTACTTTTAAACTTTAGTCTCAGTATTTTTGTAAGCTGTGATGAGTATTCAATTAAATTATTAGACGCAAATTTCAGATGCTACAAATATGAACTCATTATGTTTTTTGGGATGTCAGAGCGATTAAGTAGGCTCGTTCATAATATCTAATACTTCTTATAAAAACTATCAGAATGCAGCCTCTTATATGATTTTAGACAATACACCTTTTCCCAACCTTGTCGATTGCAATATTACAATTAAAAATTGTTAAAATTCAAGCACTGCAATAGAAAACCAAGTAGAGGATGAAAGCTTTAAAAATTTCTGCAAAATTATGAGAAATATAAGTTGTGTTTAATAATTCTAGAATATCACTGAACCTGAAATCCAATTTGATATAGATTTCGATATCTAAGTAAAATGTAGATTAATTATTAGATAACTCCAAACAATGATCTGTATTATGTCTAATATATGGTAATGATAATTCTAGTAATCATAATTGTTTTTCTGTTTATCATTCTATGTGTTATTGCAATGAGATATAAACGAGTCAAAAAGAAAATCTTTCAAACAATTAAGAAAAAAAAGTGATATCAATATTGATTTATATTTTCGAATTAAACACTCAATTATTAATCTTAAAATAAATTGCAAACTCTCTCCCTTTCCTATTCATTTATTTATAAAACATTAATTATTTAATAATCAATTAACAGAATCAAAATAGAATTAAATTACCATTTAAGATTTAGAAAAAATGTAAGCCATTTTTATATTATTATATTCTTAGCTTATTCTATAACGAATTTATAAATTAAATCCATTAATAGATAACTTAACATTTTTAAAGATTGTTAAATTATCTTTAAGAATGAATTAAATCATAAAATATGATTGAAGATTCAAAAGAATTGATTTAATAATTTTTACCCATTTAAATTAATAATCAGGGAAGATTTATAAAGCACTATTTCTTAATATATTAACTCAATGCATTAATGTAAATCTAAAGGTTAACCTAATTTTAAGTCTTAGTTAGAATTCAAGAGTTCAAAAGTAAATTAAAAGGAAGTAGCTTTACAAAAATGATTATTATTTAGATCGCTATAATATCGATAGAAATTATAGGAAAATCAGAAGATAATTAGAACAAATTTATGCTTGAAATGAAACATGTTAATCGATTTATACACAGTATATCAAGCAATTTATAAATTCATAAATTTTAAAATAATAAGTTAGTATCTTAAAGAAAAACAATTGATTTAAGTGAATTGAAACCTTTTATCAAAGTATAAACATTTAAATCTAGTAGCTATTAATTAGCCAACTCTTAAAATGTAATCTCTTTCACTGAAGAAGTATAGAAAATCATTCGTAATGAATCATTATTATTAACTTTTTCTATTACTTTCTTTCATATGTGTGTTTTTATTATCCATTTAGAGTGAGATTTAATAAAATTTAATGATAGACTCTTAGTACTTATTCTGGAGGCCTGGATTCTGTTAAATGATAGTAGATTGCGAGATGTGTTGTATAAACTGAGAATGGATTAGAATAATCTGTTTTAGTTGATTTGATTTTAAAATTTAAGATTTTATTTTGTTTAAAATGTCCTAAAAGAAGCAACAAATGCAAGTGGAGTAAGTTATTGTATTGATGGTGTAGATAAAAGGTTCCTGAGAACGTCGCCAAAAAGACTTAAAGAGATACTAAATTGAGGGATGCTGTTGCTAAGAGAAGAACAGAGAGATTGGCTGCCAACAAAACCAGAAGAGCTCAATGGGAAAAGAGTGCTCAAGCTTATGAAGCTGAGTACAAGGCTGCAGACAAGAGCTTAGTTGATAACTTACGTAAAGCTAAGACCGAAGGTGGATTCTATGTACCAGCTGAAGCTAAATTGATTTTGGTGGTCAGAATCAGAGGGTATTATTAATTTAAGTAATGACAGTATCAACACCTTGAATCCACAGGTCAGATAAACCTTGAGACTTTTGAAATTGAGATAACTTCACAATGCAGCCTTTGTTAGAGTCAACAAGGCCACAATCGAAATGATCAGAAAAGTTGAGCCATATGTCACCTATGGATATCCATCAAGGACTGTCATCAAAAATCTTGTGTACAAAAGAGGATACGCCAAAATCAATGGTCAAAGAATCCCAATCACAAATAATAATGTGATTGAGCAATCATTAGGAAAAGTTGGCATTCACAGCGTTGAAGATCTCATCCATGAAATTACAACCGTGGGACCTCACTTCAAAGAAGCAAATAGATTCTTATGGTAATTGTCAATTACAATCTTTAGGGCATTCAAATTGAGAGGACCAAGAGGTGGATTCATTGCTAAGAGAAGATCCTTCATTAATCAAGGAGATTGGGGAAATAGAGAAGATCTCATCAATGATCTTGTTAAGAGAATGATTTGATTGAACAGTAATTATATTATACATTAATAAATAAATAAATCAATTATTTCATGAATAAGTATCGAGGCAAATATGATGATAGTTACAAAGTCATTAAAACCGAAGGAAATTAAGATATTAAATCTAAAATAACAGAACAACATATAAATCGACTGACCACAAGAAAAGGACCTTCAATTACTTCATAATTGATTAAATTTCCTATTTAAAATCAGGAAAAGAAAGCTAAATCACCTATTCTAAAGGAAGAAAAGATCCTAGATTTATTGTGCTTGTCAACTTAATAACTTAAATAAGTGTTCAAATAACCTCCAACCATATCCACCCGAAAGAGTATAAAAGTTATAAGAAACACTTCGTTGCCCAAAGATTTCTTTACTGTGTGATAATATCATTGTATTATAAATATATATAATTCTATACCATTTCATCATTATAGGATAAAGAGGTATGCTATATAGAAACTATTATTGATGTATATGTCTCTATTTAAGTCATAAAGGAAAAGAGAATTGAGAATGGAAGGAGAATTGAGTTATCTTAAAATAAGGGGACTATTTATATTTCTATTTTCCAGAAAATCAAAACTGGTTATTATCTTTTGTTTCTAGCATAATTCATAACTCGCCTTTAGATGTCTTAGAAAAGAGTCAAATTTATTATTAATTAATAAATTTGATCATGTTGAATATGCTGAAAGAATGATTCTCTTTAATATTAAATTAAGGGATTTCTTTAATAATTTCGATGAAAAATAAATATTATTATTACAATCTTTAATGATCAATTTCTATTTAAATCTTATAGAATTATGATCTATTGAAAATCATTTTATCTCTAAGATCTCAATTCTCGAAAAGGTGCTTTAATAATTTCTAAAATAATATGAGATTCCGTCATTTTTATTTAGAGTTTCTCACCATTAATTGTCTTAATTAGATTGTAATTAGGGATGTTAATTGTTCAACAATTTATATAGAGCAGAGTAATACAAAAATATCAATTAAGAAAACTGAATGAATGGGATGAATGTATAATGTTTAGAGTTAACTTGGTTTTAAGGTTTATTTAAATTTAGTTTATTTTAAAATTGTAAATTCAATGCACGAAATTATATAATACTTCATGTTGATTTCCAATTTTATCCATCAAATATCAGAATTCTCCTTTAATCCTAGGAACAATTTCCATGAATATCCTAGACAACATTTTGTAGAGCCCAAACCCTACCTTAATAAATCAAAGGGGTATTATTCCAAAAGCCTTCTGGCTGTGGAAGTTGCTTAGTTTCCACAACTTTGGCAGTTGTTTCATTGATCTCTAATATCATACATTCTTTAGAACCCTTATTATTTTCATAATAGCCTCCGAAAATCATTAATTAATTTTAATCAATTTGAATTGAGCACATCATTGAAGCCATATGATATTAAGATGTAATTAGGCAAGGTACCCATCTATCGATCATTAAAAATTCAATCTATTGATTAATTTTCAAATTCTAGACTGTAATTATATTTAGTATTTTTACCTAATCCTCCTGCTACTGTGACTGCATCATTAAAAATACAAACACTTGGAGAAGCTATTGCATAGTTTAAATTTGGCAAGCGTCTTGTTCTTTTGTTAATGCAATCAAACACCTCACAATTTTATGTAATTACTAAATTGTCCATATAACCTCCAATTAAGTATAACTCATTATTTTTCCATGTTAATCCGTGAGAACTTCTTCCATAAGTCAATTATCCAACCTCTTATAGTTGATAGTTGGAGAAATTAAATTAATAGATCTTTCCACTTTTTTTATTATTTGGAAGGGACCCTCCAGTTAAATAGATTTAACCATCAGGAGTCATTATTGACTTAGAATAAGGTAACACTTCAACGTAATTTGATATTTGTACAGGTCTCCAGGTTTGATCCGGTAAACTTAAATCATATAGCCATATGGTTGATTTACCAGTTTCAAAAAAATGGAGTAGTTTATTCTTCCCTCTAAAATACTCATTTTATTAGAGATAGGTTTCTTAATATTAAGAGACATGACTTTAGCTTAGGAACACGGTGTTTTACAATGGAACAAAATCTAATTTTGCGTAGTTATTTAATGCTGCTTAGATATGCTATATATTGGCTTGATTTAGTTAAACCATTATTTATTGAGTTGCAGATTTATTTTATAAGTTTTTCATTGTTTTTTTGTACTTCAATAAAGTTTTTTTTAGATCCATAGTGCAGATTTTCTTGATGAATTGAATCAAATTTGAGCTTTCTAAGCCAACATTTAAATGTTCCAATTCATTCATTGTGTTTTTAATACTTTCTTATAATTGATTAAAAGTTTATTAAGAGTTGGATTGTTGATCTAAAAAGGATTTATATTATTCCTCTAAGGAGGAGAAATGTTCAGTCACTAAAGTAATTGCTATTTCCTTGCCTTTTCGAATTTCCCTAATGGTTTAATCATCAATATCACTCAATCCATATTAGTCGGCATCTTATATAATTTTCTGAATCTCTTGAATTCCAGTGCTAATCTTCTTTAGACATTGCTATTTCACATTCTTAAAACTGTCAATGTCAGCACTTGTCTAAACTTGTTGATGATATTTGGTATGAGATTCAATGCATTCTGGACACAAAGGTTTCAAGCATTCTGGATTTTAACAAAAGTTGGTGAATTGTTCTGTTGGATGATTAGAGCAAAGTTGTTTGATTAATGGATTTGAGGGCATGTGATGACTCATAGGAATATAAATTTTATTTTTATTATATTAATAACAAAAACATAAAAACAAGAATTATATACTTTTCATTAAATGAATATATATACTATAATATCATTCAACAGATTTCAGCTCTGAAATTGGCCTCTAACCTTACCATTTAGGAATTTAATCTAGAAATAATTTTTAACTAATAGTAGTGTTCCACAATCTCTTGGTTGGAATTAGTTAAGCCTAATTTAACTCTACAATATAATCAAAATTTAATTTATTCAATTCAGGATTGCCAGATAATTAACATATTAAATAATCAATAAAACTAAATTTAAATAACAATAGTTACCTTGTAATTGTTTTAAGTTTTTCACCTCTTATCATAGAATATTAGAAAAGTACGTCAGTGATATCTTAAATTGCAATAAGTTCATATTCAGCAAATGGCAAGTTTTGCTCTTTAATTCTATCTAAAAATGACTTGAAAAATGGTGATTCTCCTGGATTACTCACTTTATCAACTTATGAATCTTTATTAATTTCTTGTGCTTACATTAAGGAATTATTTTTTAATATTTACTAATGAATTTTTCTTATAATTCGGTACAAAATTTGGTCAAATAATTATTAATAGAAATCAAATAATGAAAATATGTGTTAAACATATTTAATCAGAAATAGAAAGGAATGAACTCTTGAATTTAATAGAAGACTATTCAACTCTTTGAAAATAAACATTATGATTATATCAATTTTAAACAATATATTTTCAATGTAGTTGCTTATTTGCAATTAAGAAGTGGGTGTTCTATATAGCAGAGTTTTAATGATAATAATTAACAATTTGGAACCTAAAAAAGAATATGAGAATTTTTGGAATGGTTTTGGAAAAAAGGAAAAAAAATATAAATAATAAATAAATAAAAAATACATATTCAAAATTATTCAACTTTGATTAGCTTGATTTACCATACTATAAAAAATATTCTTAACAATATTATAAATTTTTTTTAATTTTTCCTATGAGTCGGGAGGCATAATAGAAAGTTTTTCTGAATAGATTTGTAGTGAAGAAAAAAATCTCATCTGGAGCCTTTGGAGTGGTATTTCTTGTTTTAGATAAATAAACAAACTAAGAACATGCTCTAAAATTAGAAAAAGAGGATAATGAAGAGATGAGATCTTTAGAAAGGGAAGTGGAAATTCTGAAATAACTCAATGAAGCAGAGGGGACTCCGAAATTGATATGGTTTGGAACAGAGGATGAGTTCAATCTCATGGTTATATAATTATTAGGGAGAGATCTGTCATTCTACTTTAGACAATAAAAAAAATTCAGTCTTAAATGCTCCATCTAGATTGCGTATGACTGCGTGTCAATACTGAGAAATATACACAATAGGAATGTTATTCATAGAGATTTGAAACCTGAAAATATTTTGATGTCCAAAGATAATGAAAGTCTATATATTGTTGACTTTGGTATTAGTAAGGTTTATTGCGTTTAGGGTGAACATATGTACATTTTGTTCAATTTAAATCTTTTAGGCCATTTCGCAAAGATAAAACATTTATGGGTACTCCAAGGTATGCCTCGGTTGCAGCTCATTAAGGTCATGAAATAGCCAGGAAAGATGACTTGGAATCCTTATTTTATGTTGTTCTCTACTTTCTGCGTGGTAGCTTGCCTTGGTAAAATTTGCCTGTCTCTGAAAACGAAAGAACCAAAGCAGTTGGAGACATAAAGTAAAACATTGATCTGAATGATTTATGTGCTAATTAACCTCACGAATTAGTGGAGATCTTGCAGTACATCAAGACTTTGAGTTTTGCAGATGAGCCTAACTACTAATACATTTTGTAATTGCTGAATTAGATTGCTGAAAACAACCAATTCATATTGGATGGCATTTTCGATTGGACAGAAGGTCTAATGAAATCCACCAAAAAGTTCAGTTCTCTGGAATCAAAGAGATCCTTCGAATTTAACAAGCTAAAAGAACATTCTCCAGGACCTGTAATGAAAAGTTCATCCAAGTTATCCAATTAAATAATCTGGACAATCAATGAACAACCATAACACGGACAAGTAAAGTAAATTATTCTTAAATATAGTTTCAAAATTCATAGTAACATTTGTTGTAACCTCCTGATCCAAATAAGAAGCCAGGGCAAAGGAGTGACTTTAGACATCTTTCAAATTCATCTTCGAATTCCAATGTTGGATCTTTTAGTTCAATGAAGATAAAGTACTTGCCATCTTAGGTTGAAATTGAAAAGCCGTCTCTATTTCCAAAATGGGAAAGGACTTGTATTTAACAGGATTCCCAATATCAAGATTGGATGGATGAGAACAATTTTGAAATTCCTTTAGAAATGAAATACAAAAATTACACCAAGACTCAATTATTAGAGTATGCATACTGATTTTATTTTAGGATACACAATAAAGGATTCAATAAATTTCTTGAAAACTCTTATTGAAAAATTAAATATATTGTAAAATAATGTTCTTTTTTTGAACATCCCTTTCTCTCGAATAAAAATAAAGATACTTTATTTATTTATATCAATTGAATTTACTAAATTTCAATAATTAAATGAATTCATTTCGAAGAGTAGTAACCAAAACTAAAACTAGTATCTTTTTGCATAAGGAGAGCATAGATAATGTGTTAAGAGAACAATTGGCTGCATTAAAATTGTTGTAACCAAAAACTCAAGTACTTAAAAATTAGTAATGAAGATCGTCGATCAAAAACTAGAACAACGCAAATAAGAACTCTTATATGAAATGAATTAAGCCAATCTATAGAAAAATGAGGATGTTGATGTGGCAGGCTATTAAAAGATCTTGGCTGAATTGACCTACATTAATAACAACAAAAGATCATAAATGTAAGAAGATATTAAGATCAAGAATGATTAGTTTATAGTGATTCCAGAGGTACAGCTATAAAATGAGATTGATTAAGAGATGGATTGTTAGTAGATGTTAGAGTAAAGAATTGATTCTATTGAGCATTCAGTGAGGATTATTGAAAAACAAAATAACTTAATGAAAGAGTAAATTGGATTATATATTAAAAATGAACCTAAAATTCAATTTAAAGAGATTGAAAACAAATAGCAATTGTCCGTATTTACACAGTACATTGGCACCATAAAAAAGGCTATGAAATTGGAAAAGGAATGGTAGACTTAAAAAATAGAAAAATTAAAATTTAAAGCAGAAAAATCTTAGGCAATTGCAGACTCAAATTTAAAAGAACTACTCGAACATGAGGATAGAGAGATGTCACTATTACTCAAATATGAATAGACTAGTGATCTCATTAATCAAATAGATGATGAAATTAAAACTAAATTTCATAAAATTGAAGAATGTGCTGAATTATTAGAAGAGTTTGATGATATTGATAAATTAAGACTAATATTTGTGTTAGAAAATCCAAATGATTTTGAACTTGATGAGATTCTGCAACATGTTCGAAGCCAATTAAGATAACCATTTTCAAGACTTCAATTGGCTTCCTCTTTATAAGAATATATAGATAGAGCAAGATTCAGTGGAGTCTCATCGAGAATGAAGATATTTTTCAAATTTCATGATAATGATTTGAATTATTCAATAAACTAATTGATTTAAGTGTATAGGAAATTGCAATTTCAAGATGGAACCCTGAGGAATAGATATGAAGATTTATTACTATAAAAAGGACAACTCATAAATGATTTGCTATTTTTAAATTAGTTGCAATTTTATGAGTTAGATGAACCTGAATCTGCACCACCATAGATAGATGAATAATTACATGAGATGGCTCAATTCTTCAAAAATATTTAGATAAGACATTTGTCAAACAACAAATATTTTTTTGTTAGAATTTTTACTATGCTTACCACGGTTCTATCTCGAATTTTAAACTCTTTGTACAACATAAAAGAAATATTGAAATCATGTAATTCTGATATGTTTGGACATGAGTAAATAATTATATATGCATATTAGGTTTTACTTAAAATGGACATATAATAAAATGTTCATTTAATTATCTTAAGTAATGCAATAATTAGAAAAATAATATAAAATCAAATTAATAGCTAAAGATCCAAGTATTAGAAATTCCAATCAATTTTTGAATGCCATCTATGATCACATAGAGGAAAAACCTTTACGTGAAAAAACCATAATACAATCTCAATCCAAATAGACAATTGATTAAATTTTGCCTAATCTCAGTCCAGAATCTACTTAAAAAGTATCTTAATTAATCAATTAAGATATATTCTTATAATAGTTTTTTAGCCTAAAAGATTTAGCTTCACTAGTGGACAATCAGAGCCAAAACCTAAACGATTCGGGTGTGATCAAACTAATATAAATTGAAGGCTATGATGTAGCTCATTGCGAATTGAGATCTTCTACCAAACATTTATTTAGAGTAATACAGGATATAATAATTGAATGCAGAACTGTAAAAGAATCCAGTGTTCAAGCTAAGAGTCTAGCCAAGAAGTATCACATTTAAGAGATCATTGATAAACATATGTCATCATACGAGTATAAATTCAAGGAATGGAAGAAAGAAGTCATCGAAAATAAAATAAAATAAATAGAACACCAATTTGATGAGATATCAGAGGCTCCAACAACTCCAGAAGTGAAACTGAAATCAAGTAATGTAACAAACAGTACTCATGTAACATCTTAACCATCAAAATTAACCTTTCATAGTCAATTGACAAAAGAATCTACTTTGCTAACTCCAACTTCAAATAATCTAAGAAGATATTTAAACACAGTCGAATCTCAAATTCCCCATAAAAAATCTCAAATTCCCAAAGAACCCATCTTTGCTCATCTGCATCAATAGAGTAGGAAGATAATAAATGAAAAGATTTCAACTTAAACTCATCTACGGACTTTTACTCTCTAAAGTATAGATTCTACAAGATAGCAAAGTCAACAAACTATCCCTCTCAAATTATTACCTTCAATCCCTATATTGAGTTTTTCATAAAATCTCTTAAAGTAACCATCAAACAAGGTTATTTGCAGATAACAAAGAAAAAGTCAAGTTATTAAAAATGAACCTACTCCAAAATAAGATATTAAATAAATAAAGAACTTTTCAGATGTATATGAGAAATCAAATAAAAAGATATATGAATTTTTTAGAAATACAAGTACTAGTGCGAAAATTAAATGAATTACAACATATAATGAATAAATCATATATCTTGCAGGGGTACTCTTTCTTCTTCGGATTTTCTTTAGGTTGGGGATCGTTGATCTGAATCGAGAGAATATACCAAATCCTTGTAATTTTCATTTTCCCTTATCTCATATGTTGCCAGTTAAATAGATGAAATCTGATCATAAATTTAATCATAAGTTTCCTCTTAAGCAAAATCTACGATCTTTCATATTAATAAATAAATACCACTGCCTGATTGTCACAACAGATCTTTACTAAATATGCCAGCGGATTAATAAAAAAGTATTTAATAACCATGATGATGACAAATAGTACTCCCAAAATCGACAATTATGAAGAGTTTGAAATTCTGATCCAGATTGAATCCTTTGACACATCCAGGAGACCCCCATTTTCTACTAGAGCATCTGAGGATGAAGGGAATAGATAGGGGTGACCATAAGCCCATATTGCTATCAAAATATGCATGATAATAGAATAAGGAAGTAAAGTGAAGACTGAGTCATGCAAGGCCTCATCATATGAAGGAGGCTTACGATAATACTTCAGAAGCAGGAACTTCTGAACCAAAAAGTGCATAGCTAGTGCAAAAAATCCTAGGGGCAACATTAATGGGATAAGAGATGAGTAAAATAAGGTTACAAATATGGTGTTAAGGAGATTGGCATAGTATAGGTCAAGATTAAATTCTGGTCCAACAGAGAGTCTGTTTAAGTCTCTCTAAATCTTAGCAGTAAGTGCTTCTCTCTTTCTCAACCAATTTTTTATTGGGTAGAGCACAAAATCAACAAAATATGGAGAAAATATATTGATTATCCAAGTGTTGACATAGGCTGCTCCCACTACTGCATACCACTCTCTATTAAAATCCGAAGGGAACACCTCTTTTTGTTATGCTGATTACAAAGGAGGAATCGGAGAACTCAAATAGTAGGATAGTTTGAATCCATAAATATTTGCCTTCAAAATCAAAGTAATCAAAGCAGTATTGACAAATAATGATATAAAGAGTTTAGTTAGAGTACCTGAAAGTTTCTTACTTAAACTCTGATACCTTTCGAAAATTACAATACTTTTTATAAGTAATTGCAGTAAACTGTTAACAATCAGAATCACAAAGGCAGACACAATTTGCAATGCTTGTATTCCAGTATATTGATACACAATATCTGAACAGTAATTAAAATAATCTGCATAAAGGGTTGTTAGACTCAAATTCATACAAAAACATTATTAGATTTAAGTTTTATCACTTGCTGTAGTTGCTTCACTTATCCATTTCTATGTGTTTTCATACGTGTAATCTCTTATTTCGCAATCCTCTGGACTGTATTTACTTACAACATTTATGGCAAACACAATAAAAAAGGTAATGATCATTAAACAAAACACTCCAAAACCAACCAATATTTGTCTCAAAAATCTGTTTGATGAAGAAACCTCAAGATTTTCCCAATTAATATTACTTGGGTTGTCCACTTAAGGTATTATTTGTAAAACATTGCCTCTAAACAAATATTTATCATCCACTTTTTTGCCGCAACAAAATGTTTAAAAAACACTGTAATTAGTATTTGCTTTATATTCTTTAATAAACAAGTTTTTATCTCCGATTCTTTCGAATATCACAAATGCCATTAATGTAGGATATTCATCATGTCTTAATCTTTTCCCTATAATATTCTTGATAATGGTTTCTCTCTCAGCCTATATCTCTAATAGTTGTTTCATATATTTCTGTTTGACTGCTGGGTCGTAACTAAATGGATATGATAGAAAGCTTACTCTGGAAATTGGGCCTTGATATCTTCTCCTTTGATTAGGATTTTCAATTCAGCCTCTTGTTTGTGCAGTAATAAGGTGTTTGAGTAGTTCTTAGCCAATTTCACCTCTTTGACCTTAAATCCCAGATCTTCGATGAACCCTTTTAGCTTATTCGGATCTCTCTCATCTTCCCTCAGTCCTTTTATCTATTGATATTGTTAGAGGCTTACTCCTAATGAGAAATTGGCAGGAACCTTTTCTTTCACCATGGATTCTTTGATTTCCCTGTTAGACCAATATGAAAAGGCTAAATAAAAGAGGATGAATATCAATGTGTAACTGAAATCCATCCAAGTCAAAGTCGAGAGCCAAGTTTAGGAGTTATTATAAAAATCTTAAATATCTGAGGTAGTATATTCAGTTCCAGTACTACTTTTAATTTTTTCTTGATTGCCAACGCTCAATTTCTAATAATAGAATTCAAGATTACTTAGAGTAGATTTAGGTTCTTCCATGCATCTAAGCCATTTCCAGTAGAATTGAAATAACAAATTACGCTTGCAATTATACTCATGACCAGGAAAACATAGATAGTGCATTCCAAGAATTTAAAATACAAATACAATCCTAAACCATGTTTTTTGAATTCATCCAATCCCACTGTGAATTCATATGGAATTGGATGACCAGTTTCATCCTGCTTGAAAAACATGTTTTATAACATGTATTAATTTGCCTTGACAGGGTCACTCTAAACATAATTATACTTTCATACTGGTCTGATGTCATCCTCTTATTCTTTAATGATTATCGCGCTTGATTTTATTGGAAGTGGAACAATTTTGCTCATATTTAAGTCAGCAATTATATGAATAAAATTGATATAGTAAATATTACATAAAACGATTAAATAATTCCCCTAAATACCATTATTGAAAGTATCCTCACTTTAAAATCCACTGGAGTTGAATCAGAATATCAATTACCCATTTAACTCCTCATTTTTTTTTATCCTCAACTCTTAAATGGCAGATAACCACACATATCAAGAATAGTATTGACATATCTATATGTTACTCACATTTTTATGGGCAGCTAATTAAAAAAAAGAATTATAGACATAAGACATAATTAAAATAGTTATCACTGTTTAAAAAATGGACACACTTATGTAACTTCGGATGTTACAGATGCGTTATCAAATATATAATTGAACAAATAATTATAAAAAAAAGAAATTAAAAGTAGCTAAGACTTATGAAATTTAAAATTTAAAAATTTTAGCATAGTATTTGTTCTTTTTTAATATTGCACTCATAATTCTTTGAGATTTTTGAATGATTTTCTAAAAAATGTTAATTTGATTAATACAGCTAAATATCTTCTGTTTTATTTTGAATTATTAACTCCAATAATAATAAATTAAATGATATTAAATGAATTGATAAAAAAAAAGTATTGGTACATTAATAAGAATTGGAGAATTCGACATCAAATACTTACAATATAGATAGCCAGTTTAATTTTGGTTTTTGCTTTATTGACAGCAATCATAATTGGTGGCCAAATTTTGGTTCAAAAAAGCATTTAAGAATCTGCCGATGTAATATTTATAAGATAAACACAAGCAGAATTAAATAGTGTATGGATGTACAAGCATAACATCCAAACGCTTTTGAATTCTGGCAGCAACCAGATATCGCTGATCAATAAGTTTAATCAATACTTTTAATCAAATTCATTTAATATTGTTGATCCAGTATAATGTTTGAATAAAGAAAACACAAATGACACCTACTGTTACAGTTCTTCATTCTGTTTCGGAATATTCAATGCAACCTGTACTTAAAGAGACATCGAAGAATTACAAATAGTTTATAAAATAACATCAATTCTCACTCAATTTAGAAACTCAATAGATAACACTCAAGCTTTATATTTCAGTCATGCCAATAACGCGTAATTCTATACTCTGAGTTAAGGTTTTTATTTTAAACCTGGATTTAAACCGCACTCAAGACCATGGTATACATTTCATAGAAATTAAACGACCAACACCACTAACTTAAGTTAACTCATTTATGGCAATCCCTATTAAATTTTCCTTTCTGGAGGTGGGATTCGGATTGCTATGACCTCGAATTTGATAAGTCTCAATGAAGAAATAGAAGGAGTGATTGCTAAAGATATTGACTTTAATTAGACCTAAGCTTTTAAATATCAGGATGACTCAACCACAGTCACGATTATTAATTTGAAAGGGTAGGTCATTTATAGCAAGCTTTATGATAATCCAAATTAAACTATATTTTCAATAGCTGATTAAAATTATTCTGGTTTCAATTAAACAGATTTTGAATAAATAGTAAACTATCACAATAAATTAAATTATTCAAGCAGTTGCAGCAACATCCAAGAATACAATAATGTTCTCTGTAGATATAATACTAAATTAAATGATTCTAGCATCATTCAAACTGCAACTATCAATGGAACCCCATATATTCTATTACTTGTTAAAAACACTAATTATTTGAAACTACTTTAAAACATTTAATTATCCCTCATAGTTGACGAGTACAATAACATCATTCAATAGCAACTCATCATATTCCTTAGCATAACTCTATTAATCATATTCCTAACTTATATGGTTTCATTCCTATTATTAAATCAACTGAACATCTTGATTATGCAAACTAATGCTCATCTATTTAATAAACAAGTTTAATCTTTCAAAAATGGAGTTTTTAGAAATAAATATTATTTTCAATCAACCGAGGTATCAAACTTATTATTGAGTGTGATCGGTCTCATGCATAATATAAATTCGAATAAAAAAAATGAAGAATGTTTGAATGAAGAATAAAAGTAGTTTCCATAAACTGTTAAAATGAACGAAATGGTTAGACTTATCATAAAAAGTTAAATTGCTAAACTGTAGTATAGATAAGTATAAAATCAAATTAGTATTGATAAATCAGATTTGAAGATATTAATAAATTACTTTAGACAACCTGAAAGTTTCACATGAAGATTTAATTATAAATATTGTTTTAAATTGAAACATTTTTGTGTTTTTCTTCTCATCTTTATAGTAAATGTCTAAATTAATTTATCAGGCAGAACAATTAGAATTTTCAGAAGAACAATATTATAATAAATATTGCTAAATTTAAGTAGGTGCTTCCATTTTATGGCATAAAGGTTTATTTTTTATCTTCCAAGGAGAAAACAACAATTTCTTACATCATAATGAAATAATTTATTTTTTATTAACTTGCGGTATATTTAATAATTATCAATTATAATGGTCGAAATCATAAAATTGAATGTCCTTTTAATCTCATTATTAAAATGTTAATGAGTGGGAGTGTGGAAGCTATTTAAAAGTGGATTCAATTGGGTAATTTTTAAAGCTAAGGATTTTTTTGATCTTACATGTATTTTCGAACTTAGAAGTCAAAATCACATTATAATTTTGATTATTACACGTTTATATTCTTACAAATGGATTATTAATAAATGTTAATTATTATTTTTTAAACTATTTAAACAAGAGCATAATCATTCTCACTTTAATTATTATTATTTCAAAATTTTGATGCATTAAAAACTGTGGATTCCAATTCCGAACGATTTCAAACCAAAACAAGAGCATCTCATCATTTAAGGAGAATTTACTAAACCAAATGGGAAAACTAGGCTACTTTATGGATATGATCATTACATAGTATGTGTTAAGGTAAATCGTACTCCTATATTAACTCAAAGGATGGATAATTCAAAAAGTGTATTAAGTTAGAATTCGATACCAAATTTGAAATCTTAAGATAAGCGATTTAAAAAAAAGACGAAGATGATGATTCCTTAGGCCCAATAATAGGAATTCAATTCTTAAGAGATAATGCAGGAATTATGCCAACCTACAAATTGAGTGCTTCTTCTAAATTGATACTTGAATGGAGACAATTTCTAAGTCCTAGAATCAATTAATGGCAATTTCATCACATGTTTAGAGTTTACAAAAAAATTGGGAAGGGAAATTTTGCAACAGTATGCAATTTATATATTTTATAACAGGTCTATATGGCTGAAAGAATTGAAGATGGGGAAGAAATGGCAATCAAAGCCTTTGCAAAATAGGCAGCTTATGCAGAGGAAAATGGGAAGGAAGCAATTTTAAATGAAATAGCAATCATGAGGAAATTGAATAACAAGCATCTGATGAAGTTGTTTGAAGTTTATGAAACATCGAATTCCTTATATGTAGCTTTGGAATTGTTAGAGGGAGGCTCATTGTACGACCTAATCAAAGATAAAGTGCCTATCAATACAAAGCAAATACAACAAATAATGGTTGGCATATTAATTGGTCTGCAGGAAATGCATAGAAAAGATATAATGCATAGAGATTTAAAACTTGAAAATATCCTATTTAAAGTTTCAAAGTAAAATTTAATTCGATTACATTAGGAAAATGGAATCAGTAGTAATAGCTGATTTTGGTTTGGCTACTCACGTCAATGAACCAGTTTATCTCTATTGCAGATGTGGTACTCCTGGTTACGTGGCACCCGAAGTAATTAACATAAAGGACATGAAATCTAAATACTCCTCTATTTGTGATGTCTATAGTTTGGGATTAGTCTTTTATTTATTATTGACTGGTAAGCCAGCTTTCAATGGCAAAAGTTATGCTACTGTTGTCAAATAAAACAGGGAAGCAAGTATCGATTTCGACATTAAATAACTGTAAAATGCTCCTGGGGCTGCAGTTGATTTATTGAAGCAAATGTTAGAAAAGGATCCAAAAAAAAGGATCAATGCTGAAAAATGCTTGCATCATGCATTTTTATCAGATATGGCTAAGATTATGGTGGAAGCAGAAAAGGAAGATCAATAGAGCATAGACGAAATCGACGAGGGTAATGAAATTCAGAATATGATGAATAAAATCAATGATGAGTAATATTATAGATGTTATTTTAGGTATTCTAAATTCGATGCTACAAGAAATATCAACTCCCCTCTTTAATCACCGAAACAATCTCCTGGTCTTTTGATGCAAAAATAAATTTAACAATAAAAATAAATTGATTCTACTAAAGCAGTGGCACATGATTCCCCCTTGTTAAAAGGAAAAGTTGATTCTATAGATAGTGCTCAATCTATTGGAACTCCTACTAAGAAGAACAATCAATAATATTAGCCATCACCATAAATAAAACCATCGAGATTTGCTAAGTAAGCTGAAAATAATCCCTTGTTAAAATACGCAAAAAAGGATTGAAATTTTATCAAATTTATTAAAAGACATTCTTTATTTTTCATTCTAGTTACTCTGACTTTTCAAGATCTTTTAATATAGATTTGTTTTAATCAGATAACTTGCAGAAACTATTATCGAATACTTCCCCATAAAAACTATTGGGTTTCCATTTCATAGTTTTTGAATGTGAATGTAATTGTCTAATAGTTTAATTACGTGTAATTACGTTAATGCTAAAATTTATGATGGATGTTCATCAAATAAATCGAGAGTGAATTTATTTGGGATAAAGACTTTTAATTCTTTCAATCTTTTCGATTGATTTACTTTTTTTTACACTCCTGTTTGTGAATCTATTAGGGCCTTATATCTGATCTTTGCTTGTCTTTCCCCTTCCTTTATCCAAAATTCTCTTAACTTTCTTTCCTTTTCTCCTAATTTCTATAATGGAACTTCACCAAAACAACTGGCATCCAAAAACTCTTTTGTTCCAGTTTTAACTAATTTAAGCTTAATTATCTACTTTCAATTAGTCCTTTCTCTAAGTTTCTTTATGGCTCTATTATGTGATATTTCAGATAATCATTTATTAAGGGTTCCTTACATAAATATATATCCTTTTCCTTCTCGAATATACCTCCATATTGTTTGCTTTGAGAATTGAAAACTAATTTAGAAAATGAAATCTACCCTTTCGATGAAAGATCTTGTATTTATTCTCTTCATTAATTTCTTTCAATCTCTTCTTCTTTACATCTTTGTATTCTCTATTTCTGTCCGCCTTGTATTGTTGAACAGACTCTTTCAACTGATGTTGTAAATCCTCGATATGTTTACCGATGGGAGGAAACACCAATTACTTCGAAGTAGATGACATTTAATTTATAAAATAATTCACAAATATGGATTATAAATCGAAAGTAAAAATTGTACTAGCTGGTGAGGAACGTGAAGTTTCAAAAAAGAATAGGGAAAAAGTTACAGCTAGTTTTCTCCTTCTAATTGAACTCTCAAATATTTTTAATCATTTTTGACTTCAAGATCACAAATTCTAATTAAGGTTTTTCCTAAGATTTTTGGGAATTTTTTTTGGTTTTCCTCGTAGTAATTGATCAATTCTATGTCGATTTCATCACATCTTTTCCAAATCTCCTATTTTTGATTTTGGACTAAATATTCAATATTTTGATTTTCAGCTAACCTTTTTAAAATGATCTTTTCTTTATTATATAATTCAATTTCCGTTGATACTTCATCCTTGAGTTTGTGCTTATTTTTAGTTCTCATTTTTTTATATTTTTTCTAATTCATTATTTTAAATTATTATTTATTTTTCTGACTTCATTTTTTTTATACTAAATTTTAGATCAATCTGGAACTATACAATTAAATAAAATCATCTAAAACATAACCAACCGTCTTATTTCTGAAGGCATTATCATGTGTTCCTCTTTCTATAAGATTGATGATTATTAGAAATTGAATGCACATAAGTAATTAAATATATATTAATGAATATATATATATCAAAATTTAAATTAAATAATATCAATGTTGTTGAGTGGTTTTGATCATGAGATGAATTCCATAAAATTTAGTAAATTGCTTTGATTTATATGATTATGTCATTTCATATTAATTATCTATGAATTAACAGATAGTTAGCCATAGCATACAAGAAATCACTCATTATAACAGAGTACTGGAGGGAAACAAGCGATACGTGTCCAAAAAACTAGCGACAGATGAATACTACTTTAAGAATTTGTCAAAAGGATAGAGTCCAAAGTACTTACTCATTGGATGTTCAGATTCTAGGGCTCCTCCAAATGAGTTGACAGAAACAGACCCTGGGGAGATATTCATTCATAGGAACATTGCTAATTTGGTGATACCAACAGATTTGAATGTACTGATAAACATTATATTCTTTAAGTTGAATTGTGTAATCTAGTATGCAGTGGAACATCTTAATATCCATAGTATCATTGTTATGGGTCACACATGTTGTGGTGGAATTAAGGCAGCAATGACCCAATTCTCAGTGGGAGGGTTGCTTGACTTATGGTTGAATCAGATCAAAATGGTGTACGAGAAACATCAAGATCTTATTGAATCACTAGAAAATGAGGATGATAAAGTGAATTGTCTTAGTTCATTGAATGTTAAAGCCTAAGTAATGAATATCTGGAAAAATCCTATCATTTAGAAGTCTTGGCAGAAGGGAAATCGTATTATATGTGTGTTATATTATAGCCATTATGGTTCATGGTTGGTTGTTCAGAGTTGAAACTGGTTACATAGAAGAACTACTGATTGATTCATAAACACCAGAAGAGATGAGTAAAGTCTTTGCTTTAAAATTTAAGTTGGATTCTGAGAGAATACTATAAAAGCAAGCTTCTCGTCAAACTTCACCAACGAATAATACCAGAAAGCGATTTTAATTAATGTAAAAGAAAATTACTTAAAATCTTAAAAAATTAAAAGAAAATGGTGGAAGAATAGAATAAGATATTGATCTTTAATAATTAGGGGAATTAATTCAAAATTCATGACAATCATGAATAAACAATTTATGTCAAATATTATATATATATATAATTATGATAATTAGTAAAGATACTATTAATATGATTCAATTATTCAAGAAGAATGTATATACTATTCTTCATTGAAAAGACAGTTTAATAAAGATGTTTCATAAAATAAATTTTAATTGATTTGAATTTAATTTTTTTGGGGTTTAGACAATTATTTATTTATTTAATGTGGAACTTAATTCATTCTAATCCAATATGCTTTAAGAAAAAAATAGCTTAAGTATGTTTTTGAATATCATAAAATAGGATCAATTAATGCATTTAAACAACCTATAAAATTCAAAACCTTTGGTTAATAATTCATAGCCTTGGAAACCAGGACATTCAATTTCCAGATTGGTTAATAAATATACCAATAGTACATATTTTTTAATAAATATCAGCTCATGAGAAAGAAATTTCAGAGTCTAATAGCAAGTTATTAAGAAAAATGATGGAAATTCAAGAAAGGAATGCTGGTTTTAAATAACCCCCAACTCATGGTTCCTTAGAAAATTTGAGAAAAAAAGAGTAAAATAAGATATGTTCAGAGAACTAAACAATATTGAAACGTTTATAGTCAGCAAGTTCAGCTTATTCTAAAAAAAATTGGGTTAGTGATATCGAAAAAGTTAAGAAATATAGAGAGAATTTGTAAAGAAAAACAAGTAAGTAAATCAATTAGTAGTAGGAACAAATGATGATTTGAATATGTTGGCTGCACAAGAATAGGTCAAAAGGACTCTTCATAGTCAATCTTCATCAAGAAGTATAGATATATATATATGAGCAAATTAGAATTAAAAACTAGTCAAGGTCCTAGAACGACAACTTATGAATCATTGTATTGATAGCTATAAATATTTAATTTAAATCTATATCCAAAATTTATAATCTCATTTTCATTGTCATTGCATTGATATATTAATAAATTGTGTTTTAGGTTATCATAAAATTAAATTGGATATAGAGAAATAAAAAAGAAAATAAATGTTAAATATCCGAATAAAATAAATGATCATATATTTTGTTGTAATTAATCATCTTGTTCTTCATCTATTTAACCCATTTAATTAATTTGATGTTCATTTTTGGTATTAATTTCATTGATCAATTCTTGAGTTTAAGCATTTATGATTAAGGATGGTTTATGATCGTTTAGTTAAGGATTAGGGGAGTTAGGTGACAATGCCGAATTAAAGTCTGAAGTTTAAAACTTTTTAAAGTTCCTTCTAGCCAAAGTTGGTGTAACTTATGGTTTGATTTTGCAAACGAATTAACCAAAGGTTTTCATGTTTTGCATAATGGGTACTTTCAAAGAATGAGCATTTTCATCTTCTACAACATCGTCTTCAATGTGAAAGTTTTGTTTTTAATGATTATCTTTGGGATTAAAATTTTGAGTTTAAAAGACAGGAGTATATTTATTATTACTTTGTTAAAATTTGGCTCTTTTGGTTTAAAATTTTAATTAAAAGTAATTGTGTTCTAAAGCAGCTTGGGCTGAAATTCTTTCTTTAGGATTAATCTTTAAAAACAATGCTATCAATTCAATCGCCTCCTTTGGTGCTCTGTATAAGGTGAGGAGTTCATAATTGATGGAACACTTTTTGTTTAACTTTAAGATTTCTTAATAATCTGGTCCTGGGAATAGATCTTTGCCTGTTAATCTTAAAAATTAAACTGCATTTACAATTTATAGAAGATACAACCGACACTAAACATATCGCAAATCAAATCGTATTTTTAATTTAAATCTTTTAGGTTGGCAATTTCAGGAGCAACATAACCAGGTGTTCCACACTTCGGATAGGGATAAGTCTCCGCATGGATTGATGTGGCCAATCCAAAATCCACAATCTTCAATTCGTCATAGGCGTTTTGGCTCTTGAACATAATGTTTTCGGGCTTCAAGTCTCTGTGCATAATTCCCAAGGAATGCATGTATTGCACTGCTGTTAGGAGTTGCTAATATTGATTAAATTCTTTACAAACATAATAGTTTATATTTATTCCTATTCAAATAACACTTGTCTCTTGTTGAAAGACTCATGCAAACTCTAACCTTATAAATACTCTAAAATCAAATAAAATGTATTTTCTCCTTCGTACAGTTCTTCCAAGTGTATTATTTTGGGATGGTTCATCTTTTGCATTAGTTAAATCTCATTAAATAATCCATTCTAAGTTAAATGTCGATTGATTACAAATCCTCCGTCCTCTATTAGGTACCGTTTATCCACACACTTCGAAGCATATTGATCTTTACTCCTCTTTTTCATCACCAAATACACCTAAACTGTAAATCAGATGCCGTACTTTTGAAGAGCCTCCCCTACCCAACATAATTATGGGTTGATAGAAATCATTTATTTCCTTAAACATTGCTTGACAAGCCATAAGTTCTTTGAGTTTCAAAATGGTATTTGGGTTGGCATAAAAATATTTGAATTGTTCTTTATACAAAAAACCAAACTATTCAATCTCATTTGATGGCTATTTCGTAATGAAATGTATTTAGGTAGTTAATAGTAATGCCACCTTATATTTTGGTGACTATGACTATTTGACCTATTATTTATAAGCAATCACACTACCGTTGTCAGAATCAATAGGTTAGGTAGAAGATATCCATAATACGTAGCATCCATCAAGAGGTGTTTTCTGAAGCACTCAAACTAGAATTTGCTTTCCTGATAATTAATGTTTTACATATTATTTATAGATATTACTCAAATTATTATATACTAAACCTATTTTAAGATAAAGTGATATTTGAGTTCCTTTAATTTAAGAAACAACCAAAAAATCAATTTTATTTAATAGAAACTTCAAAAAATGGTATAAAATTATAGTAAACTAAATTGATCAAACCAAAATCCCTTTAATTTATACCTCTTGTTTTTATCTTACTCATTGAGACTAGGAATAAGATAGAAATATAGAAGCTTTGTTAAACTGATCCAAATAGAACCCCCCACTTGAGTTCCTCCTTTGTATTATAATCTACGCATACAATTATTTTAAATGAATATTTTCCTCAATTTCATCCTCCAATTATCATTTACCTGACTATCGGATACGAAATGAAAATTCTTATGGAATCCGAGAAGATGTACAATGAAATTAAGATATTAATCAAAAATATGGGAGCATTGTCAATTAAAATATAAAATTAATAATGTAAAACAAGTTATTGTACTATATTGTGCCAATCTTATAAATATGCACTATCACTTTTATTGATAATCCTTGGATGATGTTATGGTCAATTTATGTTATAATCCCTTTGCTAGATGAAATCCTTTCATTTGACTACTTTAATCCAAAATAAACAAAAGAATTGGAAGATGATATTTCATATAGAATTCCACTTTACTTAGTAATTGTGTTGGATTGGTGTTTGATGTTTACTGTTTTGAATCACCTGACTAAGAATGACGTTTCATGGTTCGATGTAATTTATTTTCATTTAAATTTAGACAATTGGATTAATGTCCATTTGGGGAGGACTCTCTTCCAACAATTTCACAGTGGGCCATGAACTTCTACATAAAGACACCAAATTGGACAAGTTCCTTGGAACTTACACCTTGGTTAAGAGTCTATATTGCCATTACAATATCGAACATGTCTTCACTCATCATAGATACGTCGGTACTCCTTTGGATGCAGTGTCAGCTGAAAAAGGCTAGTCATTACATTCCTTTACTCCTAAAGCAATAGCTGTGTAATGGAAGGAAGCCTGGAAACAAAAGGAGAAGATGCAACGATACACACTCTTAAATATCTTAATGTGCATTCTAATTTACAGATTATACTCAGCCAAAGGATTCATCTTTTATTTGATACAAGTTTATTAGAGCATAGCCTATTTAGAGGCTTCTAATTACATTGAACATTACGGTTTAAGAAGAAAATTGTTACAAAATAATGAATACGAATAGATTAGTGATCATCATTCATGGAATGCTCCTCATAGAATTACCAATCATTTGTTGTTTAAATTATAAAGACATAGCGATCATCACAAATACCCATCAAAACCATATTAAATATTAGAAATAGATCCTGAAAGTCCAATACTGCCTTGTGGATATTTAGTAAGCATAATGATTGCTCAATTCCCAAAGGTTTGGATGGACTTGATGGATCCACTGATAACAGGATATAGATCCAAATAATTGTATGAAGAGAGCAGAAAAAAAGTCAGGAAATTTTTGGTGAAATTCGGAGTATTTGCAAGTTGTTTAATGATTTATTCTTTATATGATTGATTTTCTATTCATACGAGTACTTTAATCTTTGGAATGTCTAAGATTTAACTTATCAATTTTAAAGTGATAAAGTATTCCTCCTATGGATCATTCTTCAATTTTTCATATAACTCTTCAAACTCAAATGGGATCAAGGATTGTTCCAAATGAACAGTAATCTAGGTTTATATTGATTACGTACTCTGTTCTTTAACTAGATTGGTAATTTATTATAATTCACTTTATTGGCCGAGATTAATCCATCCTAATCCGAATCTAAAATTTAGAATAGTTTCTTCACGACAACTTTATCTGTGGGTAATTCATCATGTAATGAAATATTGGATGGACTTCGTGACAGATTTTGTTTAGTTATTTATTTGGGACTCTGATAAAATCGTTTTGGACTTGGGGTTTTTTGTTTCGCTTATATTTCATCATGATTTGATTTCAAATTGCGCAAATAGGAAGTTTCTGTTTGAGTGTCCTTTAATTATTGATTAAATTACATACGTTATCATCAGAATTTCATCGTAGGCTTTCATTTGTTTGATAATGCAATTCGATATTACTTAAACCATATATTGGGCAAGATGATTTCTTTCGACAAATTATTTAGCTTCTAAATATGGGTTAGTATCCCTGTACAGGGCAATCCTATCGCATTTATTGTTCCCTATATCGATAGTCAATTGAATTAAGGGTTGCATCTATGACTTGCTCGTTTTGTTTCTGTTATGCATTTTAAAATAATTTAATGTAATTATAATATACAACTATTAAATTATACTTGATGACTCTCATTCAAATAAATCCTTTATTACAATAAACAAGTATGCCAACAACATGCCCAACAGCCAGAATTTAGAAAGTAAAGAAAAAATTCCTTAAGGTCTAGTATTTTAGAGAAAATGGTATTTGGCATCCACCGATCCCGATATAATGAATCTAGAATCTGGAGTAAAACACAAGGCAGTACAGGGAAGTTCATGGGCCTACTTACTAGATTCTACATCCAATTTTCTAAATGAATACATACACATGGAACGATACCTTGCATTTATTATTTTTACAGTTCCATCTGAACATCCAATACCAATGAACATGCCTTCCTTTGATTAGCAAGTAGTGACTACTGGATGTCCATGAAGTTTTATTGTTCTTAATGGTTTAATATTGTCATGTTCAATTCTCCAACTTGTCATATATGAAGCTCCTCTCATTGGATTCTTGAATGTAAATATTGTATTGCCATCTAAGGAGAAGAGAGCTGATTGAAATTGCAGTTTATGGATATTGTTTTATGAAATATCTAATTTATGCAACACGTGGCTATCCTTTAATATTTTGCATTCCTCATTGTCAGTGGCCACTATTAACTAATGTCAAAATCAGATTTACCATTCCATTTGCTACATGATAATCCAATGATTAAATTTTGCCTTTCATATCCACAGTGTATTTCAATTGATAATCCTTATTCCAAACCTTCAGAATCCCATCTTCTCCTCCTGTGGCCAAAGTATCCCCCTAATAATTGAAGACGCCGTCATTCTAACAAGGTTCTTTTGCTGCCCTGTCAGTCTAAAACTTAGTTACTATCGAAATCTTGTTATCCTAAACTCTCAATATCACACATTAATCATCGCTATTTCCAACAATTAATCCTGTTTTCGTGTTGAGTCGTAATCTTTAGAATATTTCGTCTCCTAATTATAAGGTATGAATGGGATCCTTCAATATTCCATATATAGGTTTCGGAAACAATTGCTTAATGATTATGGCAAGTATATTTACTAGACTATTAACCAATCCGTATCTCTTTCCTCCTCCTCCCAAACTCACTAAAACAGAATCAGGAAAACACACAACTGAGAAAATTGGACTCTCAAGATCTTTCTACTTATTGTCATTCATTAATTTATATTAAATATTAATTAAGGTACAATTCTTCCGTTTCTTCTCTTTAGGTTTCTCAGATCTTATACATAATATTCACAAATTTACTTTATTTGTATTATTGGATGATCACAGATGCATTCCGCCTTTCCTCGTCCTCCTAAGTTCTTATTTTCTTACTCTTATACAAGGATACAAACAAATTCGGAAACAACATGTATTTCTAAAATTGTTCTATCACAGATTAGTGGAACTCCTATTTGTAGCATCTATTAATCTTCCTAATGACATTCTCCAAATTCCAATCTTTGTTACACCTTAAGTTGTGGATCTTATCGCAAATCTCCGTATCCTCTTCTCGCTTATTAGTCAACTACTTATAAAGCAAATGGAGATCATGTTATTATTACTGAGTGTATTTATGAATATTTTAATATTTCTATTTAATTTACTCATACATCTCCTTCATACCATAATCATTCATCAAAATATCAATTGTTTATGTTCGCAGCATCTTTATAGACGCCGAAGCTTTACATATATATTTGCTTTGCCTATAATTGCTATCACTTTAATTAATTTTCTCAAGATTTAAGCAGTCCTCGAATCCTTGAATTTATTGTTTTTACTCGTAAAATAAACTAGGCACTATTTATTCTATGACTTGATCATTTTCTATTTGATAAATCTTAGCACTATTTGAAATCAATTCAAAATCTTAGGAGGCAGAAAAATGATGTCTGTGTCTTTAACGTTTAAAACAATCACGACATTGGTTCTGAATGAAATTGTATTGCTTAATGACCTTCTCCTTGTCTGGTACAAAGTGAACCAGATGACAATCATCACTAGAATGATTCTTATTTTGGCAGATATAACAATACATAATTTCTTTCATTTTCAAATATTACTCCTAATCCACTTCATTTTATTATAAAACTTCTCTTACTCCTTTATTGGGAATTATCAAAATACTACAAAACGATGCTGTCTTGTATTGCAAAGAAGATGATTAATTACTTTTCATTTCCAAATGACCAAAATAATCATTTTCCTTCAAATAACATAATTATCTCTTAAATTACATATATCTTTACCTTTTATTATTTAACTTCAACCAAACCTTATTCTATAATGAATATATTAAGATCGTTATTTTCAATAATAATTCCAGGCTAAAAGGTCTTAAACTCCACTTTTTCGAGAAGCTAATGTAAGCATTTTTAGGAGAAGAACTGCCTGAAAAATTCACATTTGTTCATCAGAACCTAAGCTGACTCAATTTTTAGATCACTTTGCAATTCTTCTGGTAACAATTGGATCAAATCAGACTACTCATTTCTTTTTTATATGATTTCCTATTCCCAATAAAAATTGAAATATTCTCTCACTCTACCTTAAATTTAATTATTCTTACTTATATTGTAAGCCTTGGCTAATTTATTTTTCTCTCATATATTCATTAATACAAGTCATTTTTTATCTGATCTTCTCATTATTCTCTTTGATTTAAGTCAATATGGTTCCTATTGTATTTACAGAGAATGACAACTGCATCGTTGATAGAAACATATAACAAATACAAAATATCTTCTCAATAGGGTCTAAATTATCTATGGTTATTCTTACTTGTTGGTACTATTTCACCATACCCTACTGTGAACATGGTAACACTCATAAAATAAAATGATTCCAAATATACATTTTACCAAGGCTCTCCTTCAACTCGTTTAAGCCAATTAATTGTATCTTACCTTTACTTATACTCTCCTATCACTACCCTTTATTATACACTATAATTGTTACCAAAGACAACAACAAAAATGTTGAATTAACAAAATCAAGAACACCAATTTAAGCAATTCTATAAAAGAATTACTCAACTTACTCAATTTTAATTGATGCTAAATTGTATCAAAAAACTGTAGAATATTCATTATTTGCTAAAAGAAGAGTAAAAGTAGAATCCTAGGCCACCCATCCTCTTCCAATATGTATGGACTTTCTATTTCTGATAAAAAGGAGAAGGTAAGAATGATCCCAAATAAAATACTAAATAATTCCAAACAAGTTGATATTGTGAATTACCTTTTCACTAGTTCAAATCTGTCTTTCAGAGGAAGTCCCTTGTCGTAGCATATTGTGAATGCTCTGAGGATAATGTCTAGAATAAAAAACAGGCAGGTTAAAAAGATGAAAAGACTGTGATATTATTCAAGATCTTTAGAGTGGAATGTAATTACTATTGGCATCCATATTATCATGTAGACTCTCATTGCACTCAATATCAAATCCCATAATAATTTGAATTTGCTTTATGGTTCAATCAAGGGAATCTAGGAGAAGCATAGAAGTAAGTGTTATTTTAAGGAAGTTTTAAGTGCTCTATATTTCATTCTAAATTTAATTCTGAAATCAATCAGATATAAGTGCTATCTGACTATGTTGGTAGTGATGTTTGTTGTTTTCTTCATATACTTATAAGAGGATGCAGGATCATCAATGATTGCAAAATGCTTCCTTTGAAATTTCTGATTGGGTCTAATAAATTGCAACATTTTGTTGGCATATTTGGTTGAATGAAAATAAATCAATAACTTTGAAAAGGATTTCTGCTTTGGAGAAACGGAGCTGGTTTGATTACTTTATAAATTTTGAAATGAGATATTGATTTCTGATTGATCAAATTTTGTTTTTTATTTTGTATTCTTAGTTAAATCTACCTTCTTGGTAATCGTTTCGTCTATGCCAATAATAGAATGATCGATATTGTTATTAGATTCACTCTGATTGTCATTTATCATTAGAGTGCAACGACTGATGTTTTAATTTTAATCCATTATAAAATTACTAATAATGTAATATTCAAAAATCTGGATGAATGGCAATACGCTTCTTTTTCTTCGAAGTTCTAATGCCTATAATATTCATTAATTATACTTTTATTCACTTGGGGCTGCTATTGCTAAACCTCAGCTGGTTTCTCAGTCCGATACTTTTGTAAATACATCTTAGGGAATAATAGATATTTTGATATCTACTCAAGACCTACCCTCTCACTTCTTCTATGATTTATATAATTGGTTGCAAAATTATGTTCCACTATGATTCTTTCGATGTTCCAACTCTTATAATAATGTTTATAACTCTTATATTTATCGATTTCATATCCGTTCTATCCCAAAAGGCATTCTAATTATTTATACAGTAAAAATATGTCCTTCTATATCTTTTCGTTGTAGATTTGAATTTGTTTGAATTTCTAAGAGATGGCTTCAAATTGCTGAGTCAAACATAGTTCATCGATATCATTTTTTAATTCTAATTTTCTATCACTTTTTAAGGGATCCTTGCTATCAATCTTCATTTCCTAGTCCCCCTTTTGTCCTACAGGCACATTGATTATAATTGATTTGGGCTTCTCATCATTTATTTCAAGCAAGGAATTCTGTGTACAAGCGTTGATTTGTTATTACTTTTCATTGTTGGGGAAAAGGAGTTCGATTTCATTACTGGAATCTTATTAGAACTGTTCAGCCGTATCTTAAAAAAACTTCAATTCACTTTTCCATTCCTAAAATTAATCTTTCGGTTTTCTCTTAATCCTTGCTCTAGTCTGTGTAGAATTGTACAAATATTTTTTAATTACTTTTTCTTTGTCTGGGATAAAATGCACTTGGGGACACAATTCTGTTGCATGTGAACCTTTGCATATAGCACATTCATTTTTAACACTGAAACTAGCCTATGATACTATTTCCAATTCATTCTAATTTTATGCCACTAGTTAGACTAAGGATGCATATGGAATAATAAGAAGATTTGTAAATGATTTAGTACGATATTTGGTTTCATTTATCAAATCCATTGACACTTTTTTTAATCCAAACTACTAAAATTGACTTAATTAACCGACTACAGTCTACAATCTTGATTTCATATAAATACTTAATTTTGTAAGATTTCGACAAATCCATATTCAATAATGTATATGTTTTGCAGATCATTGATTATTATTCCTGGTTAGAAATTCTACACATAGGCTATTTCCACTAATTGATTTAGAAATCCTGGAGTAAATTTCTCTTTGAAAAATTGACACTTATTTATTAAATTTGAACTTCCTTCTCTCTGTATGCTTTTTTAAAGTTCTTCTGGAAGTAATCGTATTATTTCTGCAGTCTCATTTTTCTTTTAAACATTCTCTTGTTGCCAATAATAAGTTAAATACTCTCTAACTCTAAATAATAGGATAATTATTGTCATACTTAAATTGCAATCCACGACTCATTTGTCTATTTGTCATATGTTCGGTAACAGCTGTCATTTTCTACTTAATTTCTTCATTGTTTTCCTTCAATTGAATCAAAATGGATCCTATAGTATTTACAGAATATGAGAGCTGCAAAGTACAGAAAAACATGTAGACAATAGTAAAACACTTTTCTGATGTATCTATTGTTTATCAAATTCAATATACTCTGTGGAGTTATGTCTCCGTAGCCAACTGTAAATGTAGTCACACTTATAAAATACATGGCCTCTAAATAAATAACATGCCAAGGCTAATCTATATCCAGGTGTACCAAATCTAGCCATGAGGTTTCAGATTTCAAATGTTCGTATGTGCCAATGATAACCCTAATTATATTTCTTCAATACCATATGCACGAAAAAATGTGCTAGATTAATAAGATTAAACAAATCAATTTTATTAATTCGATTAATGAATTAGTTGACTTACTTGGTTTTATTACACATTATAAATTCTCAATAAACTAAAGAATATTTTTGGTTTGGACGATTAACAGCAACAGCAGTGCTTTGGTCCACCCTTTATCTTCTACCACTGACATTGAAAAGTTGTTCTAATGAAATTGGATGCTGAAATACAAAGATATAATAAAGCTAAATAATTCTATTGCAGTCCACCAGTTTATTTAATGTTGTATCAATTAATAACGATCTTTTACAGGAAATCCCTTATCAAATCTGATTGTAAAAGTCTGCATTGCCAAATCAATTAAAAAAGCGCTACTGCACACATTAAGTGTATATGCGTTCATATCCTCCAAAGTTCCATTTTTAAATGCTATCAAAATAGGAATCCAAATCAATAAATATATTCTCATTATAGTAATTATTCCATCCCAAATCAACTTTGTTGTTGAGTACGGATTAATGATAGGGACTATTCCTATCAAATATGACACTTTTTTCTTGGTTTAGGCTACTAAAGTATTATTAAAATCTTTGATTATGTTACGAAATCCTAACACTGCCTTATTATATTAGAGTAACGAAGTTTTTTATTGTTATTTTTTTGGATAGCTTTTGAACGATGAAGACTTATCAGAGATCATGCTAAACTAGCTTTTTGACAATTCCTTATAAGGATGAATATACGACAGCATTTTCCTTTTGAAATGATGGATATTGAATTGAACCATTAATTGAGAAAATTGTTTTTTTTTTACTTCTGATTAGATTAAGTTTTCTTTTTGACATGGGATGTCCTCTATTCTTTGACATTCTTGGTATTATATTTATTGAACTGCTTGATTTTAAATATCAATCGAATGATAGAGATTTGAATTATTGCAACCAGGCAAAGACTCCTCTTAGATCATTAATTGACAATGTGAGATATGAGAGTTATCTGTTATGTTGGTCTAATTCATTTTATTATTTTCAATCCAAAAATCAATAAAAATTTTCAATTATTGAAATAATTTGTATACTTTTAACATAAAAATCTTAGATTGCAATCATATTCAATGCAGGTGGTTATTCGATCTCTTAAATACTTGATATCTTGTTTTTTATAATATTGATAACATTTAATTTTTAATATTATCATTACTCATTTGGCTGGGTGAATCTGTAATGCCTTTCTAAATATCAGTTTTCTACCTATTCTTTTTAAGAGAAGCTCTTTCGACATTCTCCTTTATCTTTACTATACTTTCGAAATCTTTTAACTTCTCTTCATATCATTCAAATTCGAAACTCTATACTGATTTATAAAATCGAATGGGTACAATAGGTATTTTAATAAATAACTAGCCTAACTCAGTTGGCAAGTTTCGTAACTATTAGAATTATTATATTAAAGTTTTCGTATTGGATAGTTTTAGCACTTTAAGATTTGTGAAACATTGTGATTTACATTGTAAATTTTATATTCTTTCAGCTTCTCAAAATCTTAGATGAATTGATGATTGTAATTTAATTCTAACTTCTTTATTGTGAATTCCATTTGTTCAATATCATGAGATGTAAACAATTGTTTATTTCTTAATTTTTAATTTATAATTTGAAGAACATTAAATTCTTCTTAGTTCAATCCTCGAGATCGAGAACAAGACTATTGTAATTTCAGTTCGGAATTTCCATCAGGAATATAGCTTTTACTCTCAAATTCTTTGATTAAAAGAGAAATAGAATCAGCATCATGTTTAATTTTCAGATGCGGTTTACTTTCGTCATTATTAAGCTCTTCTAAATCTTGAAATTTAAGAAATGTGTGACTCTCATTGCTGACCTTCACTAAGTTTGCTGCCTCCTTCAAAAATTCGATATCAACCTTTGCACTGAAATAATTTTTCAACCGATTTCTATTTCTAACAAAAAATTGTCTTTCCTAACATTGATTATAAATGTATGATTTTAAGACTTTCTCTCTATCAGGTATGTAATGAACTTATCTACATAAATCTGATTGATGTCTTCTTGAATCACATGAAACACATTGTTTCAATTGGATCTATTATTATTAGATTTAATTTTTAATGTCTTGATATTTCTCTAAATCATTTTGATAATCCTGTAGAGTTTAATAAAATAAACTAAAAGGAATGACCAAAGTACTAACAAAACCAGCACTCTTGTAAACTAATCTATCTTATTTCTCCTATTTGAAAAATTATTCCAAATTAAAGCATTCACCCTCCTTGTGAGATCCCATTAAGGTTAGATGATTATCCTTTTCATTCCTTTCATACACATTAACTTTCCCTGATTCTATTATATGTAAAAAGAATTCTCCATCAATCTGCGTATTTATTTGTATGCTAGGCTGGTAATTTGAAAAAGTTAACTGTTTCAATAGATCATTCTAGAATCTTTAAGAAAATTCCTAAGCAAATAATTTACATTTCTTAAACACCAGAATATTTGATTCATAAGCTAAAGACCTTCTTAAATCATCAGACAATTAATTTAGGATCTTTTGTTATTGTAGTGTTTGTTTAGTTTGTTCTTAATACCAAAAATATTATAAGTATTCTCTCACTTGAACTTAGAGGTCCTTGCTGATATTCTTGTTATGCATATACTAATTGATGAATGTCAATTTCTTATTGATTTGTTCGCTCGTCTTTTTCAGTTGTTGCAATAAATGTCCTATTGTGTCTAAACTATAAGAAAGCTGAAATGCACATAGAAATACAAAAAATATAGAAAAGATTTTCTCAATTTTATCTAAATTATTAAAACTAGTTACTATTTGGATGGACATCTCCATATCCTACTGTAAACATAGATATGCTAATAAAATACAGGGATTCTATATAAATGTCATCCCAACTACTTTCTGTCAACTAATTAATTTCAATCCAATTTTTTATCCCACTTTAAAGACAGTATCTACCAATGATAATCCTAATATAAAAATAGAATGTACCATAGACAAGAACTTAGGTGTTGCAGTATCAATTATATTCCAAGCAACCTAGTCAATTCTATAATTGCAGAGGTTGCCTTGCCAAATGACATTGATTAAGACAAATTATCAATAAATACTAAAATATTCTTTATTTAATAGAATACTAACAAAAGTACTAGTTTAAGGTATCCACCATTTAATATGAATACATCATCATAAAATTTATAAAACACAGCAAATATAAACATTCCCAGCAAACCTGAAAATTCTATTAAAACGAAAAAAGCATTTTGATTGTGCAGGATTTGATATCTGTCTCTGATTGGAAGACCTTAATCAAAGTATATAGTGATGTTCTTCAACCCCATATCAATCAAAAAGCAAAAGGAAGCTATAATCAATGTCAGATGATATTAATCCAACAGCTTCTCATAAGTTATCAGTATTGGGATTAGGTACAGCAATTCAATTCGGATAAGGTTGAGTAATATATCCCAAATCATCTTGATTTTGTTTGTTGGTTCAATTAATGGAATTTAATTAAAGCATTTAGTAGCCAAGTATTCTAATTTTCTTTTATATTGGCGATACAAATAAGGTACGTGAACCTTCCACGAAACCGATTCAAAGTTTACAACAGTTAAGGATGGCTTTTTCGACTTGAAAGCTAAAAAATCTTTTGAATTACCTGATCCTTTATCTCCAATAATTGCAAAATGTTTATCCATAAATGAACCATCAGGCTTAAAATATCTCTAAAATCTAATCACAAATGAGGCGATGTGGAAATACAATATTAATTTAGCGAATGGCTTAAATATTATATTAGAACCAATATCAGGACTTTATATTTCCGCTTTCTTATTGTTTAATAAACAGAGAGAGGTTTCACTCTCAATCTATATATTCTATTTAGTCATTGTCGTTTCGACTTAAGGATTAGTAATTTTATCTCGGTCATATTAAAAACTATTCAGACTTTACATAAAAATTGAATTTAATAATGGTCTGATATTTTATATAAAATATTTATTAATCACTTTACATTTCAAGTTGACAAAGCAATGTACACCCAAAATAATTCTTCACTAAAGTTACGAAAATAGTATAAATAAATAATACAACCTACTTTGATATTCTATTGAAATATAAATCAAGATAGCACATCTCAGATTTACAAGATTTTAAATTATTATTAGATTATTAATAATATGGAAAACATTTCAGTTACATATCAATCAATAATATATATTGGTAAACAACAATTATAAAGAAACTTGTTAACAATTTTAATTATTTAAGAAGCGATTCATTCCTTTTTAGACTCTCAATTTGCAAGAATTTAAAAAAAAAGACTGTTAAGAGTACAAATATTGATTTTGAAATATTTTACCAATATTATCAAGCATAGCTTAATTATTATGGAACCTACTATTTCTTGCAATCAGCACAAGATATGGTTTACTTTTCTACAGTTGGTTTGAATAAATAAAAATCAGTTTTAACTGGTTCTTGTTGTTACTTAATATTTTATTATTTTTGCATCTCAACTTATTTATTAAGGCCTTCAATTATTTCTTGATTTACTTTCTTCTTGTTACACAATTCTTGATTATGTCTTTGTTTTTCTTATTCAATAATTTCTTCGTCTCTTTGACGCTGTTTCTATAACTCTATTAATTTCATAGCTTCTTCTTTTGTTTTTTTAAGTTTTACTTAAGCATTTAAATCTAATATGAGTTATTGCTATATTTATTATTTCTCTATTTTCTCCTATTCTAGTTGATTATGATACTCTTATAGGGTCTTAATCCTTTCATCGATTTCTTTATTTTTTATAGCTTTTTCCTATTATTATTTTTTAAGTTATTCTTTTTCATGATTTTACCAGTTGTTATTATTGATTATCAACTGGCAATGTTTTCTTCTTTATAATTCCTTCTCCTCTTATGCTTGATATCTCCAATAAGGATCATCGAATTCCACAGATTAAGACAATTGATCTAATTTTTTTAATCTTTTTTGCTATTCAAGTTGGCTTGCAAGTTCTTAATGCAAACTATTTTATTTCTTTTTTTTCTCATCTTTTTCTTTCTATAAAATTTCCTAATTCTATTTTATAATTAAGTTTTATTATAATATTTCTTATTCTTTAATTTATCTTTCTTTTTCTTTTTATTAATCCTATAATTATCTTGAAATAACTCGATTTTGTTGCTCCAATTGCTTTCGATATGATAATTGTCCGACTTCAAAATTAATCTTTTATTGTTCAAGTAATTAATTTTATTCTAATTAATTCATTAGCAACCTCTATTGTATAATTGTAAACTTACTTTCTCCAATTCAGATTCTTACTTTTTATTCAATTGCTTTTTATTTAATAATCTTTTATTATAGCAAGGACTACATAACAACGTTTTCCCAATCTATATTATAGGATTCTGAGTTGATTTTTAACTGTTTGAAAAAGCAATTTGGTATTGCTCTTTGGAAGGTGTTTGACTATGATATGATCTAGCACTAGCATTTCTATTGGGATTGTGTTGCTTGATATTTTCATATTTTTCCCTCATTTATTTCACATTTTACATAATTAAAAAATAAAATTTAAATAAGAAACAAATATTCCTAAAACTTTTTCAAATTTTAACATTGTTATTGTTGTTTTCAATAGATGAATCTAATGATTATAAAATAACTTCGATCAATTGAAAATATGCAAAATGAAGTATCAACATTCTTATTCTAAGATATCGTTTTTCCAAATGCCATTTGTGGTTTTTGAATGTTCATATAAGGTGCCAGGACCATTTTTCTATCCGTTTTTGTAATACCCATAGAATTTCTTCTCATTTCCCTCTTCTATTGCTTATCCTTCTAAGACTCCATTTACAAATTCTCCCTTATAAATATACCCATTCTACACTAAAACTCCAAGTCCATGATATTTATCATTATTCCATTGGCCCAAATAGATTAGATTTTTGTTTTTGTCATACATAGCACCCATGCCATGTCTTTTTGTTATGCTTATTTATCCATAATAGACTGTATCATCAACATACTCAATTTGATAAATACTGTCTTATTATTTAGCCGGACTTTCTTGTCCTAATGTTGTTCTCTAATATGAAAGATAACTAAATTTTCTCTCGGTCGGAGAGGCAGATTTTAAAATTGTTTAGGGCGGGCTTGATCTATATGCATCTACTGATACATCTATTAGAGTTTCATGATTTTATTTACATCTTTTCATTTGCGATTGGGGACTGGATTGAACGGTAAAGGACTGATAAAGTTTGCTACTAGACAGAGTGATTTTTGGAGATTAAGGACATCCCTGAAAATTTTAAATTGTCATTATAGACGCAACTGTCATTTTTGGACAATATTTGAGATACCTAATAATTGGACGCGGACTTCTTTTTCTCATAACAACTCTCTGATTCATCATATAGAAATAAAATTTATTATTTTAAACAATTACAGATCCAATATATTAAACATTCTCAAAAGCTATCTAAAAAATTAATCATCTTCCACAATATAGCCAATATCCATTTGGGTTTGGGTCTCAATTTTGGATCATGTTAGAGACAAAGAATAATTAGATGAAGAATTTTCTTCATTATTTTTTTTGGTCCTTACTTGGTCAGTTATAAAAAATTTCGTTTAATTGCGTATGTTTTGGTCTTGTATCTCTCTGCTAAATTTTTTAAGTCATTTGGATTGTATTCCTATCATAAATGGAGTATATTACAAAGGGAAATTATTCAAAAACAAAATTGCACATTAAAATCCCAAAAGAGAATAAATCGAATGCAGGGGTGATTTCATTTGAATTATATAATTCTGGGGCTGCATAAGGCAAACTACGAGAAAAGTTACATTTATCTTGTTGTAGCTGATCAAATGGCTTTGCTTCACCAAAATCACAAATCTTAGGGATTAACTACTTTTAAATTAATATGTTTCCCATCTTCAAATCTAAATGTGCTATTTATTTGTAATGAAGAAAATCAATCCCATTTATGATACCAGCCAGTATAAATAATTTCGTTCTTAAACTCAAGACCTGATACTTAGAATGAGTATATTGTTCTAAAGATCCATTGTTGTAGAACTCCATAAAATAACAGTCATTTAAGCTTTCATCATAGTAACTTGTAACAATATATGCCTCTCCATTTCCTTACTCTTATATCTAAGACAGATTCTTTAATATTGAGAGCTCGCAATTAACTTTTGAAGTATTGGTGCCTGACTTGTCTGTTTTTACTGCTAAAGCCCTAGAAAAAGTTTGATTGTTATCGCTAGTACTATAAGCTACAATATAATTCCTCATGTATACCTAACTAAACTTTACGTATCTCAGAATAACCTCCAGATGTAATCAGAGGTTAATCTTTCCATTGCTGGAGAGGATCGCCTCCAGTTTTTTAAACATTAATCTTAGTCAGCAAAGGCAAACTCTTTGGCTTTGGGTAATCCAAGAACTTGTCTTTCTCCTCTTTGGTCATCTCTTTATGCAACTAACTATTTTTAATCTACATTAAATTTACTGCTTAAATATCTCCTTTATTAAATCGACATTTTTTTGTATGCTCTCATATTGATCTTTTTGGGTTAATTGCTTAAATTCATTAAACGTTATCTTATTCATTTGATAGAGAACAAAAGGAGCTTGTGCCTCCATGAGGTTTTAGTGCTCTAAAATTTTGAAGCGAAAGCTTTCCAAAAAACTTTAACTTACCTCTATTTACTCATAAAACGATGTAGTCATTAAGGTGTTATATTAAAATAGCCCTGTTAGTGGGTCGATACTCAAAGAGCCATGAACTATCTTGTCATTCTATTTCAGGGTGTAGAAACTTAGCAAATTGATTATATTCTATTTCAAAATAGAATTAATATTATACTTTATCTAAAGCATAAAAAGGAGATAAATCCGTCTTAGTTAAGTAGCTCTTCAAGCATATTTTCTATTGCTTATAAGTAATATCCAAAGAAACACCATAGTGTAGAGGATGGAATAAAATTGGTATTGATACGACTAAATGACCCTGCGTTTGACATTATTAATTCAGATTCAATTATTCTTCCAGATTAAACCTCTAATAATCTGTTTTATCAAACAGTTTCTACAAGAGTTTAGAAAAGTTTTCATATCTATTAATCCTAATGATCAACATACAAGTTAGATTTTTAAATATTTGGAAATACTTCACTACCTAATTTGGATTATGGGTTCAATAATTGCCTCAAATTTGATAAATGCATTGATGGGTTCATTGCTTTTAACTAAATTTATGTAAAATTCTGAAAAAATAATTATTAGTTTGTAGCAATTTATTGTTTTTTCATTTTAAAACATTAAATTAATATATTTTTTACTCAAAATACAAATTATAAATATATTAGATATTATTTTTCATCTTATTTCTGATTAGAAAACCTTTGATCTTTTCTATCAGATAGTGATTCATAATAATTTTTAATTTTCTTCAGACCATATTCCAAAAGTAATTTTTTTTTGATTTAAAATTCTTCTTGTTACTAACTTAATGTTTTCATAGACATTAATACTACTGTATAAAGGAGGAAAGACAATCAAGACTTCATTAAACATTCAAATTACTGGAAACCAAAAAATATTGAAAATTGCAAATTACTCTTTCTTATTATATTGATGTAAGAGTATCACTATTTATTTAAGCAATCCCCCATTTATTCTGTCTAAGTCATTTTTGACAATTCGTGTGATTTTAATAAGAATTTATTCCTTAAGAAAAATTAAATATTATCAATATTTATTTCTCATTCCACTAATATTGATATAACAGAGAACTAAATGAAGATTTTAGGCAGAAATAATTCTATATAGATATGCGTTTATATATTGGGTACATTCATTACTAATAAGACATAAAAATATTCATTAAGCTGGGTTATTTGCTACCAAAAACTCTTAGGCTTCAACTATTGCTTCTAAGGCCTTCGTCTTTTCTTCGCTGGTATCAATCAAGGGATCATTTATTTTTCCATCCTAAATGTTTTAATGAGGATTGTTACTAGCCAACCTTAGAGTTCAGTCACAGATTCAACAAGTCTTCCAATAATGTTTGGATACATTTACACAGTTTCTTATAGAACTTCTTCCTAGAATGATAAGAAATAAATTTGAACTTATTTTTTGATATCTGCCTCATCAGCATTTTAGTCTTTAAGCTTTTAAATTCTTTCATTTTATTTCAACTCTTCCTTTTAATAACCAAAAAATTCTTTTTGAATTCTTTTCAGAGCAGCTGTTTTGATCTTAAGTTATTTTAAATCCTTATTGTTCTCTGCCATTATATAAATTAATATAATTATAAATTTCGATTTTAGAACTTAGAAGTGCTACTATTTTATAGTGGCTTAAGTTCAAAGATTTGATATCAATCCAAGTTGTATTACTAAACAATTTAACCATTTATAAATTTTACAATTCCTATTTTGAGAATCGATCCAATATAATTTGATTTAGAAAAAACGATAATTATATTATAATGATAATTTTGGTTTTAGGATGCTTCTTTGTTGTGCATGGATTGCCAGGTGACTCTTGTTAAACTACAGCAAAAGGGATATTTGCTAAAAGATAAACTGAATTTGAAGAATAATTGAATAGATTAAGAAATGAAGTTGCTTAGGGAAGAAGAAAAAATCACATTGGCGAAATGGATTATGCAGCAAATATGAACGTTGTTGAATGGCAATAAGGAATTGCAAATGCTGCATAAACTTGTTCAGAAAGATGTCCAGATTCTCTCGAAAGTTGCAAACAAGTAAAATTACACAAGAGACAATATTTAGTTAACAACTCGTTATGGTGCTTTACATAAATTCAGAACTGTTCATTCAGTCAGTCAGGAATGGGAACCAAGGGAGGTTTATCAAAAGTGGATGGATGATAACAAGGGTGAGTAATTGGTTATTGCAAGAATGAAATATTTCGGGTGTGGACGTTCTTTAAAAAAGAATATTGATAAATTCATAGAATATGTTGTTTGTTTCTTTGATGAGGTACTTTATCTTAAAGAATAATAAGGCTCCACGCAAAGGTGTTGTTCCTTATGTTTCTGCCACTTAAAAAACCATTGGGTCAGCATGTGATAAAGGAAGATCAAGCACCTATTCAGGATTATGCAAAACAACAATATATCAATAAAAAATATTTGATGGAATAAGGTTTAGCAAATATACTCTGGTTGAAAGTAAATGATATATATAAATAATATTAAATTTAAAATGAAGACATATATAAACTCAAATCTTGTCTATTCCTAATATTCTGCGACTTGAAGAATAAGTTATTTGGATGGTTTTTAGTTAAACCAATTAATCCAACCTATCAATTTTCGGAATTAGATCTACAAAATTCAAACTTATAGGAATACTCAATTTAAAGCGTATAATTTTCTATCAATTTAATTAAATCTTCTAGCTTAAATCTTGAAGATAAATTATTAAGTAATAAGCATTCTTTAATCAAAACCTAAAAAAATAAATTATCCAATTAACACAGGATATAATCAAAGAGTGGCCAAATCATTTTGGAAATAGAGGGTTTATATTTTGATACCAAAAATGGAAGATTGGCTATAGCCCTAATTAAACCAATAAAAAATATGAAACGAAAATGGTTTTGATTCATTCGCATTCCAATCATCCAGATATTGGAAGTTTTATGGATGAATATGAATACATTGATTTTGTAAAAAATTCAAAATAATGGTAATCGAATATGACTATCCTGGATATGGGCTTAGTCATGGTGTTACTAATTAAGGAAGTATATTCAATGCTATTGAATGTGTTTATTATTTTGTATTGTCTCTTGGATTTTAGAACTCTTAAATTATATTATAGAGCCAATCATTAGGAACCAGTCCTTTAATATATCTGGGTTTTTGAGCGATATTATAGGCAAGTTAAATCAAAATGGGGGAAATTATTATCAAGTCCAGTTTTAAATCTAAAAGCTTTTTAGAAATATTTATTATTGATGATGGAAATCATAATAATTTTGGATCGCAATCCAAGGAGTTCAATGAGAAAATGTAAAATTTTATTAATATATATTACAAACACTTTGATTTAATTCATTTTTTGAGTTTCTCTTTTTTATTTTTGCTTGGGTCTGGGTTCATGTTTTACCATTTATAACCTTCTATGGCATTCATGAAATTAGAAAACATTAGTTTAGGGATATTGTCAGTAGTAGCCTATTGAAATTTAAACCTATAAGCTTATTAAAATAAAATTTACTTGGTTGTGGCTTCTTAATTTATCTATTTAATTTTCATTTATTATTCAGGATCATCTGATATTAGATTGACAGATTCTAATAGTCTTTCTATAAATAATATTTTATTGTTTTTTTCTTTTTTTTTATTAGAATTGAAAAATTGAATTGGAGGAGATGTTAATTAAGTTTAGATAGTTTATTGAACTTGGACCATCTATTATGGTTGTTCTCTAATAACTTCGGAATAGGCTTATTCTTCATCATCCAACTGTTTTAGATTTCGCTCTTCAAGCACATGTTTATTGGATGTGTCATTTTTCAATTCTTTTTCACATTTTTCTGCATATAATCTCAAATCTTCAGTTACAGGTGCTATCAATTTGGTGGTATATTTATTTTCATCATAAGTAGGTTCAATGCCAAATTTTTTAATAGCTTCGAATTGATCAAAGTTTTTCACTGCTTAATCTTCTAGGTTTGAAGCATCCACATTCTGTTCCCATCTCACAAAAGTCTTTGTTTTTTTTTCAGATTTGGATTTCTCAACGATCTGAGATTATGGCATTTGATTTTGCACCTTCAAATAAGTTAGATCTTTGAATTGCACTTGTTTGTTATCATTAGATTCATTAGTTGCCAAATTGCGAGTATAATTGAATACGAGTTTTTGTTCATGTGGTTATATGAGTCTTATCTATCCTTCATATTGAGTGCCATTGATATCTTAATATTGGACACACTCCTATGATTTAAGAACTAAAAAAAAATGAGCCAAGTTGGCTTACATTTATTCAGAAATAATCATATAATTTATATATAATTATAAATCAATGTCTTAGTTGTGTTTCAGGTTACTCAATGTTGTTATATTTATATTAACGCAAGTTGGTGTCAAGTGTCTTACCGCCCAATTCCATAATTTACTCAGGTACCTCTTGCAATTTAACCTATTCTTCTTCTAATTGAATTGTATTACATAATTGAATTTCAACTTTATCACTAATTTCCTCCTCATCCTACTCAAGTATCTAACTTATCTTATTTGGATTTTCAAGGTGAAATAAAATGAATAAGGTGACAATCCAAACATTTATGAGTGTGATTTGATAATGATCATAATACAAATAATTTGGATTGAATATCACTATGTTTTACCATAGAATTCTTGCAAAAAAAGCGCTGACAAAAATTAAACTAAAGATTTAAAATATGAAAATCCCCTTAAAATATTTATGACACATCTTCATATTGATATCAGTTCTAGCAAATTTATATTGAGTTGCTTTATTTCTCCTATTTTTTATGAATAACACACCCTATACCAATAAAAAGTAAGTGTACCAAAATACCATAAACAATCCAATAAAAGTAAAGTTTGATTAGTTAAGATAAACTGATGATTGAGGTATGTTCTTCATCATGTCCAATCCAGTAACAATGGTAATAAATGATTTCAATGCAGAATAGGTAACACAAGCTCCTAAATTGATGAATGTTATGAATTGTTAATTGAATTCAAGTAATTTGAAAGCAATAGATATACAATAGAACATAAATCCAGCTTAACCAATTGATTGAAAAATTACATTAAATAATTTTAAGTAGATATTATCATAGAATAATTGAATCAGAAATAAGGGATGATTATTAAGGAAGAATATCAAAAATATTTGATTTCTTACAGACAAAGTTGGTATCATTACTTTAGCTTATTGATCCTCAAATTCATCCTCCAACATACATAAAATACAACAAAAAACCAGTTCAATTCCAATCCAAGCAATCATCATAACTTCATTATATAGATAATAATCTTTGCTTTGCTTCATGATGGCAAAGTTCATATATTGATACTGAATTCCTTCTACCATTATAAAGCCAAATAATCTTGAAAAGGGTCTGTTGTCTTTAAATATATGTTCTTTAGTGTAGCAAGTATATGATGTTAAATTTTTGACACATTCCCAATTCAGAAGTAAGGTTGACTATTGGACTTCTATCTATTTATCATATATATTCGACTTAATTTTAGGTAGATAATTGATATTCTCATTTTATGATGCATCATACCAACAAGATCTCCTTGTGATGTCATCAAAATAACCTATAGAGTAGGTTAGCATAGTTTAAGTGACGATGGATTCTTGATTGAGTAGAATGCCTTTGATTCCGAATGGCTAATCTGGTATGTTTTCATGACAAAAGAAACATAACAAATTGTTGCTCAAAACTGATTTGAATTCTTCTTGAGTTCCCTAAATCTCTTTTATGATCCAAAGTAGTACATTAAACATTCAATTCATTTTGACATTTGGTATCGTCAACTACATCTGTAAATGTCAAGATTTAAGGAGCAACTTCTGCTATGCCTGTAAACACAGCAACCAGACTTACATCGATGACCAGTAGAAGTATTAAGATCCACTTGCTCATTAGACTGCTTTTGTATATATTGGTGTCGAAATTCATATTTTTAATTATATATATATTAAAAGCATATTTAAAATGAATAAAATGGAGAACTTTAAGAACAGTTTTCAGTAGAAACTAGAAAACAGACTACAATTCATTATAGGTTTTACGCAATTTTGTCTCATGAAAGAAAACAATTTCCTTTGGACACTGTCCTTGATAGTGAGTGTGCTTTAAAAAGTCGCCATAATAAAATTAGCTACTTTACTAAATAATTTTAATGGATTACCTGGAATCTAAGATTTGGAGCTACTATTTAAAATATGTGTGCCAACGATGTACTTGCCTGAAAATCTAGGGCCAGATTATTTGATTGCATGTTAGAGTGTATTCATCGTGTTCTTTTCCATTCCAGCCATCTTGGTTGGAGTGAGCATGTCCGATGAAATAACATTTTTCAAATAAACCAAGTTCAAGAATAAGAGACAATTAAATATCAGTTAGAGTGACAATTTAAGTGATTGCATTCAGATTATGCATTAGATCTACAACCAAAACTCATATATAGAAGGATTTCAACATCGTTTGATGTCAGATCAATCAAATACATCCCTATAAATAATAAGGTTGAGATAAATAGCAATATTTTTGAATTATTTTCCTCATGTGTTTTTAATCCCAATACTTTACTTTTTATTGCAAATCAACTTAGCATTAGACAAGGCAGATCAAACCTAGTAAATTGTTGGACAAATCCTTAATGTAATTTTGGCTATTGAAACCTTGATAATTGCAGCTCTATCCTTGGTATGGTGTTAAGTGTCATTTACATTGCATGAATCCAATTTTCTGAGATTGAGATTTTCATATTTATAATGGTTACATATAGGATTTTGTATAATACCAATATTGATCAGTTACTCTTATGTAAGGGCAGGCAACCTTATAAAAGAAGATGATTTTATTCACATAGTTAATTTGGTCTTTGTAATATTGGCTTTTCTAATTGACGCCTTAGATGCCTATATCACACTGCCTTACGTATAGAAATTCAAGTATTCCACTAATTTGTTTATGAGGGCAATTGTAATTTGCTTGACTTTATTTTTCATATGCAGACTAAGTGACTAATAGATAATATGCTTGACTTTTATTGTTTCCCCTTGTCTTAGTAGACTGTTTGTTGTTCTTCAGGATAGTAGAATTGAAAATGTGCTCACCTCCACTCTAAAGAAGGAAAAGTCTATTCAAGTATTGGTGAATCAACAATAACCTCAATAAACTTTACACACTCATGAATCAGAACAAGGTTTACGAATTGAAAGTGAGAATATCAAATATAAGGACTTTTAATCAAACATGATTAAATAATATGACATGTCTTACTTCATTCATTTTATTAGAGCAGTCCAATTAATGAGATTGTCAGAAATTGGAGTATTAACTAGAAATTCTGGAGTGGAGTTAAAGAATGAGAGATCTAAGATTCTTATGGTGTGTATCATATTGTTGAGGACTCACACTGAAAATTGCAATAATCAATATTGCTTTTGTAGAGGTTTAAAAGGGGAAAAGAGAAAGATAATCGAGAAATATGAGATAGTTAAAGAAATGAGAATGTATGATGATTTTAAAATACTCAATATTCAATTTTATGTTGAATTGATTATGAGATATTTAAGAGATTACTCTAAGCTAGTCTTCTAAACTGAAATACGTAAGGCACATCCCAATATTATTTATTTGATATAGATCCTAGTGTTTTTATGCAATTCTGATGAGTGTTATTAAGCTTAATTGTAAATACTTGACCTGAAACATTTATTGGAGAAAGGAAGTTCTTTGTAGCAGAGATTAGCCTTCGAACTACTGAAGAGTTATTCCAAATATCAAATTCTACATAGATTCAAAGAGGATATTACTAGACAATCAATAGAGTTAACATTGAAATATGAGGATTACAGGTACACTGAATTGGAGAGGGATCGTTTATTGAAATTAGTATTTGCCAATTTATAGCATAAAAAACAGTTTCTAATAAAACTAAATGATGAAACTCATAGTTATGAGTCACTTGAAGAATTATATTTGCAATTAAACACACAAAATTGTAACATCTAGAAAGAACTAGAATATTTTAATTTATATTCACCAGGAAGAACCTCATTGTATTGCTACATGCTTTATTGTCTCGAAGTTACAAATAATTATGATCAATTTATTAAACTATGCAATTTAATAAACACAAGGGAAAGCAAATTTTTTGAATACCCATCTTTTTATTATAAAACTGAAGAGTAGTCATACAAAGTAGGATATATGTTGCTTAATTTAACTCAATCGCATATGAAGAGAGGTGAAATCATCAGTTTCTCAAAGAATTTTCCTTCCTTTGTAGGTTATACTTAAGAAGAATTTCGATAACAAGTGAAATCATTAGATCAACTCTGTTATCCTAGTCTAATCAAAGCACATGATGAGATGGTGGAGATGTTTGTAATAACAAATAGGCCTATGATTTTTAGATAACCTTTGCCTTTATTAACATAGCAATCAACTCCAGGAGTTTTGAGTTATTTGGAAATCTTTATTGATATCAGCTTTAATTTTTCATCAAATATTCTCCCATCCTTTTGTTTCATGAAGGAAATCAAACAAGGAATTAGATAGGATGGATTAAGTGGGTTTATTCTTTTGGATTCCAAATAAAATATAGAGGGAATTACTAATAATGCTTTAGAATGTTTTGAAATGAGTAATCCCTCAAAATTACTAGGTAAATCTATTAATTAATTTATACCCAATTTTAATTCTTTAGATGCCTAATTGCAACATTATTTGGAGGAATATTAAAAGGAAAATGGAGTATCTGGAACATTAACAACAGCAAATAAACTGGTTTAGCATTTCACTGTTTCCTAAGATTCTATAGAAATGATATTAGACAAGGAAACGAAATTTCAATTGGATTTGGAAGTTTAGATGTCTTACTCTCTAGTAAATAGGATGGTTTTTAAAGTGTATGTTTTAAAAATCAGATCACCATATAAATTAGGAGCAGTTTGTTCTGATGAATCCCCATTATCAAAGTCTTTAGATGAATATAGTTCTGAATTCGAAGGTATCAAGTTAAAGGATTACATAATGCCTGGTGCAGGTGATAATGAGATTCCTCAATTCACTTCTCAGCCAGATCCAATAACTTTACGTAGTTAAATGGTCCCTGTTGAATAAGAAAATCAACCCTTGAAATAACAGGAATTCTTATGTAGTGATCATCACGATATGATATCGAAGTAAGATTCAAGTGAAAAAGATATCGAATCACCAGAATAACCTCATAAATAAATTTATATCAATAGTATCAGCAGTAATTCATCAAAGCAAAGCGAAATCTAAAGGATTCTTGTTAAATCTCATTTTTATCGTAAGTTCTCTGAAATGAATACTAAACCTAAATTGCTTTATGCATTACTTTTCATCAATGTCTTTTCCTTAGCAGCCATTTTAGGATTTACAACTGCAAGTACAATACTTTATGCCAATTGGTAAAGTAATATGAGAAGCAACATATATATATTATAAGCCTTTACTATGACTGCTTATAGTAGAGCAACATTGTAAGGATCAATGACTATGATTTAATACATTCAATTTGACTACAATTTATCATAATATGGTATGTATTATGAATATAATGCTACCTTACTTGGGCAATTGTAAACAGTCTTGGATCGAAACATAGAAATATTTTCAACCAAAATGGATGAGTATTCAGAAAATTCAATTATTAGAGAAGTATTTTCAACAATAGAATTAGAATAATTGGATATTTTTGAAAATGTAGACAAAACAGTCAAGGGATGGACTGCTCTGTTTTAGTTAATCTACATGATAAGATCATTACACATCAGCGATTTTACTGATAGTTTCCAATTTTTAAAGTCTATCTTATACTTATTGAGATCGTATAGTAAATATAAGGATGCATATTCCCTCTTGAATACTAGATTTACTGATGAAATTAACTCAATTTTAGGGTCTCAGGATAATATTATCGACTATGTAACCTTTATTTTCATTGCTGTGTATGTAGTCTATTTCTGTATTGCATTTCTCTTATAATTTTCATACATCTAGTTATGTAAAAAGTACATAAGATGCTCAGAGTAAATCTCGCATTCTGCAATTGCAAGCGAGTTGAATCATGTGAATTAATTGTTATTAATTAATTAAGATGTATTTATTTATAACATATTGATTAGCATTTTGATCTTTATGAATACCATTTCTCATTAAGAGATAAATTCCATTCTGAGGAAGAAGAAAAACAAAATAATAATTTTTTGGGTGGAACTTCCAATGCTAACAATAGTAATAACAATAACAACAACAAGAAGTTTATCAAAGTGTAGGGATAATTGAATTTAAAACGATAATTTACTTTCAGCATTCATTTAATTTCCTTTACTATTACTTTGATTACCTTGTTACTAATTAGAATGAATGATAAATCTTAAATTTAAGACTTAGAGTCTAAATTGGCAATCTATTAAAAGTGCATTACTTTTACAGAAAGCTTATCAGAAGCATGCTTAACAAATTTCATTTTGCAAAGTAACAAATATTTGGTTGAGAGTGCCTTTATTGATCCTGAAGATCCAGCATAGTTTTTTATCTATACTAATGAAAGTTATACGATAGCAAATAGTATTCTTGGAGAAATACTTTATTCAGAAGGAACGGTTTCAGAAGAATTAAAGATACTATTTTCAAGTAATGTGTGTTTGGTTGTCAACGAACCCGATATCTGCGTCACAGTTAATAATGGAGAACTCGAATAAGGATTATTATTGCCATCTTAAGAGTTATTTTAGATTTTGAGGGAGAATATAGATCTTTATTAGATAAGTGGGTCTGCATCTTAAATGCTCCAATTGAATCATATGTTGTCCGAAAGCTTTATGATAGATGCAGTAAACAATTTTGTAGACACGGTTCGATAAACAGTAGAACAGGGAATATTGGATAGCAATAATGTTAAATTAACCATTTCTATAATCTTTTACCTTTTCATTATTTTGATAAATTTAGCTTAGATTTGGTTTATTCATTAATATGTCACGAAGAAGTTGTGGGGTATTAGGCAATTTGTGTATTTGTTACCACCTAAAGCATTGTATAATGAGGATAGCTTTTATAAAACTCTAACATATCTACTGAAAATAGAAAATTAAATACTATATATGTGAAAAAATCTTATTTAGTAATTTATTTCATATCTAAATAATTAATGATTAACTTTCTGAAATTCTAGATTCTTTTGACAATTGTTATTTATCCAAAAAGATATATTTTCTTTATCATCATCTTAAACAAATAAATTTTTTGTTGTAAATCTAAATAAATAAATAATGGTAAATTCAAATATTTACTATTTAGGAGAATAAATTTCAAAATCCATTGATTTACAATAAAAAGGTTGAAATAAACAATTACAAATATTTTATATATAAAATTTAAATACAAATGGTATTAACTGATAAACCTTGCTTTGGATTTTCAATTGCAGCCTTAGTCATATATGTAACAATATTTGGAACAGCCAACATCATTGGTTACGGTCCCATAAACTAACCAATGAGCAATGGAAGTAAATTTACAGACTATATTTAGAGTAGTGTGAATTAATATATTTTCCTGATCTCAAAGATATTTCAAAAACTCTTTGCTTAGATGAATGTCCAAAAAAAGGAGATACAAAGTTGCAATGTGATAATTGCTCAGGCAACATTTTAAACACAGATGAATGTTATATATATTATCATCTAATTAGACAATAATGCTTGCTTGCCTACTTTGTATAATTAATTAACATAAGTTATGCCTGCTTTGAAAACACCAAAACTTAATAACTTTACTTAATCTTTGATATCAAACAGTGAATTTGTAATAACTGGACTTTTCTTTTTACTCTCCATACTTTATGTAGGCTAGAGAATGGTCAGATAATACTTTTCTCTTATGATTTCATTCTTAACTAACTTTTACCCATATGGTTTATTGTGGCTATCAATTGTCATGGCATATCGTTTGTCAAACTTTCATGATATGGACAAATTAGAAAGAACAGGAGAGTCCCGACAATTGAATTATTAAACTATCGGAATCCTCGTAGAAGCTTTCAATCATAAATCCACCTATACAATAATGCTACTGATCTTAATCAAAGTATTTATAGGATCCCTTATAACTCAATGCTTTCATAAAAATGACAAGGAGGGATATAGACTGAAAAGTTATATCTCTTTGACAATAAGAAAGAAACTTGGACAGTATACATTAAGATATAATTCTGTAATTCAAATTCTTGTAGTTATCAACTTCTTCATAATGTATTATTCAATCACGTAAGAATACTCAAATAATTTTAGTGCAGCATTAAGCAATGGTTCAATAGACTCAACCTAAACTGCTTATAGTTAGTATTAAACATCCATTTTAGGAATCACCTTAGCTATTATCGTATTTTGCCTATTTGTTTATGCATCCAAAATATTAAGATTGTACACTGATTATTTCATTTACATTTTTACATTACAGCAATTGTTATGGGAGAAAGAGCAAAACATATAAATTTTAAAGTAACTATTTTATTATAAATTAGAAATTCATTAGAGGCTTTCGGAACAATCTCTTTCTTGGCTTTTAAGCAAATAATTAATTCGCCAAAAAGCCTAGGAATTCGATTCATGTATTTAATTAAAAAGTCTGCAGTCGCTCATAAATGGGAAAACGATCTATCTTTATTAACTTCACTGTCACTTGGTCGTTAAGTGTTTTACTTGACTCAAAATCAAGTCAATAATTAACCAATAGCTTCATTTCAATTATAAGAGAGCATCGATGCTTTAAACATTTAAGATTTGGATATTGTTTATATATTATGTATATACTCGTTTTAATAATTATAATAGATTAACAAGCTGAATATATTCTTCAGTATTCTGGATGGTCAATTGGATGTATAATTGGACTAGTTAATTCACTCTTCGGTTGCGGTTTCTCAACTATTGTGCTGATGATCCCATTGTGTTGTGATCTAAGCTATGTGATTGGTGCATAGATTATAAAAGGATTCTTAACATTTGGATTAATAGAATATAATTAAGATGATGATTAATTAATGAAATATTATAAGTCAATCATATTGATTGAGAAAGAAGAACTGATATCCAAGTAAAATAAACAATAATAAAAGTGATTACAATAATTTATTTTAATTACATTGTCAAGTCTAATTTAAATTCAGATAAAACACAAAGTTTAATTCTCTTCATTTTGCTAAATATTTTTAGCTAAAATTACTAGTATTTAATATTGAATTCAAAACTTATATCTATTATATTCTTCAGGTTGAAAGTTTCAGTTTTATTTTGAGTAGATAATAAATAATGAATGCTTACGTAATAGTTTTCTGTAAATATTTATTAATATCTTAATGATTTTAATATTCTAATTAATTGAGATCACATATGTTTTTAATTTCATTATATATTATTAATGGAAGAAACTTTCAATAATATATATTTCAAGGGAGAAGGCTATCAAACGAACAGCTAAATCTTAGATCNTCAATGCTTTCATAAAAATGACAAGGAGGGATATAGACTGAAAAGTTATATCTCTTTGACAATAAGAAAGAAACTTGGACAGTATACATTAAGATATAATTCTGTAATTCAAATTCTTGTAGTTATCAACTTCTTCATAATGTATTATTCAATCACGTAAGAATACTCAAATAATTTTAGTGCAGCATTAAGCAATGGTTCAATAGACTCAACCTAAACTGCTTATAGTTAGTATTAAACATCCATTTTAGGAATCACCTTAGCTATTATCGTATTTTGCCTATTTGTTTATGCATCCAAAATATTAAGATTGTACACTGATTATTTCATTTACATTTTTACATTACAGCAATTGTTATGGGAGAAAGAGCAAAACATATAAATTTTAAAGTAACTATTTTATTATAAATTAGAAATTCATTAGAGGCTTTCGGAACAATCTCTTTCTTGGCTTTTAAGCAAATAATTAATTCGCCAAAAAGCCTAGGAATTCGATTCATGTATTTAATTAAAAAGTCTGCAGTCGCTCATAAATGGGAAAACGATCTATCTTTATTAACTTCACTGTCACTTGGTCGTTAAGTGTTTTACTTGACTCAAAATCAAGTCAATAATTAACCAATAGCTTCATTTCAATTATAAGAGAGCATCGATGCTTTAAACATTTAAGATTTGGATATTGTTTATATATTATGTATATACTCGTTTTAATAATTATAATAGATTAACAAGCTGAATATATTCTTCAGTATTCTGGATGGTCAATTGGATGTATAATTGGACTAGTTAATTCACTCTTCGGTTGCGGTTTCTCAACTATTGTGCTGATGATCCCATTGTGTTGTGATCTAAGCTATGTGATTGGTGCATAGATTATAAAAGGATTCTTAACATTTGGATTAATAGAATATAATTAAGATGATGATTAATTAATGAAATATTATAAGTCAATCATATTGATTGAGAAAGAAGAACTGATATCCAAGTAAAATAAACAATAATAAAAGTGATTACAATAATTTATTTTAATTACATTGTCAAGTCTAATTTAAATTCAGATAAAACACAAAGTTTAATTCTCTTCATTTTGCTAAATATTTTTAGCTAAAATTACTAGTATTTAATATTGAATTCAAAACTTATATCTATTATATTCTTCAGGTTGAAAGTTTCAGTTTTATTTTGAGTAGATAATAAATAATGAATGCTTACGTAATAGTTTTCTGTAAATATTTATTAATATCTTAATGATTTTAATATTCTAATTAATTGAGATCACATATGTTTTTAATTTCATTATATATTATTAATGGAAGAAACTTTCAATAATATATATTTCAAGGGAGAAGGCTATCAAACGAACAGCTAAATCTTAGATCAAGCGAATCAGTCAACCATTTCGAATCACATGAACAAATTTATGAATCTGTATTTACAAGTATTATTAATCATATTGTATTAAGAAAGTTCACTTGTAAATGTTATTATATCAATGTGATAGTGAAGAGTAATGTCATTATTATGTTGAATAATTGAATAGATATTTGCAATAGTTTTGTGCAGCTGGAAAAGAGTTTAATAATTATAAGAAATTCTCTTTGAACTTCAATTGGAGTGAATATCATAAATAGAATTTCATCACTAGAATACTCTACGATTCCAAAATTTACGATACGATAATGACAATCAAGGATAACTATCAAAGCGAGGGAGTTGAGAAACTAGTTAATTTAATCAAAGCAAAGTAAAATAACAACTCACCAAAATAGTAAAAACAATAAGATAGAATATTGTTGCGATCTGGTTTACTAAGAGTAAACTATCTAAATTAAAACTCATTCTGATTTAATGAGACACTGGCTATAGTACAGTTAATGCGAAGATTTAGGCCTGGATGAAATTATGGATTTCGAAAGAAGACTAGAAAAGGCTATTACTGGATTACCTGATACAGAGAAATAGTTACCAACACTTCCATTAAATTGGGAACAATAAATACTCTCAAAAAAGAAATGATTTTTTTTATTTTATAATAAAAAATAAAATGATCATATCCATTTCTTAGTTAAATGATGAATTCAGATACACCATCTAATTCAAAAAAGATACCCTCAAATTGCCAAAATTACAAATGAAGTAACTTGAAAGAAATCAATCTCAAAATTTCATTACTAACAGATCAAAAGAAACACCTCTAAGTTACAGAATCAGAGAATTTAAGTTCAATAATGTATAAGTCACTGACCCAATTATGCCCATCCACAGAAAAAGAGCCAATTGTTCTGGTTATAAGAAGAATGAGATTTTACACTTAATAAAATAATCGTAATTAAATATCAAATATTTATGAAAACTACTCTTCTCCAAAATATCCTCAAAACACAAGCAAATTCTAATATGATTAAAATACATTAACCAAACTTAAATTTAATTCAATTTGATTCACCTCCCCGAGAATTCTACACCAATGAGTTTTATGAAAAGAATAAAAATAAAATTCGTATTTATGAGTCCATCGAAGAAAATATGAAATATCATTACCTTAATCCATAATCCCTTTTTGATCCCTCTATTTCAACTGATATGTATTATCCTTATAGCTTCAACATGAAAATTAATAGAGATTTGCATCTTATTTTGGCAGAAGCTTATTTTGGTTCAACTAAACCTAAAACCGCTATAATTGGTAACTAAGCCACTGCTCGTTTAGTTAGATACATCTAGGATTTAAATTACGATCCAGTAGCTTGTGATAGCAAAAGAAACTTTATAGACTTCACAAATTACATTTTAAATCTGAATGGGCTTTAATCTCAACAACTAGTATAAATGGATAAGTATGAATTTCTATCAGGAAAGCAATTCGATTTGATTGAAATTGAAGATATCTTTCGTAAACCATTTGGATTGTTAGTACCTGCTCTCAAGGCAATTACTGATGGTGGATTATTGATTTATACAATTTAACAATTCATTCCTAATACTACATAGATAGGAAAATAAACAAAATAGTAACTCAATTTATTTCATAATGACATATTTTCCAATTCTGAAACTATTATTTAAGGAACACTTGCGAAATTCGAATAAGTAGCCCATGATCTTGGAAAGCATATTGAACCCATCTATACATTAGCAACTGCTAATTAAGTAGGACATCTCACTTTATCTGTGGCAGTCAGAAACGGTAAAAAATAATTAAATCAATATCACACTTATTGTTCCACTTGTGGTCGATTTACAAATGGTTGTGAATACTCTAATCAGTGTAACCTTATAGGAATGGGTCCTTTGCATATATCAAATTTAGATCAAAACAAAGAAGTTTTAAAGAAGTGTTTGTAATTAAAAAAATACACTAATTGGGGATTCTTAGAAAAAATGATAGAGTAAATATACAAAATTCCTGCTGACTGCTATCCTTTCTGTATTACAAAATATATGAAATATGAGAAATCTTCTTTCTTTTATGAAGCTTTAGGAAATAATGAAGGATATTTTGTGGCCAAATCTCCATATCATAATGTACCCACTATCTATACCAATATGCCTTGGCATATTTTAATGGGCAAAGTCCATTAATTTGTAATTTATATATATTTAATTTTAGATGATTGAAACAAATCAATAACCTCCTCCATATGTGTTATCCTTTCCAACCTAACCCTTAAGTTAACAAAATCTTGAATAAGCATAAAGAGTAGTGTATGAAGAAGAAATTAGATTAAAATCACTTCCGAAGTAGTTAAAGGCTAAAGGATAAGATAAGCATTGATGGGTAAATTAATAATTTGAATTTTTTTACCATGATATAATAAACCAGTAATTTATGTTTAAATAAACATATCTTTTTAAAAAATATTAATATTGTTTGAATTAAAGAATGTTCTTTTTTGGTATTATTATTAATTTTTTATTAAAATTAGGTACATCTTATTTATGTTCTTTAAATAACAAGACAAATGCTTTAGAATATCCGTTTAGAGTTTTCTATAAATGCAGAGAATAATTAGTAATATAGAATGTATTTAAATGACGCAATAAATCAATTTAAATAATAACTTATGGAACATATCAATTTTTAAAATTGGATTTAAAAACTACTAAAATATATATTAATCTAATATTTTCAAATTCACTTTTTATTTGTTGATTCTTCTTCACTAGATAAGACATTATTCTAATATGCTAAAAATGATATTTAAATTATTATTACTTTCGATCAAATATTACACTAGGAATCCATTCTCCTAAACAAAGTTGATAGCTTTTTCGTAGGATTTACCAGTAAAGTTAAGTATCCTTACTACGTCTTCGTCATTTGCATTTGGAAAATTCTATAACAGAATATTGAGTAGTTTCTAAACTGTCTCAAATAAATGATATCAAGTACATTTCTCTTCGTTTTTAGTGTAAACCCTGATTAAACGCGTTTTTACACTTGATTGAGGGAATTCGATCAATTGGCGCTATCTCCCTATTTGAACTTGTTTAGCTAACTTTGGTTGAATGCGAGTAGGTTCCTTACGATTTTTAATTGGCCTCTTCTTTTGCTTAGGTGATTAGAATGATTCATAATGCATTTATCGCATTGTCTTCTAAAATTTTAAACTTTTTGAAACTCTTCTCGGAAGTTGAGGGGAGTCAGAAGATTCATAATCATACACCTTTCCTTAACTTTCCAACTAATCCAAATCCAAGATCTTAGGCTGCTTTTTTGGTTGTGGAGGTGCTTCTATAACTGGTTTTGGAGGCTGTTCCTAGGGTTTTTTAGGCTCTTTCTCTTCATCACTCGAAATTGTGATAACCACTTTCGGCTATTGTTGCTTTTGATTATGCTACAGATCAGGTACAACGGCAGGGATAAGCTACCTATAAAACATTAGTTGCTGTGGATGTGGATGTGGATGTGGAAAGTATGGGGAGTAACCATGATGATATTGATAAGCCCAGTGATTCATGGCATTCGGGAAAATTTATAGAGGTCTTGTGTGTTGCACAAACTGATTTTAATGATCCTAAGGGTTCATTTTCTTTTTGTAATTTTAATATTATTTAATCATAAAATAAATTCCAAGATTTATTCTGTAATGTTAGTGTAAACTTTTAATTGTACATAAAAGACATATTAATAATCTAAAGTATGATAAAGTATCAAAATGAAGGTCAAAATGTAATGTTTACATAGAAAATACAGTTTAATTTAATATAATAAGCTTACGAACTTTTGTTTAATATATATTAATATTCATAATCATATTTTTCTATGTAATTTTATTAACGATTAAATATCTTCTAAAACTTTTAATTTTTATTAATTCTACATTTCTTCCTATTTTTGAGATTAAATTTAAATTTATTATGCCTAGCAATCATACTATTTAAATTTATCTTCCAACTAAATATGTAAAATCTTCTTACATTCTTTATAGTTTGTCTTAGACTTTCTAATTGCAATTTGTATTTCTGACACTTTTGTTATTACTTATCTGTCTCTAATTCCTACGACTTCAATTTCTATTTAAGTTCATTCTCTCTCTATTTAGATTCTTTAAGTTCATCTTTAGCATTCGCAGCAGATTCAACTAAATTATCAATTTTCTTCTCTATTTCATCCATTTATTTTTCATGTTATAATTTACGATCAAGATGCTCTTATTCAAGATTTCTATTGTAATTTTAGACTTAAATAAGTGAATCTGATAAGTTTTGAATATCATCTTTAAGCTAATGATAATAAAATAATAGTACTTGTTCAATAATTATTTCGGCTTAGTCAGATTTTTATTCCATTTATTTAAATTGGCTTATTAAATTTGAATTAATTTGTTTTTATTCTGATAATTCTAGAAGTTATTATTAAATTTTCTCTTCATTATGGTATAATTTTTAAGTTTGTTAATCATTAATCTGTTTGAGTTCATTATTAATTTACTATAATTTTTTCAGATCATATTCTTGGATTTATCTATTTTTGTCATCATTGTCTATTTTCCTTTATAAATCAGAGATATTCTATTAGAGTTACTCAATCTTAAGTTTTTGTTCGTTGATTTTTTTTTTTTTTTTAAATATTATATCTTAAAATTAGTCTTGTTATTTTTTAGATTCTTACTCATTATTTAATAGTGTTGTTTAAGTATTTTCAGTTACTTACTGTAGTTTTGTTTGGCATTCTTCAAATTTTATGATATATTACTAAGTTTGAGCTTTTTAATATTGCAACTCTTAGGTTAAAAAGTCTATTTATTTTAAGTTATCTTCATCTCTGAATTGAAAATCCTGCAATAGCTAATCAAAATATCTGATTTAAGCTTCTTTTTATTAGATTTCATCTAGTATTTGTACTTTTTCATCTTCTAATTCCCTATTTTAAGCTTCTTAGTTTTTACTAACGACTATTAAATTAATTTATACATTTCAGTTGAAAAATCCTCACAAAGTCTTTACACTCGTTCTAATTCTTTACCAAAATTTTATCCTTGCTCATCGAATTGGGTTTCTTATTACTTTAACTATTCTTTTAACAATTATATTTTATCTTTCTTCCCTTTCAATTTCTGATGAGAGACATGACATTGTTATTATAATTCCTCAATCAGTTTTTCTTAACCTTCGCACTTTTGTCTATTCTCCCTAACATTATTTTCTACTTTGGCAAAAGAATCTTAAATAGATTTTAATTCAAATTCTAATTATTTAATGTGCTTTTCTCTTTGATTCACTTTAACTTCCAAATCCTTATTTGCTTGCATATAATCCTTAAGAGTCATCTAAATTATAGAAAGGATCCTTACTTTTAATTCTTTATTCAAAATTCTCAATCTTTCTTATTTTTCCTTTTCTTGCAATTCTTTAGCATTTAGGGTTTCCCTTAGTCTACTAATCTGTTCAATAGAGTGATTCTTTTTTTCCCTTGAAGAACTCTCCCTATTCTGTAAAGATTGGAATTTACTCATCATTGAAATTGGTTCTGCTTTGTCGAGATCTAGTTTGATACAGAGTAATTGGCTGAGATATGATTTGCTCTGGCTGGATCATCTAGTCGATTTACTGGCTGGTTTTTTTGTATCGTTCAATCAATTTGTTGACATTTTTTTCTAAACGATTTTCCATTATATATATATAAAAAATCAAAATTAAGGGAGTTCAGTATGACTCTTCTTTCTCAACTCCTGAGAATTGCACATTTTAATGTCTAAAGCACTCATTTATTCTTCATCTTCTGACAACTACATAGGGTTATGCAATTATGCAACAGGTTAATTAGAGGTCGATTCATCATCATCGGAAATGGGTTCATTACAAATGTAGAAAGGAGCATAAATTTGTTGTAACAAGACTCTAGATGATCTATTGCACTTTGTGATTAATGCTACTAGATGGTCGATTTCATTTTTGTTAAATTGAATTTCTAGATTCTATAATGCATCCAAATATTGCTTATTATTTATTAATAATCTTACATCAATACTTATGTATCCACTTGAAAATATCTGAGGATGTTTCTTAGTTAAATATTCATTAATTTAAGTTCGTTTTAATGAAATGCTTTGATTGATCGCTGACAATTCATTATTGGTCAAAATAGTATAATTTTCCATTAAATTCTTAAAAATACTTTTAACTCTTAGGGCTGTAGTTTCTACTTCGTCATTCTCAAGATCTGCCAAATATGCAGCCAATTATGAAATCTCTTCCTCTTCAACTAATCCAAATATGTGACAACTCAAATTCTCCTCTAACTACTACAAAGTAAGAATCTCATTAGTAAGAAGGTATTCTTCTACTTTTTTTAATGAGACCTATTGAGCTATTAGATTTAATTTAATTTTCTTGGCAATATGTAAAATTTCACTTTTTTCAACTGAACCCAATTTTCTAACTTTTGTTTCCTATTCAATATATTTTTCTGGTTCTTCAGGTTAAATTGTTTTGAGAATCACAGTCCTTCGAATGAACTTCTAAGATTATTATAATTGTTGATAGTTGACCTTCTCTTGTTCATATTTGTTTTCAAGAAGTGAAACAGTTTTTTAAAGTTCTTTATTTCTTTTTTCTAATTTATCTATCTTCTCATGCTCCAATTATAATTGATTAGTAAAGGATTGTTCTTGTTGTTTTAACTATTGCTAGAATTTTCTAATTTCTAATTTCGTTTGCTCGAATTCAATTTAAAATTTTTCGTCGACTCTTGGAATATCTTTTTAGGAAATCCTACTTTCATAGAGATGCTATTTTTTCTTCAAATCATTAATCTCTAATAATAATTAATTATTAAGTGCTTTAAGTTTATTTTGTTGGATTTGCAAGGCATTGCATTTGATCGTTAATTTGTTGTTGGCTTTCTAAGTATAATTATTGCTAATACTTTAAGTTCCTGATTTTCATTTTCTTTGTCCTCCAACAATGTGGTCAGTTGTTGGTTATCGTTTTATAGTTGTAAACTAAAGAGTTCTAAATTAGTTTGACTTAATGGATTTTTGAGCGAACTCACAAACGCTTATATTTCCTCTAATTGTTGATGCAATTTAGAATTTTCTTCCTTAGAATTTTATTTATATTAACCTCTAGAATAGCGATTCTCTCCTAGTACAATTGTTTGAATCTGGACGAACTCTTAAGGGGACTACTCTCTTCCTTGTACATAGCCTCCTTCTTGTAATACTGCACTTGAGCTTGAAGCTTCTTAATGTTGATGAACAATTGATTTTTGCTTTGTTTCAGAGATTGAATTTCCTCAAACATGGCTTCCTTGTCTTTAATGAAGTATTGCTTCTGCTTTCCTGTGTCTTCTGGAGTTTGATTGAATTTAATGGGATTTTGATACTTAGTAGGACTAGTCAACAAGAGATTCCTTTGAGATGTTGATTGCATTTTGATATTTATTTAATTTTTGACCCTTAATGGTATATAATAATATATAATTTTGTCAAGATGCAGTTCCTCTTTCTAAATTAGCCTTAATATCGGCAGCATAATCCCCGAAGAATCTTTCTAATTTCTTATTGAAGATCCTATTTCTCTCATTGATGTAAGTCACTGGTTAATCTTCATTGAATCTTCTTCTCCTTGAAAACTCCTTTCTCCTATCCTATTATTTTGTGATATCGGAACTCAGTCTCTCCAAAGCTTCATTCGTAGGCACAAACTCCTAATTGTTTTCTAAAGATTACTAAATATTACATACCCATTTATTGCTTATACTTTCCTTCATCCTTAGCCAAAGTAGTGCATCTTTTCTTATAAGCATTATACACAGCATCCTCATTAAACACATCCCACCCAAAATATTCCTTTTTTTTCTCTTATTCTTCATCATGCTTAAGGGTCATTCTATTCAAGTAATCCTTGTCCTCATCTATTTATTTGAATTGAAGTTCTTATTTTTCAGCCTCCTTTTTCTAAAGATACTTTCCTTTTCTTAGATTTTTATCGTATTATGCATCAGTATTTTACCTCTCCTCATTTAAAACTGCCTTGTCATTTAACACTTTAGATTATTGGATTTTCTTTTTTAATCCCAAATACCTTTCTTTATGCTTCTACGTCATAAATTTTTTCCCTTCAAATTAGTCCAATCCTTCTGATGAATCTTCTTCCTGTTCCTAATCTTCTTTTGTTTTCATAAGTAACTCTTCAACCAACAATTGCTTGTTCTTCTCTTCTTCGTTTTCTAGACTTTATTATTTAAACTTTTCAGGATTCAAAGCCTATAGTTTTTATTCTTCCTCTTTATCCAACTCATCCAAATATTCTTAACCATATAATGCCTTTAATCTATCTCTGTGAATTTCATCCATAATCTCCTTTTTAAAAGGATCACAAATCAACCAATTTTTAGATTCTGAGACCTCACCACAATTAATAATAATGACTGGGATTCTTGGTCTATCTTACATATCCACTGGCACCTGACCCACTCTTTTGATAACTTCTATGCCATCAATCACCTATCCAAATACCACATGTTTTCCATCCAAATGGGGACATGGCTTTAGAGTAATAAAAAACTGAGAATTATTTGTATTTCTTCCTCTATTTGCCATCGACAACAAACCTGCACATGCATGTCTTCTTGAAAAGTTCTCGTCCACAAATGTTTAACTATATATTGAAGCACCCTAAAATTTTAAATTATTATACTCCAGTTCCATCATTATTTATGATGTCTCCCCCTTGAATCAACATGTTATCTGCTATCCTAAATACGTTTGTATTCAAATAATGTAATTTTTTAGTTTTTTTTGCCATACCCACATTACCATACTCTCCAGTACAGAGTCCTCTGAAGTTTTCAGCCGTCTTTGGTGTCACGTCATTGAACAACTCAAAGATAACTCTCCCTGCTGCTTAAGTACCTATTTGAAAATCTAAAAAGACTTATGGATATCTGCTCATAATTAAATTAATGAATAATAAGACATCTCATTTGGATTAGATAATTAGTAAAATACAGAGATAATCGTAGAAGAACTTGCATCGTTCCAGTCCTAATCTATCAATTACCAAAACCAATAACTACCATTACTCTCAATTACACTAGAGATTAGTGAGTTCTGTGTGTTAAGGATTGCATTCACCTAATCAAAATAGTGTCGTCTCGACTATCAAAGAAAAAATAGCCAAAAGAATTCGTTAATATAACACATGCGAAGATGCTTCAAGCTTTTAAGATTTGAAAAATATGTAAGAGTATTGCTCATTAAAGTAAAGTACTTGAGTCTAGTTTAGCAAATGAATGTGCCAATTACAACGAATTCACTTTCTCTTCATTTCTACAAATTCTTGATAGAATGGAACAACGAGAACAGCCCCTAAAAATAGTTCTCTTTTCTGAATTAAAAAAAAGTTTTTTACTGTTGGCAAACAAAATTCAATCTGATATTGATACTCTGTCTTAACATGTTCTAAATCTAATTTAAGAGTTGGAAACTAAAAATTAAGAATTGCAAAAATAAAAATGTCCAATTCAATTATAACACAGAACCAGAAGCGAAGACTTTTAACATATTTTAAATACTTTGAGATTAAAAAAAAAAGATTAATAAAAAATTATTGGATTATAAAAATAAATATAATTTTAGGATAATGTGGAGACTTGTAAAGTTAAACATGATTTGAATGAAGCAGTATACGAAGAACAGATTAGATATAGTTCTGAAGAGGACTCCTTCCCATTTGGTAAATATGTTAATTTACTCATAGTCGATCCTTCAACATTAAATTAACCAATTTATAAAAAAGGTCTATCTCTCAATCTAAAGCCTATTAAAAACAAAGTGCTTAAAGGTTACTAAGATGAATTTATGGCTTAAATGAATGAATTCAGCGAAAGTTGGCGGTAACAAGCATTAATAGAGAAAAGATTTTGATCAATTATTTCCAAAATAATTTTGTTAATTATTTATACTTAAGTAATTCATTCATTAAAACTGGGTTATCTCAGGTGTTTTAACATCGATGGTATTCATTTAGCGATTTTATAATCTAAGATCTATATTGGATTAGATTCGTTAAGAGAAGAAATTGATGACGCCTTCCTTCTGAGAATCATCACTGTCTCCTTATGTGAGTTTTCGCTTTTACAATATAGATTAACTATTTTTCTTAGACGAACAAAGTGATTCATCCTTCTTCATCAATTCGGAATTAGTATAAATTTAGCTTGCCTATTTTTCCTTTTCTTTCCTAAACATGACTGATTGCTCTTCGTGTTCTCTGTTATTTTTAATAATGTCCATTTTGCTCTCGTGATTATTTATAATATTGAACTCTGAGAAATTGGAAGGTTAAACTTATTTACTTCTCCTTTGGGTTATATATTCATATGTTGAAATACCTTTTTTCCAAAGATATATGTGAAAAAGGATTAATTAGAGGAGAAGCAATGTAGCCATTGTTTCCAGAACTGACAACACTATGGTTATTATTAGTAGCGACCTTTTATATTTTGAGTAGATCTTTCATAAAGTGAAAATTTACAGTTAAGGTTTCTAGTTCCTGTTTGTTGTATTAACTTATCACTCTGCCATTCACAATAATTGAATATATTAGGATGATGAATGTAAAGATGATCATTCCGATAAATTATTTATAATTTTTTCCTCCGACACAATTATTGATCCATCTACAATGATGGTCAAAGTCTTCGCAACATCTAATAGTAGTTGTTAATTACCTGTTACATTATTTACAATGTTTTGTGGTCTCCTTTACATATGCTATGCAAAGTTCACAAAATTAATTTAGTTGATGTTCTTCGTAATCAAAAGGTGCACTAATGCTTCAATCATCTAAATACCCTCTATTTTTTTATTATTAAATCACAAAACTATCAGTGGGATCACAAATAGTGGTTTTGATACAAAAATAACTTGAAATTGAAATCAAAATGGAGAAAATTATGTAATGTGCAGTCTAAATAGATAATAATATTACACGTTCTTCGAGAATCAGAATATGGATATACGTCATGACAGTGTTTAAGACATAAAAGACTATTACGAATATTTGTAAGAGACTAGGATATTAGGAACAACCACTTCTAACTTTCATAATTTAATAATTATATATATAACTCTTTTTATTAATGTTAGATTAATTCGGAGTAAAGAAAATCAGCAATCGAACTACATCAGTATGAAATGGACTCTCTTTTTCTTATATACAAAATCTTTTCTATTCTAAAATCTCTTTCTAAAACTGAAGCAAAATCGTTTTCTGATTAAACTTTATGATTTTTATTGACAACAAAAATGATAATTTTGGATTAAATAAAATTATCATCTTTTTTTTCTGCAAATTACCCTAAATTTTAAATTTAAGGTAATTGTCTTTTTTAAGGGAAACTCTAGTTTACTTACTATAGATATGGAGATAAGTCTTTTTGGGGATAATTAAACTGGAGATTAAGCTATTGCTAATATCTAAAAACCTAATATTGAATCCATATTGTGCTTTTTGGTAAAAATATGGAAATTATGAAAAAAACTAATATATGGAAATTTGCTATAATGATTATCTAAAATATATTGTTAATCTTACCTATATAAGATTGTTTTATGTATTCATGTTTGATATCCTATATATATGTATAAATTAAATCGATTATATAATGCAAAAAATGTTTGGACAATATTATGGAGTATCAATTTTGGATTAGAACTACTTTTAGGACTTGTGCGGATAATTCGACTAGGTATGGAGTATATTATAGTGGAAATGTAAAATGAATAATATAATTAATAATATAATGTCATATAAATCATTTTAACAATGTTTACTTATGACATATAGTGTCGCATTAGCAACATTTAGTTTTGCTTATAATTCTTATTTAATCAATGGTCCCTTAGACCATATCAGAATATGGATTGACATAGACTCGTCTTTTAAAGAGGGAGCAATGATGACTTCCTTTAATTTTGGTGGATTGGTTGGATGTGTAATTGGAATTTTAATAGTCAAAACAACTTCAAGAAGACTAATGCTCTATTTAATTGATTTGCTATTGATTATTGGGACCGCAGGATTAAACATCTAGAACTATAATACCTTTATATTTTTTCGAGTGATTGCTGGAATTGGCAGTGGATTGACAACTTTAGTGACACCAATGTTCTTGAAAGAAATCATTCCTACTCAAATTTATGGAGTCTTGGGAGGGCAAAACTTAGTATTGTATATATTAATTATATGTAGATTGTCTCTAGGAACAATTGTATAATCGTTTATGGCTTTGGGTTTCAGAGATGTAAAAGGATAGACATCTGTTGATATGGGTTACTGGAGATTTTATCTTTTGCCTCCTATAATAATATGTATAACTAGGAGTCTCTTATTGAAGTTTTACTTTCCTTTCGAATCACCAATATTTTCAATTTAATAAGGCAATGGTATATGCTAGTATTTAAATTAGTTTAGGCAGCAGAAGCATTTTTGGAACATCTATATCAAGATGAGGATGTATCAAAATTAAAATAAGATATTGAGAATTTAGTAAACAAAAGGAATGTCGAAAAAACATTGCCTAGTGCTAGAGTATTTTTAGGAATTATGATTAACATATTTTATTCTAATTCAGGTATTACTCCCATTATTTCCTATTCCACTAAGATTTTTCAGTAAGTTACCACGATAACAGTGGCATAAATATTGACAATAGGAATGAGTATCATCAAATTCATCTTTTATTCAACAGGGGCATAATTGACTTAAAAGTTTGGTAGAAGAGTGCCTTTAATTATTGGAACAGGAATTCTCTCTGCTGTTTTAATCAGTACTGGTATTAGTTCAGCTATTAATGATAATTCAGATTATGATAATACAACATTAAAATCTGTTGTTGTTGTCTACATAGTAATAGCTATTTATTTATATTTTGGTGTCTTCTTTAATACTTTTGGAGCAATTATTCCTCTTTATACACCTGAAATTCTCTCTGGAATTTACTTAACTGTGGCCCTCATCTTTTAATGGTCGTTCAATATTACAATCACATTCTTATTTCCTGTCATAAGAGATTCATTTGGGATGTGCTATACATTTTATTACTTTGGAATCATGATGGCAGTGGCAACAGTTTATTTTGCGATATTTATAAAAGAAACCAAGAACTTAAATGATAAAGAAATTGATGCTTTATGGTAGAACAAAACATCAAAAGTTAAAGATGAAAATGAAAATTTGATCTAATGATTAATTGTTAAATAAAAATTTATTTAAGATTGTTTAATATCATTTATTCTAATCCTAATGTGCCTTTATCTTCTTCAATTAATTTTAATTCCTTTTATTAAATTTCGTTACCAAATCAATACAAATAATAGATTAGTAATTAATACTTATATTAAAGTTTTTCTCAAGACTTTAAATGTGACAATATAATATTTACCATTAATAATAATATTCAGATATATAATATTATTAATATAAGAATTTTTATTTAAACGATATAATAATTTTGTTATTTTTTAAAATAGAATTAATCATTCCATTTTGGCAAAACCAACAAATTTATTTTGTTAACCCATGTTTTTTAAATGATTAAAATGACCATTCCATGCTTCCTTGAATCCAGGAAGGAGGTTATATTTAAGATTATATTTTTTACAAACCTCTAAAACAATAGGAGCTATTTCAGGATATAAATATTGACTCACTCCTGGGAATAGGTGATGAATAACTTAATAGTTCAAGGCGCCACATAGGTAAGTCATTAACCAATTACCATGACTATAATCCACTGAACTCTTAATTTATAGTACAGCCCATTCAATTGGCCATTGTTCATTAGTACCATTTTTTGCTACCTTTTCCACATTATTATAGAAGAATTCAGCTTCATCTGACACATGAGAAACCTAGAAATTAATAGCCAACCAATATCCAGTTATGAATTCCACATAAATGAATAGGAACCAAAATTAGGATTAACTCATTCCAAAAACTTGAACAGGCAAATAGTATCTCCAAAACAGCCATAGTAGTTTACTACTAGCTTATCTTAACTTGTCCTGTAAAGATATTGGATTAACTTTAACAGGACCATCAGTTTCCTTTAAAAATATTTCAAAAACATCATAATATCTAGATCTTAAGGATAATAAACCATATAGAATAGGCATGTACAAATGTTAGTATTTATACATAGCACACCAAATTTATTCTTTGACAAGTCTTCTAACATCTCCTTCTTTCAATTAAGGGATATCTGGATCAGATCCCATAATATTTGTATATTAATGATGTCCAATGACATGTTAATTCTACCAAGCCACCATAGATGATCCAGATATATAATCTAAGGTTAGTCTACCAAAGAACCACCACCACTTTTCATTATTTCCAACAGCTCCATGAGATGCATCATGCATTAAATGTAAAGTATTTAATGCTTATAAAATACCAAAAATGGTGCCTATTAAAATCCTTTTAGTTAAGCAAAGTTAATCACTTACAAATGTTAAATAAAATGTATAAAAGAAACAAGTCCACAAAGGAATTGCTCTGACAAGTCCTGGAATTGGAGTTTTTGGATTTATACCTTTGGACTAAAAATATTTCTTAACTCTCTCAGCGCATTCCTTATAAAATCCGGAGTCTGGTTTGAAAGTTGGCCACTCAGTCGTCAAAAGATCTCCGATCAAATATTTCTCGAGTAATTTCTCAGGTTTATCTGAAAAGGGATGGTATGATTGAAATGCAAGAGTAGCATCTCTTCCACAATTCAACAATAAAAATTCTCTTCCTCCAGGATGGCTGTTCAAAAATGAGGTAACATCATATACTTTTCCCTTAATTGCTACGTAGGCTGAAGATTGATTGTCATGCTTCTTCAATTCTTACCAAGTTAATTTTTAATTTTTAGTCAACTCTTTTTATTGAGGTGTTTTCTTTTAGCTATCCAAAAATAATGAATAGACTTCTGCTATGATAGCAAATAATGGCACTAATTTGAATAGTCCATCAAAAATGAATAGAGCCGCCAGTAGAAATAATATACCAAATTAAGTTATGATACCTTCCATAATTTAAATTAATATCCAATAAATAATATACTGTAATTAAATTTAATGAAAAGAGGTTTACAATACTTCTTCTCAAAATAGAGAATGGAAATATTTTTTTTGAAAGATTGCGTACAAGGATTTTAAGGCGAAATACGCATTGTCAAACCTGGATTTTTTGAGAAATATCTCTTTCCAATGGCCTTGGCATATTAGAATCTGCCAGGATATAGAAGAAGGTACTTTGAATTCAAATTTCAATTATAGATTATTACCCAATCTCGATGAGGAGAAATTAGAAAATAAAATTTAAAGAAGAAAGGATATCAAGTTGTTTTAACAAAAAATTGCAGGAATCCATTTAGAATTTGTTCGACCTCCTAAATTTTCGAATCCAAGTCTTCTTAAAGACCCAATAGATGACAAATTAATTATTGAGGAGGTTCAATAAAGGTTCAAATTGCAAGTATTATGCATATTTACAATAGATCACAAAAAATCATTTATTGTCTATGGTTAACAAAATTACTACTTATGGATAATTCACATTATAAATAGAAAACTTTTACAGTCCAGAATTGCAAGACTACACGACATTTCAAATTACGATAGTGACCAAAAAACCTATTATGAAAGTCTAAAAATTGATTGATGAGGTGGCAACAAAGGATGAATAAAATAAGGATGAAAACAAAGAAAAGTAGGATTAAAAAGTTGTAAAATAAGGAAAAGAGAAAGAAACCTAAAAATGAAAAATTTATTATTATATTAATATATGAGACCTAAAGATTATGATAATATTTTTGAAGTTAATTGGGATCTTATAATCAAGTATGGTTGATGACATGAGTACATCTAAAATGTAACTTTTACGTTCAAATAAGGCATCTTGATTTATAATTTCAGAGTAGTAGTACAATTTTAAAGTTACTAATATTTTAGATAAAAACATGGATTTTATTGATTACTCAAGTGTTGTGCTATAGTTCTTCTCTTCTCTCATAAAAAAGCACTTTTTGAATTTCTTCCTCTTTTAATACGGTTGTGGTTCAAATTATAAAACCGCTACAATTTATAGATTGTAGTGAAAATCTGAGATTATTATAAATAATGAGTATTAACAATAAAAATTATCTCTTAGAAACTTTTCCTAACTATCTTCATACTCAACTAGATTAATTAGCAGAAAGAGCAAATAACCTTGATAAGTAGATTGTATATTTTAAGGTAGGCAAGAGAGAATTAAATCAATTATAGAGTATTTTTGTGAACTAAAAAATTTGGCTATGGCTTTGGCAACAAAATTAAAAACTTAAGACGGATTTATGTTATATCCTAAAATAATTTCAGATGACTACATAATAGATTTTAAAGAAATTCAATCATGTCATCTGAGAAAAAATGAAATTATCTATTTTTAAGCATGGGCATTTTCTAACTTAAACTAAGTATTTATATAGTAGATCTTTAGATTGACTTGTATTTATTATAAACCCTTTTAAGATTGCAATGTATTTTAGTCTAATTTGAGTGCAAAAAATATTTTGAAATCTAAAATTTAGATTATAAATAGAAGTATGGAGGTGATCTCATTAAAATATTCTTATTGCTTTAGACTTAGTCATAAGTCTATGAGATAAAACCTGATAGTTTCTTTTTAAGCATAATATAAAATTGTAAAAGTAAGAACAATTAATTCATAACTTACCTTAATAAATTTTTTAAAGGCAAAAATATGTAAAAATGTATTGGATATCTTGATGAATAGAAATAAACTTAAAAAGTATCTGCAGAAAAACGAAGAAAATTTCAATTTAAAGATGATGAATTTTCTAAGAAAGAATCTTTAAAAGATTCTTAATAAATGTCTTAGCAAATATCCTAATAAATTTCATAATAAATATCTTAAGTAATTCCTTAGACTTAGTAGACTACAAAAACAATAGTAAGAACATAATCATTAATGATAAATAAATCGAATGAATAATTCAATCCAATTAGCAAATTCTAGCAGACTTCCAAAGATATAATTACAAATAGCCTTATGAGACGTCCATCATTGGCAACAAGAACTATAAAAGAAGGAATAAATCATAAATATAAGGTAATTTTGTTTTATTCATGAGAGTGAAGCGAGAAAATGAAATTAGACAGTAGAGACAGTTGCAGTAGGAAGTTAACAAGCAACACTTCTTTTATGAAGATGTGAGAAGTAATAAGGTAGAGAATGCTTCAAAAAGAGTGAGTACATGCTGGAATTCTGATTGTTTAGCACCAGAAACACCGGAATTATTTAGTGATTGATTTATGATATTGATAATTAAGCAAAGTCGTTTTTATTTAATTAATATTAATTCATGAAATCCATAATTCTGATTGCCCTTATTGCTGTAGCCTTTACAGCTAGAGTTTAAGAAAGAAACATGGCTAAAATCCAAGCTGAATTAGCAAAGAGTACATATGGAAGTGCACTACTTCATTTGGTTGAGTTGCACTCAATGGCAGGAGGTCCAGTTTAAGAATTGATCGATGCTATCGAAGAACTCATCAATGACTTAGAGGAGGAATTAGAGACACTCGAATTCAATTTCCAAGTGAGAACAAACGAACACAATGCTTTAGTTGTCAGTCTTGAACAAGACATTCAAGATGCTGTTATAGGTATTAAGCAAAATTAAATTCTTAGACGTCAACAACACACAAGACACTCTTGACAACTTACTTTATCCAAGAAGAAATCAAATCTAAAGCAAAATTGATACCGTTATTGGATATTAAGAAGAGAATAGAAAGCTCTATGATGAAGCTATACTCGTTAGAGAATAAGAGCATGAAGCATTCGAAGCTTAAGTTGCTGAATTAAATGATGCTACTGCTTCAGTTGATGATGCCCTAGCCCTTTTAGCTTCTTTGACCAATCCATCATTATTGTAAATTAAGAGATTCTAAAATACATTGAAAAACATTGAAAATAAATTGAGATCAAGATCCAGAATGGCTCCAATGATCAAGGCACTCATTAGTTTAGCATCAAATTAAAACTTTTCAAATCAAGATGTTTTGAAATCTATTGTTGATGCTCTCAATGATTTTAGAAATGCAGTTGTTGATTAAATCAATGATTTAACAGCCCAAGAAGCTTAAGATGTTATTGATCATGAAGCTTATCTTGAATAATTGGATGATGAATTCTCTGAATTCGGAAGATAAATTGACAGAGCAACAGTTGATTTGACTGCTACCAATGGTATATATGACATCTAATTCAATAGAAAAAATCGATTCCATGGTTGAATTTAGAGACTAAAGAGCTGCCGATTAAAAATAATACACTGCCGAATTAGAATTGGAAAATAACACTTATGCTGAAGAGACTGACATCTACACCAACACCAAAAATGAATTCACAAGAGAATTGGGAGTCAGTGAATAAGCTTTAGCTCTTGTTTAAAGCGTAGATTTCTCAAACATTCAGGTTTGATATTAATAAACAAATAAATAAATATTTCATAAAAATGTTTTAATTCAAAAAGATAGCCAAATTACCCCTAATTCTAATTCAATGTGAATGTGGAAGGGAGTTTCTATAAGAGGAAATGTATTGCTGCCTATCGTATTATTATTTGATCATCAACTTAGATGCCAAAACAGTATGTGTAGATATTGTACATCAAATGAAATATTTTGTTATTATTGTAGAAATTGTGGAGATGTTCAAATTACAAGTGAAACCTCCAATCTGACTGTTAATTGTAGTTCATGTTTTGAATGTCCTGTTTGCAAAAATGTATTACGTAGACAAATAGACACAGAGAAGAATTATGGATTCACTTGTTCATATTGTTTTTATACAACCAGATCAATTGGAGTCACAGATCCTAATTTTCAATAGGTTTACACAAAAATTAATAATGCTTATAAACAGGAATACGAAGCTGAATATAAGGACTTCTAAGATTAATATAATCGTATTAAAAGTATAGAGAATAATAATTTCCTAATCAAGAAGCAATAAAAAAATAAACATGTCTTAAAATCATTGACATAATCATGGACAAAAAGTGAGGCGTTAATTCACTATAGTAATGCAGACATAGATAAGATGACTAAAGAAAAAAACTTAAAAGTTGTTCTATAAAGGTATAACTTAGACTTAAATAACAAATAAGTCGAATTGTAAGACTTTAATCCATCATAATAAACTTCAACTTAATTGCCAATACCTTTGGGACTGCTAAGTAGAAAAAATAGAAAATGCAGAAAATGTTAAAAATTAATTTTTACGCTCCAGCCAGAAAAAAACTCAAAAAAGTTTGCTTATAGTGTTTAGAACCTACACTATGATCATGCCCCTTATTTGTAAGTGGGTAAAGTATCTTATGTGAATAAGGAGAAAACAGAGTTGTCAGTAGTAATTTAAATGTTTAATAAAACTAAAAATGCCATGGAATACTCCTTTTCTCCACTTGATTAGTAGATATTGGAATAATATAAATTATTAACAGTAAAGAATTTACCCTCCCCCACATTTACATTCAATAATGACAACATAGAAAGCGATGTTTAACAATATTAAAAGTTCGAGGCCATTTTAATTATAAAGGATGCCACAAAAATACAGTTTGCATTTTCTGTCTCAGCTAAAATCAAAATGCCCATGGATTAACAATAATTGAATTATAATGTTAATGTATATATTGGAACATTATGAAATATACATTAGTAATTATATATATCTCATCAAAAACATTCCTTGTCTATAAATCTTTTTATCCATCCTAGTTTCATTTTAAAAGTAATTTTGAAAATAAGCTGATAAAAGTAAGTGTTATCTATGTACTTGGTTTTATCATCACTATAGACTCAATCGTGTAAGATTAATATTAAAGTTAGATATTTAATTAATTCATAATTTAATGAAATTAAATAAAGTAATTACAATATAATATTAATCTCCTTTTTCATATTCTAAAAAGTATTTTAATTTTAACCACAAAGGATACTAAATAATCTTTATTTGAATCTTTACAATAATGAATATTATTTTTTGAGGATGCTTTTGTTGAGGATATTTTGAAAACTTTTTATAATTTTTTTTCTGTTAAATTCCCATTTCCAAATTTGCCTCCTCCTAAAACTTATATGTAGAGCAATCATTAAGTTTTTTCAGCTTTCGTGTTATTATAGATTTTCGGTTCACTGTTTCCTAAATTTTTAATTTTAATAGGACAAAATTTGAACTAAATTGTATTGTTTGTCTCTATTATTCTGGATTCTCTTAGAGTAGTATCTAATCCTTTTTTTAATCATTTTATTCATCCAAGTCTTAATTATTTTCCTTCAAATACATGCAATTTCTCATACCTTTTGAAAAGTAATTCAGTTTAGCAAAAAAGTTATCAGGAATATATTAAAACATTATAGTATTTCATTATATGAATAATAATTCACTTTGACCCCATCTAACCGGCTGTCCATTTTACCAAACTCCTTTTCGGATTTTGTTTTTATAAATAAATTCTCCTTCTCCATGCTATTTACCATTTTTCCAGTTCCCTTTATAAACTCTGCCATCCGACCAATCCAATTCTCCATATCCTTCTCTTTAATCTTTTTCAAACTAAAAATAGTAGCGAAGTTAAATTACATTTCCTTTGTATATTGTTCCATCAGGCCAAATATAAATTCCATATCCATGCATTTGATTAAACATCCACTCTCCTTTATACTAATTTCAATACTCATTATACCTTTTTACCATCTTTCCAAGTATATTCACCATCTCCATGAGGCATTCCGTCAAGCAAGCCCCCTTCATATTTTGAACCGTCAGGCCATAAAAATAGACCACATCCAGTTTTTTAGCCATTTAAATAGTCTCCCTCATACCTTTAGCCATTTTTCCATTCTTCTACTCCTTTCTCATTATAAATATCATTATTTACTCCATGCTATTTATCATCCACCCATTCCCCATTATACGTAGTTCCATCTATCGTAACATATTTCCCGGTTCCCCATGCCTTATCGTTCTTCCATTAGCCTTCATAACTTATTTTATACACTGATTATTTTACTAATCCCCGTTAGGAAGCACAATTCTCCCATATCCTTACTATTAATCGTTATACCATTCCCCTTCATATATTGATCCTAAAGGGTGTAAGTATTTTCCAAATCCATGTCTTTTTCCATCTAACCATTATCCCTAATAAATTGATCTAACATCTATTTTAGAAATACCCTGCATCAATTTGAACTGGACCAGCATAAGTAAGAGTCTGATCTTTAATTATTGGAAATGGAAATGGACCTTTGTTTTTTTAACATAAATACCTAAAGAATTATATATGGTCAGAGCAAACGAAGATTGTTCATCAAATATCTATACTATTAAAAGAATGCATATATACATTAGTGTTTTCAATCAACACTCCTCGATAACTCTTAATGCTTCCATAATTCTCTTCCTGTGCTATATTTTAATATCAACTTATACATCGATTTTTTCTGATCTTATGGGTGAACTTGGAGTTTCATTAGACTCCTTTATTTTTGTTGGTTCTTTAACTTCTAAATTTTCATTGCTTATTTAGATTGGAGCTGGAATAGCAGTAAAAGATTCTTTTTCTTATGTAGTATTTGCACAACACGAGCCCATCTAATATTTTAATTTTATATATAATATTTTATTTTATTAACTACTCTTAATTGAAACCAATCTTAACAAAAACTCACACAAAAAACTTCTTTTGATTTGGTATTATCTAAAATTCTTTTGGAAATTTAACAGGACTTTTTGAAGATTTAATAGAGAATTATTCACATTCTTTTTAATAATTTTTTTGTTCTGTATTACAAAATGTAAAACCTAATGAGGACAGTTCTTCCATACTCTTACGCGCAGTCTTCTAACTAAGTATTTGTTAAGTTTTTACTTGTTCTGCTGCTTAAGCAATTTATGGCCATTTCTTTCAGTCTGAGATGTGCTTGCTCTACACAAATTAACTTTTTATGTGTCATTGTTTGTAATCAATTAATTAATGATTGAATCTTTGGCTAAGTTTGATTTTTTTAGTTTTATATTTTCTTATATTAATTATTGTATCAGCTACGAATTGCCATCATAACATTTTGTCTATTCTGCTGAATTTGGAAGTTGTTAATTATCGCTTATTTTTCTTTGATTTATGAGTGAAGGTATTTATTTTAAAATAGGTTCTGATTGTTTTGTCCTTAGCTTTGGATTTGCAGTTTTATCTATCTATTCATAATTCTAATCTATACTTATTGACTTTTCAAAGGAAACTTAGAGGAACATACTTAAACAGGTTTATTTTCAGTTACATTTTTTTATATGGATGCATAGAATTGCTTATCAATACTAAATTTTATATCCGACTTCTTTGTTTACAACATTAGAAAAACTATTCTTTGCTTATAATAAAAAAATTATAAACATTAGATCATTAATATTAAATATCAATCCCAAATAAGAACCAGTGAAATAAATGTTTTATAATATAATATAGTGATGAATATATATTCCATTTTCTAATATCATGGACTTACTAGTTTATATTCATTCTTTTTTATTTCCTTTCTTTTTAAGTAGGAAATTTCTGAAGAATAGACAAACGAAAAGAAATAATTGTATAGGGACTTATCAATATATAATTAAAACAATTCTCTAGCTCAATTTTAATGGATAAAGTTAAGTCTTGATCAGAGATTAAATACAGTGAATATTCAAATAAATTATTTTTTCTATAGAAATATAAAAACAATATTAAGTATTTGATTTTAATTATTTAAATTGATGATTAATATATTTCATGTTAAAGCTTGAGAATTAAAATAATAATAATATAATTTCTTGTTGGATATTTTATTCTCGCATTCTTTTAATATAATTTTGAGGAAGAAAATGATAAGATAGCAAATATTATGAATTTTTAGATGAGTGGGATTTGAACCTAGAAAAAAATATAATTAATTATATTAATAATTAAATGATTCGTCTAGCTCATAGTAAATCAGTGGCACGTTTCTCTGGAGCTTTATGGGGACCTATCCATGAAAGACCTATTGTAGATAGAGTGATGTCTACATCATAATGGCCAGTCCCATACTATTAAAGAATTTTTAAGGCATATCCTGTTAGATGTAAAATTTGATTAAGAAAAAGAAAATAAATAAACTTGGGCTATGAATTTAGCTGGAGCAGAAATTCACGATATCAATTGGTATTGCGCAAAACAAGCTTTAAGCAGAACTTTGAAAGGAAGATAAGCTGTCGAATATGTAGAAAATAATATTCCAACTTAAAGTAAAACATTTTCTTAAAGAAAAGGCTACATTGTAATTCAAAAGGATGTCTCTAGAATGGCAAAAGCATATGTTAGTGATTTAAGTCTTTTCCTTAGCGTGGCTAATAAGGAAAGCAAAGTCATATTGGACTCTGTTGAATTGATTTGAAATAAGAAAAACAAAAACATTTTATAAATATGCAATAACATTTTCAATTGATTCAAATAATTTCAAATTGAACTTATATTACGGCTCAAATGACAAAACAAGGTTGTCTCGAAAAAATCTAATAAAGATAATTTTGATTGTTAAATAGTACATTTAGCAACAAATTATTAGAGTCTCTTTAATCTATTATTCTTTATTAATTGAATTGATGGACCTGTAAATTTAGACTTATATTGAATAAAATAATAAAATTCCAATAACATAAAATTAAAATTTCAATCATAAACTCTTCCTAAAGATTCATGTAAAATGTATGAATAAAAAATCGATAACTTCTGCCTTTATTATATTATTGATAGAATGGCAATCATTATTAAATAGATATTTCGCTTTCTTATATTACATTATTTTAATTTTAGCTAAACTTCTAATTAATTTAGATAAGATTAAGAAATCTGTACAAAGCACTGACAATGATGGTGATGATTTTGGAATAAGCGATTTATCAGATTTTGATAAATTTGGTATGATGAATACTTTAATAATGAAGTATTGATTACTTAATACTTTTTAGTTAGAGAAGTTGAACAAAATGAAGATTAATATATGAACGAAAATGAGGAATAGAAGAAGAATTTGATTTATAATTAATTTTTTTTATGGGATCTCAAAGTAGTAAATTAGTTACAGAAACATAGAGGCACGAACATGCTATTAATTATATGAACTCTGGAGGGTATTAACAATACTTAATATAGCTCGATGAGCGATAAATCAGCTAAAAGCATTAAGGATATTGAATAAACATAACAAGAATTTGTTAATACTTAATTTAAATGGAATTTTGGTGGACAGAAGGTATTTGTAGCCGGCACATTCTCCTAATGGAAGACAACTCACTAACTACAAAGAGATAAAGGAGGAGAATTTAGCATAGTGATACCTTTACCAAAAGGAATCCATCATTATAAATTTATTGTTGATGGAGATTGGCGATTCTCCCCAGATGATCCTACAACTGCTGATGAGCACGGGAATATTAATAATGTGATAGATACCACTAAAGTTGAAAATAAAGCTAAAGAATTGATGGAATCAAGTTAATAATTTAAACCAGAGAAATCCCCTAATGATTCCATTATATAAAATCAAAAGTAAGTGATTTAAGATTTTAATTTTAATGATAAAGCCCCCCCAGTGCCTCCTCATTTGCTTAAATATTATTATATAGAAGTAAAAGTATTGATATTCATCAGGAAAAAGAGAAAAAATTAAATAACATGTGGAATAAAGACATTAGGCCATAAGGTTAAATGGAACTTGAGGATGCTAAACCTTAAATATCATAGCAGGAAATATTTGATCACCTTATTTAAATTTTTAGCAATGTCAACTCATTGTCCCCTCCACCTCATGTAAATTTAAATCATTTGGCTTGTGTAACTACAAACAAAAATAGTCCTTTTAACGTATATGCTTTAACACATAGATTCAAGGCGAAACATACTACAATTAAATTTTACACTCATAAATATTAGGAGAACAAACAGTAATTATTTGTAGTTTGAAAAAAAATCATAAATAAATTTAAATATCACATTATATACATATTTCTCAAGAAACTACAAACAATTTCTTTGGTTTGTAAAATCCGAGATTTGTTTTTATATTTTTTCAAAAGTTAAATTGAGAAGCAAAAATTTTTATGGATAATTTAGATTTATTTGATGTCAATAAATATCATATTTCATATTGTTAATATTTAATATGAACTCAAAAACCCTTATCCTGCTAATTTTACAATTCTGGGTACAAATTTTACATAAGGCTAATAAAATTAAGCAGTAGTTTATTGATAAATAATAATAATGAAATAAAATTAATCCAATTAATCGTAAAAGTTATAGTTAAGTACTTTTACGTTTCTTTTTGAAGAAAATGAAAATACAATTAACTTCTTCTATTATGAGTTAGATAATTCCTAAAAGTTACAGCTTTAATGCACTATTTAAATAAGTGATCATTATATATTTAAATAATTAGTTTTCTGAAGGTCCTTGCAAAGTTTTTTGCTATTAATAAATAAGAAGTAGGAAAGTGAACAAAATATGATGCATAGATGATGCATAGATGATGCATAGATGATGCATGGTATGGAATGAAAAGCAAAACTTTTAAAGATGTACATTCATATTGAAAAAGTAGGATATTACTGAAAGAGAATTTTTGTTTTCCTTTGGTCGAAAGTGCCTAATACTCAATCTTCAATCAAAATTAGCCAACCATACTGTTTATTCCATGTTCCAAAAATATTAATCATTTTATTATGTCTAGTGCTTTATGACAACCAAAGCACTTTTTTTATTTCTTATTCTAATAATCTAATTTTATACTAACTAAAGTCCCCTGCTATTCTTTTATCCCTTTCGTTTATTTTAAATTGAATTTCTTACTTTCAAAGTCATAACAATAATTTATAAGATCTTTGAGCTTTAAAAAATGTATAGATCAACATCAATTAAGCAATTTTAATTTTATGATTTTTTTTCAAGATGTTTGATACTCTCACCTAATTGTAATAACCAATGATTTATCAACACAAAAAAAATATCCTAAAGAATATCTCCTCATGATTTCCAAAATATGTCCATTCTAAATTTTGACTTTATAAAGCTCTAATTTAAATTCTCAATATGCTTGTAAATCATAGTCATTGATTTTTCAAATACACTCATATGTAAGCAATGCCCTCAAAAATATAATCAAATCTCAAATCAAATAAACTCTGCTCAAAATCTTATTTTGTTGGCACTGGACCTTCGAAATCCTCAAAATTAAGTTCTTTTAAGTGTTTCTATGGCTAATATTGTATTGTGTTATTATGAAATCAAGATCATTTGCAGCTACTTTCAATTTTGTCATTATAACTTATATTAATTAAAAAATGAATGATATATTGTATATCTATGATGATGAGCAGGTAAGCTTTCTTTAAAAATTAGAATACTTATAAACCATTCAATGTGTTAGGATAGTTCGGTAAGGTGAGATAAATTTGTAAAGGGTTTTCCTTAAATTCATTTTAGATCCTGTCTGAAACAGGGTGCCTATATTATATCAGCTATGAGCTTTCCTTTTATTAGCTACCATTCAAGAATGAAAAAATTAAGTACATTACTACAAACAAAAATGTGACATTAGCACTTTCATATTCTGGATAGGTGTATTCTTTTGGAGACGATAAGAATCATTATGGCACTCTTGGAATTTCAAAGATATACTTTTTACCTATTCCTAGTAGAATTGCTACAGATTTTAAATAGGTGTCTCTTTCCTCTCATCTTGCATGCGGTCTTGATTATTCAGGAAAATTATGGACATGGGGTCAAACACCAATAGGAAATTCAGAAACACCATACATTGTAAACAGCTTATAGATAAAAATTAATAAAATTTGTGCTGGAAAGGATTACATTTTACTTATTGATGGTATTTTTTACAATGTACTTAAAATTTAGGATCTTCAAACATATTTTTACTTTCGGATTCTTTTAAATAAAGTTTTTATGGCAATTAGAAATGGGTGCTTTAAAAATTCAGATAATTTACAAGCGAACACCTTGTTATTTCTGAAATTTTGCCTAACGATCAATATTCATTTTTGCTCACAAGTATATAATTAATCTAATAATTTAGATAAAAATGAATTATATCTATTGGTATTAAGCGAACTAATAATTAAAAAGCTGGATATTCGATTAAAAATTCACAATGTTACTTAAAATGATACACACTTATTTTGTTTAACAGAATTATAACAATTTATAAAAATAGACAAAGCAAATCTTTATTAAAACGAGTAAATCGAAATGAAGGCTCTTTATGAATAAATACGGTATGATAATGCCGAAAAAGCTTTTCATTCAGCTATTTTACCTCAAAATATTTAAAAATTTACATTAAACTCAATTTAAGGCTTTGTTGTTGATAGGGCACGTTTTATTGATGGGACATAAAAAAAAGGAATATCAAGTTCAATTCAAGTTTATTAGTAGTAATACTCAATTTCTGAAGTCCATCAATAAGAGACTTAATTAAAACTCTCGATAATAAATCATTAAGTAAATCACACTCCAAATAAAGTTGCAATACCCTTATAAAAATCTAGAATATATTATTCTCCTTAGCCAATAGTGTTAAAATCTCATAAATCAGCAATGACACCCTTAAAGCAATCTGCAGTTCTTCCAAAATCATATTTATCTCGTACACCAAGTATGCAGCAACCTTTAGCCCGTTCTTTTGTTAACTATTCTGAAAGTAGAACAAAATCCCCTGTAAAAAAAGCAAATTTGATGCGACTTTTAATCTAGGACATTCAAATTACAATCAATTCTATGTACAGCTACCCGTAAATTGCATTTGAATTTAGGGAAAGAGTATACTCAAATAGAAGCAACTCTGCATAGGACATAAGATAAATGATAAAAGAGATAAATCCAAGATCTAATAGTTCAGAAAAAGAAAAAATTTAAGAATTTATTCATAAGGAAAGAAGATATGATTAAGAACTTAATAAATAAATGGAGACAGTTAGATCTTAACTGGAAGGTTTAAAACGATAATCTAATTAATCAGAGGAAGTATTTGAAGATGCCATATCTAAAAGAAGATAAAGCATTGCCGATGATTTATCAGTAGGAGAAACTGGAACTCAAGATAAAGAAATCAATTATGGTTAAAGCAGAATAGTAGGACAAAATAAATACTCCAAAAATATATTGAATGCTTCCCCCATCCTTAATTCTCCATCAATATAAAAATTCGATGAAACTACAAAATTCTTTGAAGAGGAAATCTTAATTAGAAATAGACAGAAGTAGGATAGAGTTTTAATTAGAGAAGTAATCCTTTTGGACTCCTCAACATATGTAAATGATGAAAATTTATATACAGTAAGAAGCAAAAATTAAATATTAATTGCAAGTCGAGTCATTAATGGGATAATTGATTAAAGTTGGGAACTAACAAGTAACAATAGATATAAAAAAACTATTTCTGTAAACGAACCTATTTAATATTTAGAAGAAGACATAAAGATTTATTAGGGAAATTGCATTTTACGAAAATAAATAAGAAAAACACCAGAAATCCTTATTATGGGAGAAGGCATTAATGAAGAATAACAGAATGGTGATATTGTTGAAAGCAGAAGACTTGTTGAAAACAATGAATCTCTAACTTAAATGAAAGCAGATGGCTGGTCCTTTGAAAACATGCAAAGACTGGAAAGAAATCTTGGAATAGAATAAATATAAATTCATTAAATGGAATGCAGTTAACAAATCCTAGAAAAAAATGGTTCGTTTTAAAAAATATAAAAGTAGGTAGAGTTTTCTAATGATTAAAGTGAAATTCATGGGAAGTAAGTATAAGAAGAAATATTAAGATTTAATAAGGATACGGGCAAAATAGAAAAAATTTTAATACGAAAACCCTACACAGAAAAAGATGATGAGTTGGATAAAGACTACAGTTAGAAAGGAGTAAAAGTACTCTCTAGAAAAATATTAGATAATTCTCCATCTTAAAAAATAATGTTACAGGGTGGATGGTAATTGACCTAGGAAGGATTTTTATAAAAAATAATATCAGAATCAGAACCAGAATAATTCGTAGAAGAGGAAATCATAATTTATAATCAAGTAACAAAAAAGTAGGATAGAAAATTAGTGAGAAGGCCATTCTTTGATGGTGAATTACAAGAGATAAGTGAAAATTTAGATGAAGATAGTAATTTTGGTGTAAAAGTCGTTGCAAGAAGAATAATAGAAAAGAATGAATAAAAGTAATAAGGTAAAGAATGGCAGAAGAATTTAGAGGGGAATTATGAATTATAAATTTCTTAAGCTGAATCAACTTAATATGTTGAAGAGGAAATACTAATTAAGGATAAAAATGGAAGGATGATTAGAAAACTAGTAAGAAGGCCGATTGAATAATGCAAAGGAAAAGTTGGGAATAATTTAAGAGAAAAAGATAAAAATGGCAACGTTGTATTGTCCAGGAAGATCATAGATAATAAGTTTTCTATATAAGATTGGAAAAAAAATGGTAAAATATATGAAAAAATTATTTCATAAGAGGAACCTGAACAATTTGTTGAAGAAGAGATAATAATCATCAATCCTAAAACAGGCAAACAAGAGCGCAAATTAATAAGACGTCCTTATGAAAATGAAGAGGAAATTGGAGATTAATTGAACGAATCAATTGGCAATAACCAAAAAGTAGTATCTCGTAGAATTGTTTAAAATGACAGTTCTTTAAGTGAATGGAAGAAAAATTAGAAAACTGGATAATTGGAAAAATTAATTGTTCAGAATGAACCAGCTAAATTTATTGAGGAAGAAGTTTTAGTAATGAATGAAAAGACAGGAAAGATGGAAAGAAAATTAGTCAGAAAATAATATCAGCCTGGTTAGAATGTTGGAAATAATTTATAAGAAACAGATTCAAATGGAAATAAAATTCTAGCAAGAAGGGTTATTGAAAATACATCATCAACCTAGTAAGTTGAGAAGGAAGGATGGAAAAATAATTAAGGAAATTATGAAATAACCTTATCCATTCAAGAACCAACTTAATTTATTGAAGAAGAAATTATTATCATGAGATAAGGTGGAAAATAAGAGAGAAAAATTATTAGAAGACCTTTGGATGAAGATGGAAATATAGAGGAGGGAGAAGAGCTTTTGGAAGATTTAGGTGATGGTTGCTATGTAGTTTCTAGAAAGATTGTTGATAATGATTTGTCTCTCACTTCTTCGAAGTGGAAAAAAAATAGTGATGGAAATTATGAATAATCTTTGGGCGTTGAACCTTCTCAATATATTACTGAGGAAGTTTTATCATTAAATAATGAAACAGGTATGATGGAAAGAAAACTAGTGAGGAAACCGTATTCGGGAGGAAAAATCCAAGAAGGTGATTAATTAAATGAAGTAGATAAGAATGGAAATAAAGTGCTTTCCCGTAAAATAGAATCCAATCTTCAACCTAAAGCAGCCAAATAATAATGGTAAAATGTTGGTAAATAAGAAGAGATTATCATAAATTCCGAAGAACCTGAGCAATATATTGAAGAAGAAATTATTCAAATCAACCCGAAAACAGGAAAAATAGAGAGAAAAATTGTCAGAAAACCTATGAATAATGAAGAATTAGATAATTTGTAATTGGGTTAGAATTTACAAGAAGATTTAGGAAATGGTAAACAAGTAATTTCAAGAAAAATTGTGTAAAATGATCAATCAAATTAAGCTTTGAAATAGTAAGGTTGGGTAAAAAATAGTGATGGGAATATGGAAATCAGATTTCAGCCTGAACCTGTAAAATATGTTGAAGAAGAAATATTAGTTTAAGGCGAAGATGGAGTCGTTTAAAGAAAACTAATAAGAAGACCATACCTACCCTAAGATAACAAATTACAAATTGGAGCAGTAATAGAAAAAGATTAAAAAGGAAATAAAGTAGTTTCAAGAAAGATTGTATAAAATAATTAGCCAATTGACTCCAACTGGGTTTAATTAAGTAATGGTTAATAAGAGAAAGTGATCTCGGTGTAAGAACCAGAAGCATACATTGAGGAAGAGATCATTGTAATAAATCCCAAAACTTAGAAATAAGAAAGAAAATTAATTAGAAGACCTTTGACTGAATCAGAAATTGGCGAGATAGGAGAGAATCTTCAAGAAGGTGATGGCACTAGAAAAGTGGTTGCAAGAAGAATAATCTCTAATGAATAACCTATGGATTAAATGAAAGATTGGTAAAAAAAATAGGGACAATTGGAAATTTAATTAGCCTAAAGTGAGCCAACTAAGTATGTTGAGGAAGAAGTACTTTGTTATGGGGAAAATGGATTGCAAAGAAAATTAATAAGGAGACCGTTAACGAAGGAAAATTCTGAGATAGGAAGTAACTTAAATGAAGTAGATAAAGACGGAAACCGAATTTTATCGAGAAAAATTGTCGATAATACTTAATCCTTTTCTTAAGTTCAAAAAGATTGGTAAAAAGGATAAAATGGTACTCTTGAGAAAATTATTTCATAAGAGGAACCTGAATAATTCATTGAAGAAGAGATATTAATAATTAATCCTAAAACAGGCAAACAAGAGCGCAAATTAATAAGACGTCCTTATGAAAATGAAGAGGAAATTGGAGATTAATTGAACGAATCAATTGGCAATAACCAAAAAGTAGTATCTCGTAGAATTGTTTAAAATGACAGTTCTTTAAGTGAATGGAAGAAAAATTAGAAAACTGGATAATTGGAAAAATTAATTGTTCAGAATGAACCAGCTAAATTTATTGAGGAAGAAGTTTTAGTAATGAATGAAAAGACAGGAAAGATGGAAAGAAAATTAGTCAGAAAATAATATCAGCCTGGTTAGAACGTTGGAAATAATTTATAAGAAACAGATTCAAATGGAAATAAAATTCTAGCAAGAAGGGTTATTGAAAATACATCATCAACCTAGTAAGTTGAGAAGGAAGGATGGAAAAATAATTAAGGAAATTATGAAATAACCTTATCCATTCAAGAACCAACTTAATTTATTGAAGAAGAAATTATTATCATGAGATAAGGTGGAAAATAAGAGAGAAAAATTATTAGAAGACCTTTGGATAATGATGGAAATATAGAGGAGGGAGAAGAGCTTTTGGAAGATTTAGGTGATGGTTGCTATGTAGTTTCTAGAAAGATTGTTGATAATGATTTGTCTCTCACTTCTTCGAAGTGGAAAAAAAATAGTGATGGAAATTATGAATAATCTTTGGGCGTTGAACCTTCTCAATATATTACTGAGGAAGTTTTATCATTAAATAATGAAACAGGTATGATGGAAAGAAAACTAGTGAGGAAACCGTATTCGGGAGGAAAAATCCAAGAAGGTGATTAATTAAATGAAGTAGATAAGAATGGAAATAAAGTGCTTTCCCGTAAAATAGAATCCAATCTTCAACCTAAAGCAGCCAAATAATAATGGTAAAATGTTGGTAAATAAGAAGAGATTATCATAAATTCCAAAGAACCTGAGCAATATATTGAAGAAGAAATTATTCAAATCAACCCAAAAACAGGAAAAATAGAGAGAAAAATTGTCAGAAAACCTATGAATAATGAAGAATTAGATAATTTGTAATTGGGTTAGAATTTACAAGAAGATTTAGGAAATGGTAAACAAGTAATTTCAAGAAAAATTGTGTAAAATGATCAATCAAATTAAGCTTTGAAATAGTAAGGTTGGGTAAAAAATAGTGATGGGAATATGGAAATCAGATTTCAGCCTGAACCTGTAAAATATGTTGAAGAAGAAATATTAGTTTAAGGCGAAGATGGAGTCGTTTAAAGAAAACTAATAAGAAGACCATACCTACCCTAAGATAACAAATTACAAACTGGAGCAGTAATAGAAAAAGATTAAAAAGGAAATAAAGTAGTTTCAAGAAAGATTGTATAAAATAATTAGCCAATTGACTCCAACTGGGTTTAATTAAGTAATGGTTAATAAGAGAAAGTGATCTCGGTGTAAGAACCAGAAGCATACATTGAGGAAGAGATCATAGTAATAAATCCCAAAACTTAGAAATAAGAAAGAAAATTAATTAGAAGACCTTTGACTGAATCAGAAATTGGCGAGATAGGAGAGAATCTTCAAGAAGGTGATGGCACTAGAAAAGTGGTTGCAAGAAGAATAATCTCTAATGAATAACCTATGGATTAAATGAAAGATTGGTAAAAAAAATAGGGACAATTGGAAATTTAATTAGCCTAAAGTGAGCCAACTAAGTATGTTGAGGAAGAAGTACTTTGTTATGGGGAAAATGGATTGCAAAGAAAATTAATAAGGAGACCGTTAACGAAGGAAAATTCTGAGATAGGAAGTAACTTAAATGAAGTAGATAAAGACGGAAACCGAATTTTATCGAGAAAAATTGTCGATAATACTTAATCCTTTTCTTAAGTTCAAAAAGATTGGTAAAAAGGATAAAATGGTACTCTTGAGAAAATTATTTCATAAGAGGAACCTGAATAATTCATTGAAGAAGAGATATTAATAATTAATCCTAAAACAGGCAAACAAGAGCGCAAATTAATAAGACGTCCTTATGAAAATGAAGAGGAAATTGGAGATTAATTGAACGAATCAATTGGCAATAACCAAAAAGTAGTATCTCGTAGAATTGTTTAAAATGACAGTTCTTTAAGTGAATGGAAGAAAAATTAGAAAACTGGATAATTGGAAAAATTAATTGTTCAGAATGAACCAGCTAAATTTATTGAGGAAGAAGTTTTAGTAATGAATGAAAAGACAGGAAAGATGGAAAGAAAATTAGTCAGAAAATAATATCAGCCTGGTTAGAACGTTGGAAATAATTTATAAGAAACAGATTCAAATGGAAATAAAATTCTAGCAAGAAGGGTTATTGAAAATACATCATCAACCTAGTAAGTTGAGAAGGAAGGATGGAAAAATAATTAAGGAAATTATGAAATAACCTTATCCATTCAAGAACCAACTTAATTTATTGAAGAAGAAATTATTATCATGAGATAAGGTGGAAAATAAGAGAGAAAAATTATTAGAAGACCTTTGGATAATGATGGAAATATAGAGGAGGGAGAAGAGCTTTTGGAAGATTTAGGTGATGGTTGCTATGTAGTTTCTAGAAAGATTGTTGATAATGATTTGTCTCTCACTTCTTCGAAGTGGAAAAAAAATAGTGATGGAAATTATGAATAATCTTTGGGCGTTGAACCTTCTCAATATATTACTGAGGAAGTTTTATCATTAAATAATGAAACAGGTATGATGGAAAGAAAACTAGTGAGGAAACCGTATTCGGGAGGAAAAATCCAAGAAGGTGATTAATTAAATGAAGTAGATAAGAATGGAAATAAAGTGCTTTCCCGTAAAATAGAATCCAATCTTCAACCTAAAGCAGCCAAATAATAATGGTAAAATGTTGGTAAATAAGAAGAGATTATCATAAATTCCGAAGAACCTGAGCAATATATTGAAGAAGAAATTATTCAAATCAACCCGAAAACAGGAAAAATAGAGAGAAAAATTGTCAGAAAACCTATGAATAATGAAGAATTAGATAATTTGTAATTGGGTTAGAATTTACAAGAAGATTTAGGAAATGGTAAACAAGTAATTTCAAGAAAAATTGTGTAAAATGATCAATCAAATTAAGCTTTGAAATAGTAAGGTTGGGTAAAGAATAGTGATGGGAATATGGAAATCAGATTTCAGCCTGAACCTGTAAAATATGTTGAAGAAGAAATATTAGTTTAAGGCGAAGATGGAGTCGTTTAAAGAAAACTAATAAGAAGACCATACCTACCCTAAGATAACAAATTACAAATTGGAGCAGTAATAGAAAAAGATTAAAAAGGAAATAAAGTAGTTTCAAGAAAGATTGTATAAAATAATTAGCCAATTGACTCCAACTGGGTTTAATTAAGTAATGGTTAATAAGAGAAAGTGATCTCGGTGTAAGAACCAGAAGCATACATTGAGGAAGAGATCATTGTAATAAATCCCAGAACTTAGAAATAAGAAAGAAAATTAATTAGAAGACCTTTGACTGAATCAGAAATTGGCGAGATAGGAGAGAATCTTCAAGAAGGTGATGGCACTAGAAAAGTGGTTGCAAGAAGAATAATCTCTAATGAATAACCTATGGATTAAATGAAAGATTGGTAACAAAAATAGGGACAAATGGAAATTTAATTAGCCTAAAGTGAGCCAACTAAGTATGTTGAGGAAGAAGTACTTTGTTATGGGGAAAATGGATTGCAGAGAAAATTAATAAGGAGACCGTTAACGAAGGAAAATTCTGAGATGGGAAGTAACTTAAATGAAGTAGATAAGGACGGAAACCGAATTTTATCGAGAAAAATTGTTGATAATACTTAATCCCTTTCTTAAGTTCAAAAAGATTGGTAAAAAGGATAAAATGGTACTCTTGAGAAAATTATTTCATAAGAGGAACCTGAATAATTCATTGAAGAAGAGATATTAATAATTAATCCTAAAACAGGCAAACAAGAGCGCAAATTAATAAGACGTCCTTATGAAAATGAAGAGGAAATTGGAGATTAATTGAACGAATCAATTGGCAATAACCAAAAAGTAGTATCTCGCAGAATTGTTTAAAATGACAGTTCTTTAAGTGAATGGAAGAAAAATTAGAAAACTGGATAATTGGAAAAATTAATCATTCAGAATGAACCAGCTAAATTTATTGAGGAAGAAGTTTTAGTAATGAATGAAAAGACAGGAAAGATGGAAAGAAAATTAGTAAGAAAATAATATTAGCCTGGTTAGAACGTTGGAAATAATTTATAAGAAACAGATTCAAATGGAAATAAAATTCTAGCAAGAAGGGTTATTGAAAATACATCATCAACATAGTAAGTTGAGAAGGAAGGATGGAAAAATAATTAAGGAAATTATGAAATAACCTTATCCATTCAAGAACCAACTTAATTCATTGAAGAAGAAATTATTATCATGAGATAAGGTGGAAAATAAGAGAGAAAAATTATAAGAAGACCTTTGGATAATGATGGGAACATTCTAGAGGGAGAAGAAATTTTGGAAGATTTAGGTGATGGTTGCTATGTAGTTTCTAGAAAGATTGTTGATAATGATTTGTCTCTCACTTCTTCGAAGTGGAAAAAAAATAGTGATGGAAATTATGAATAATCTTTGGGCGTTGAACCTTCTCAATATATTACTGAGGAAGTTTTATCATTAAATAATGAAACAGGTATGATGGAAAGAAAACTAGTGAGGAAACCGTATTCGGGAGGAAAAATCCAAGAAGGTGATTAATTAAATGAAGTAGATAAGAATGGAAATAAAGTGCTTTCCCGTAAAATAGAATCCAATCTTCAACCTAAAGCAGCCAAATAATAATGGTAAAATGTTGGTAAATAAGAAGAGATTATCATAAATTCCAAAGAACCTGAGCAATATATTGAAGAAGAAATTATTCAAATCAACCCAAAAACAGGAAAAATAGAGAGAAAAATTGTCAGAAAACCTATGAATAATGAAGAATTAGATAATTTGTAAATGGGTTAGAATTTACAAGAAGATTTAGGAAATGGTAAACAAGTAATTTCAAGAAAAATTGTGTAAAATGATCAATCAAATTAAGCTTTGAAATAGTAAGGTTGGGTAAAGAATAGTGATGGGAATATGGAAATCAGATTTCAGCCTGAACCTGTAAAATATGTTGAAGAAGAAATATTAGTTTAAGGCGAAGATGGAGTCGTTTAAAGAAAACTAATAAGAAGACCATACCTACCCTAAGATAACAAATTACAAATTGGAGCAGTAATAGAAAAAGATTAAAAAGGAAATAAAGTAGTTTCAAGAAAGATTGTATAAAATAATTAGCCAATTGACTCCAACTGGGTTTAATTAAGTAACGGCTAATAGGAGAAAGTGATCTCGGTGTAAGAACCAGAAGCATACGTTGAGGAAGAGATCATTGTAATAAATCCCAGAACTTAGAAATAAGAAAGAAAATTAATTAGAAGACCTTTGACTGAATCAGAAATTGGCGAAATAGGAGAGAATCTTCAAGAAGGTGATGGCACTAGAAAAGTGGTTGCAAGAAGAATAATCTCTAATGAATAACCTATGGATTAAATGAAAGATTGGTAACAAAAATAGGGACAAATGGAAATTTAATTAGCCTAAAGTGAGCCAACTAAGTATGTTGAGGAAGAAGTACTTTGTTATGGGGAAAATGGATTGCAGAGAAAATTAATAAGGAGACCGTTAACGAAGGAAAATTCTGAGATGGGAAGTAACTTAAATGAAGTAGATAAAGACGGAAACCGAATTTTATCGAGAAAAATTGTCGATAATTCTTAATCCCTTTCTTAAGTTCAAAAAGATTGGTAAAAAGGATAAAATGGTACTCTTGAAAAAATTATATCATAAGGGGAACCTGAACAATTTGTTGAAGAAGAGATAATAATCATCAATCCTAAAACAGGCAAACAAGAGCGCAAATTAATAAGACGTCCTTATGAAAATGAAGAGGAAATTGGAGATTAATTGAACGAATCAATTGGCAATAACCAAAAAGTAGTATCTCGCAGAATTGTTTAAAATGACAGTTCTTTAAGTGAATGGAAGAAAAATTAGAAAACTGGATAATTGGAAAAATTAATCATTCAGAATGAACCAGCTAAATTTATTGAGGAAGAAGTTTTAGTAATGAATGAAAAGACAGGAAAGATGGAAAGAAAATTAGTAAGAAAATAATATTAGCCTGGTTAGAACGTTGGAAATAATTTATAAGAAACAGATTCAAATGGAAATAAAATTCTAGCAAGAAGGGTTATTGAAAATACATCATCAACATAGTAAGTTGAGAAGGAAGGATGGAAAAATAATTAAGGAAATTATGAAATAACCTTATCCATTCAAGAACCAACTTAATTTATTGAAGAAGAAATTATTATCATGAGATAAGGTGGGAAATAAGAGAGAAAAATTATAAGAAGACCTTTGGATAATGATGGGAACATTCTAGAGGGAGAAGAAATTTTGGAAGATTTAGGTGATGGTTGCTATGTAGTTTCTAGAAAGATTGTTGATAATGATTTGTCTCTCACTTCTTCGAAGTGGAAAAAAAATAGTGATGGAAATTATGAATAATCTTTGGGCGTTGAACCTTCTCAATATATTACTGAGGAAGTTTTATCATTAAATAATGAAACAGGTATGATGGAAAGAAAACTAGTGAGGAAACCGTATTCGGGAGGAAAAATCCAAGAAGGTGATTAATTAAATGAAGTAGATAAGAATGGAAATAAAGTGCTTTCCCGTAAAATAGAATCCAATCTTCAACCTAAAGCAGCCAAATAATAATGGTAAAATGTTGGTAAATAAGAAGAGATTATCATAAATTCCGAAGAACCTGAGCAATATATTGAAGAAGAAATTATTCAAATCAACCCAAAAACAGGAAAAATAGAGAGAAAAATTGTCAGAAAACCATTGAATAATGAAGAATTCGATAATTTATAAATGGGTTAGAATTTACAAGAAGATTTAGGAAATGGTAAACAAGTAATTTCAAGAAAAATTGTGTAAAATGATCAATCAAATTAAGCTTTGAAATAGTAAGGTTGGGTAAAGAATAGTGATGGGAATATGGAAATCAGATTTCAGCCTGAACCTGTAAAATATGTTGAAGAAGAAATATTAGTTTAAGGCGAAGATGGAGTCGTTTAAAGAAAACTAATAAGAAGACCATACCTACCCTAAGACAACAAATTACAAACTGGAGCAGTAATAGAAAAAGATTAAAAAGGAAATAAAGTAGTTTCAAGAAAGATTGTATAAAATAATTAGCCAATTGACTCCAACTGGGTTTAATTAAGTAACGGCTAATAGGAGAAAGTGATCTCGGTGTAAGAACCAGAAGCATACGTTGAGGAAGAGATCATTGTAATAAATCCCAGAACTTAGAAATAAGAAAGAAAATTAATTAGAAGACCTTTGACTGAATCAGAAATTGGCGAAATAGGAGAGAATCTTCAAGAAGGTGATGGCACTAGAAAAGTGGTTGCAAGAAGAATAATCTCTAATGAATAACCTATGGATTAAATGAAAGATTGGTAACAAAAATAGGGACAAATGGAAATTTAATTAGCCTAAAGTGAGCCAACTAAGTATGTTGAGGAAGAAGTACTTTGTTATGGGGAAAATGGATTGCAGAGAAAATTAATAAGGAGACCGTTAACGAAGGAAAATTCTGAGATGGGAAGTAACTTAAATGAAGTAGATAAAGACGGAAACCGAATTTTATCGAGAAAAATTGTCGATAATTCTTAATCCCTTTCTTAAGTTCAAAAAGATTGGTAAAAAGGATAAAATGGTACTCTTGAAAAAATTATATCATAAGGGGAACCTGAACAATTTGTTGAAGAAGAGATAATAATCATCAATCCTAAAACAGGCAAACAAGAGCGCAAATTAATAAGACGTCCTTATGAAAATGAAGAGGAAATTGGAGATTAATTGAACGAATCAATTGGCAATAACCAAAAAGTAGTATCTCGCAGAATTGTTTAAAATGACAGTTCTTTAAGTGAATGGAAGAAAAATTAGAAAACTGGATAATTGGAAAAATTAATCATTCAGAATGAACCAGCTAAATTTATTGAGGAAGAAGTTTTAGTAATGAATGAAAAGACAGGAAAGATGGAAAGAAAATTAGTAAGAAAATAATATTAGCCTGGTTAGAACGTTGGAAATAATTTATAAGAAACAGATTCAAATGGAAATAAAATTCTAGCAAGAAGGGTTATTGAAAATACATCATCAACATAGTAAGTTGAGAAGGAAGGATGGAAAAATAATTAAGGAAATTATGAAATAACCTTATCCATTCAAGAACCAACTTAATTCATTGAAGAAGAAATTATTATCATGAGATAAGGTGGAAAATAAGAGAGAAAAATTATAAGAAGACCTTTGGATAATGATGGGAACATTCTAGAGGGAGAAGAAATTTTGGAAGATTTAGGTGATGGTTGCTATGTAGTTTCTAGAAAGATTGTTGATAATGATTTGTCTCTCACTTCTTCGAAGTGGAAAAAAAATAGTGATGGAAATTATGAATAATCTTTGGGCGTTGAACCTTCTCAATATATTACTGAGGAAGTTTTATCATTAAATAATGAAACAGGTATGATGGAAAGAAAACTAGTGAGGAAACCGTATTCGGGAGGAAAAATCCAAGAAGGTGATTAATTAAATGAAGTAGATAAGAATGGAAATAAAGTGCTTTCCCGTAAAATAGAATCCAATCTTCAACCTAAAGCAGCCAAATAATAATGGTAAAATGTTGGTAAATAAGAAGAGATTATCATAAATTCCAAAGAACCTGAGCAATATATTGAAGAAGAAATTATTCAAATCAACCCAAAAACAGGAAAAATAGAGAGAAAAATTGTCAGAAAACCTATGAATAATGAAGAATTAGATAATTTGTAAATGGGTTAGAATTTACAAGAAGATTTAGGAAATGGTAAACAAGTAATTTCAAGAAAAATTGTGTAAAATGATCAATCAAATTAAGCTTTGAAATAGTAAGGTTGGGTAAAGAATAGTGATGGGAATATGGAAATCAGATTTCAGCCTGAACCTGTAAAATATGTTGAAGAAGAAATATTAGTTTAAGGCGAAGATGGAGTCGTTTAAAGAAAACTAATAAGAAGACCATACCTACCCTAAGATAACAAATTACAAATTGGAGCAGTAATAGAAAAAGATTAAAAAGGAAATAAAGTAGTTTCAAGAAAGATTGTATAAAATAATTAGCCAATTGACTCCAACTGGGTTTAATTAAGTAACGGCTAATAGGAGAAAGTGATCTCGGTGTAAGAACCAGAAGCATACGTTGAGGAAGAGATCATTGTAATAAATCCCAGAACTTAGAAATAAGAAAGAAAATTAATTAGAAGACCTTTGACTGAATCAGAAATTGGCGAAATAGGAGAGAATCTTCAAGAAGGTGATGGCACTAGAAAAGTGGTTGCAAGAAGAATAATCTCTAATGAATAACCTATGGATTAAATGAAAGATTGGTAACAAAAATAGGGACAAATGGAAATTTAATTAGCCTAAAGTGAGCCAACTAAGTATGTTGAGGAAGAAGTACTTTGTTATGGGGAAAATGGATTGCAGAGAAAATTAATAAGGAGACCGTTAACGAAGGAAAATTCTGAGATGGGAAGTAACTTAAATGAAGTAGATAAAGACGGAAACCGAATTTTATCGAGAAAAATTGTCGATAATTCTTAATCCCTTTCTTAAGTTCAAAAAGATTGGTAAAAAGGATAAAATGGTACTCTTGAAAAAATTATTTCATAAGGGGAACCTGAACAATTTGTTGAAGAAGAGATAATAATCATCAATCCTAAAACAGGCAAACAAGAGCGCAAATTAATAAGACGTCCTTATGAAAATGAGGAGGAAATTGGAGATTAATTGAACGAATCAATTGGCAATAACCAAAAAGTAGTATCTCGCAGAATTGTTTAAAATGACAGTTCTTTAAGTGAATGGAAGAAAAATTAGAAAACTGGATAATTGGAAAAATTAATCATTCAGAATGAACCAGCTAAATTTATTGAGGAAGAAGTTTTAGTAATGAATGAAAAGACAGGAAAGATGGAAAGAAAATTAGTAAGAAAATAATATTAGCCTGGTTAGAACGTTGGAAATAATTTATAAGAAACAGATTCAAATGGAAATAAAATTCTAGCAAGAAGGGTTATTGAAAATACATCATCAACATAGTAAGTTGAGAAGGAAGGATGGAAAAATAATTAAGGAAATTATGAAATAACCTTATCCATTCAAGAACCAACTTAATTCATTGAAGAAGAAATTATTATCATGAGATAAGGTGGAAAATAAGAGAGAAAAATTATTAGAAGACCTTTGGATAATGATGGGAACATTCTAGAGGGAGAAGAAATTTTGGAAGATTTAGGTGATGGTTGCTATGTAGTTTCTAGAAAGATTGTTGATAATGATTTATCTCTCACTTCTTCGAAGTGGAAAAAAAATAGTGATGGAAATTATGAATAATCTTTGGGCGTTGAACCTTCTCAATATATTACTGAGGAAGTTTTATCATTAAATAATGAAACAGGTATGATGGAAAGAAAACTAGTGAGGAAACCTTATTTGGGAGGAAAAATCCAAGAAGGTGATTAATTAAATGAAGTGGATAAGAATGGAAATAAAGTGCTTTCCCGTAAAATAGAATCCAATCTTCAACCTAAAGCAGCCAAATAATAATGGTAAAATGTTGGTAAATAAGAAGAGATTATCATAAATTCCAAAGAACCTGAGCAATATATTGAAGAAGAAATTATTCAAATCAACCCAAAAACAGGAAAAATAGAGAGAAAAATTGTCAGAAAACCTATGAATAATGAAGAATTAGATAATTTGTAAATGGGGTAGAATTTACAAGAAGATTTAGGAAATGGAAAACAAGTAATTTCAAGAAAAATTGTGTAAAATGATCAATCAAATTAAGCTTTGAAATAGTAAGGTTGGGTAAAGAATAGTGATGGAAATATGGAAATCAGATTTCAGCCTGAGCCTGTAAAATATGTTGAAGAAGAAATATTAGTTTAAGGCGAAGATGGAGTCGTTTAAAGAAAACTAATAAGAAGACCATACCTACCCTAAGACAACAAATTACAAACTGGAGCAGTAATAGAAAAAGATTAAAAAGGAAATAAAGTAGTTTCAAGAAAGATTGTATAAAATAATTAGCCAATTGACTCCAACTGGGTTTAATTAAGTAATGGTTAATAAGAGAAAGTGATCTCGGTGTAAGAACCAGAAGCATTCATTGAGGAAGAGATCATTGTAATAAATCCCAGAACTTAGAAATAAGAAAGAAAATTAATTAGAAGACCTTTGACTGAATCAGAAATTGGCGAGATAGGAGAGAATCTTCAAGAAGGTGACGGCACTAGAAAAGTGGTTGCAAGAAGAATAATCTCTAATGAATAACCTATGGATTAAATGAAAGATTGGTAACAAAAATAGGGACAATTGGAAATTTAATTAGCCTAAAGTGAGCCAACTAAGTATGTTGAGGAAGAAGTACTTTGTTATGGGGAAAATGGATTGCAGAGAAAATTAATAAGGAGACCTTTAACGAAGGAAAATTCTGAGATAGGAAGTAATTTAAATGAAGTAGATAAGGACGGAAACCGAATTTTATCGAGAAAAATTGTTGATAATACTTAATCCCTTTCTTAAGTTCAAAAAGATTGGTAAAAAGGATAAAATGGTACTCTTGAGAAAATTATTTCATAAGAGGAACCTGAATAATTCGTTGAAGAAGAGATATTAATAATTAATCCTTAAACAGGAAAACAAGAGCGCAAATTAATAAGATAACCAGTATATTAAATTAATGAATAAATTACTTATGGAGATCGTTTAAACGAGTAAGGAAAGGATGGTGAAATAGTTATTTCTAGAAGGATTATATAAAATTAATTTTCATCTGATAATTTAAATTAATAAGGGTGGTAACAGAAAAAGGATGGAAATTTAGAGTAAATAATAAGTGAAGCTGAACCAACCAAATATATAGAGGAAGAAATTTTAGTTATGAATCCATAAACTTAACAACTTGAAAGAAAATTAATAAGAAGGCCATTGTCACCAAATTCATAAAATCTAAAAACTGGAGATAATCTAACTGAAATTGATAAGGAAGGAAAATACATTTTATCTAGAAAAATAATTGATAATATATCTCCAATTAAATAATAATAAAAAGATGGATGGAAATTTGAATAAGGTAAGTTGACTAGATTAGTAAGCTTTTCTGAGCCAAAATAGTTCATTGAAGAGGAAATTCTAATTATTAACTAAACTACTGGAAAGCAGGAGAGAAAGCTAATAAGAAAACCCTATATTGAGGATAACAAAACCCTATTTGGAGATGAACTAGATGAATAATAATAAGGCTATAAAGTAGTTTCTAGAAAAATTGTTCCAAATAATATCTCTTCAGAAACCAAAAAAAAAGAAGGGTGGATAACTAATAAAGAAGGATTGATGGAAAAAGTGATAGCTTCATCTGAGCCTTCCAAGTATATAGAAGAAGAAATTTTAAGTTTTAATAAGGAAACTGGTTAATTAGAAAGAAAGCTTATAAGAAGGTAAATCTAAGATAATCTTGTTATGGGAGACTCCATATAAGAAGTAGATCCTTTAGGAAATACAATTTTGTCAAGAAAAATAGTTGATAATAATTCTACTACAGGATGGATTAAATAAAAAAACGGAACTTTAGTAAAATAACTATCAGTATAGGAGCCTGAGTAATATATAGAGGAGGAAGTGCTTTTAACTGACAAGGACGGATAATAAAAACTAATAGTTGAAAGAAGACCCTTTATAAATGGAGAAGGCAAAATTAATAGAACTGATGGAGGTTTTGTTTTATCAAGAAAAGTTATTTAAAATAACTAAACCTTAACTGCTCTAAAATAAGAAGGATGGGTTAAAGATAATTAAGGAATTTTAAAAAAAGTTGGTGATTAATCTACTGGCAATTCAGCATTAGCCCAATAATTAATTAATTAAGATTCTTAATATTTTGAAGAAGAACATTAAATATTAAATCCAAAAACTAATGAAATGGAAATAATTTAATTAAAGTTTCCTTACAATGTAAAGAGATAAATTGGAAAAAGATTAAAAGAATAGGATTCTGAAGGTAATCAAATAATAAGTCGAAGGATTGTTACAAATCTTGATTTAGATTATAATCCATACTAATTTGTAGAAGAAATTGTTGAAATTACAAATCAAAAATCAGGTTAGACAGAATTATTTGCTATATAAAAATAGGTCAACATTACAGAAGTATAGATTGGAAGAAACTTAAATGAAAAATAACCTAATGGTTTTATTATCAGATAAAGAAAAGTTATAAATTAATTTTAAATAGATAGTTTATCAAGCTGGAAAAAGGTTACTGATGCTCCAAAGGAATATTTTAAATAGCATGCAAACATAAATATAAAGAGATAAATGTATTAAATTGATGAGGACAGCTAGGAGTAAAGAGACTCATAATATCGATCTAATGAAGAGCTGAATAGCTAAGGAATAAGGGTTCCAGATTTTGATGGATCCAGAACAGATAAGTTTCTTGCAAGTTCTAGTGAAAAAAGAAACCAACAATAATTAAAAACTATAGAAGAAGAAATTTTAATATTGAACCCTTAAACAAAAAAAGTGGAGCGTCGCTTACAAAGAAAAACAAATGAAGCAGAATAAAATCCAGAGATCGGAGATGATTTATATGAGTAGGAAGAGGATATTGTAATTTTAAGTAGACAATTTGTTGAGTCAAATTCCCCATCAGATTTAATGAAAAAAGGCTGGTGTGAAAAGAGTAGCAACATTTGGCAACGAATTTTAAGCAAGAATGAATCTTTCTAAATGATTGAGGAGGTAGTAAAAGAAGGAAAAGGAAACAAATAAAAAATCATCATTACAAGAAAAAACTATAAAGACGAGGAATTAGTTTTTGGGGAAGATTTGAAGGAGCAGCTCGGTTAAGATCAAACTTTAGTTCGTAGAATTAAAGTCTCTAATCGATCTTTGGCGTTCTATAAAAATTGTGATTTTAGCAAAAATAGAGAAGGAAATTATGTAAAAATAATCTAAGCAAATGATAACCCAAATGTTTAATTAAAAATCCCAAAATATTAAGAACCAAATCTTAAGAAGAGTAAATCGAGCTCCTCTTAACTATCACTAATTTAAGCTATAGAGTAAACATAAATAACTAAATCTAAATCTTTAATAAATGTTAGCGACTAATATAATAAAACTCAAGGAACAAATAAAGGTTAACAATAATTACATGAATAATTTATGGATGATCAAGCAATAATTAATAGAACAAATATTTCAGATATATCCGAAACAGATAAAATGTTTTTAAAATAATTAGAGAGAAAGGATCATAGCAAAAAATAATCCCAATAAGATATCCTGCGAAATAGAGTTGGATCTGACAAAAACAATAGAAGCTCATCCAGTCCCTTTTCAGACCAAGATTACAATATGAGTTCTAACTCTGTAATAGGCATCAAAATCATAAAAAGACTTCTTTAAAAAATGATTTTAGTTAAAGTTAAAATTGGATTTGATGAAATTTGCCATAAAAAGTAAAAAATACATATATCTACTAGTTAATAATATGAGAGATTCTCAAAAGCGATTAGATTAATAAAAAAATTTGGAACGAGATGTGGATTTGCCTCTCTCAATGAACATAGGCTAAAAACTTTTATAGAATTCAATGAGGATGACATCATAAAATATAATTAGATGCTCACTGAAAATAAAATTTAAGCAATGGAACATATTCCTGAATAAGGTTAACAAGCTGAGCCTATAGAATTAAGCCCTGATGAAAAAGGATCAAGGACATTAGTTAAATCTCAATCATAAATATTACCAAAATAACTCAATTTTAGAAACTCATTCACTAGTACTCCACAAAAAGAATAATAGTAATTATCTTAAAATTAAATCAAATCTGGTTAACCAGTTAGAGCTGCATAAGCTCCATCTACTTCAATTATTATTTCTTCACTTCCTCAATCTTAATAATTAGCCAGGGGATCGAATTCCCGTAGCTCAACCATCAAAACTGTAGTCAGTCCTTAACCTTAATAAACAAAATAGTAAAAATAAAAATAATAATTTAGTGTTGCATAACAAAAATTTTCCTACCAAAGTGAAGATAAAAAAAAAAGTGGTTAAAACACCAACTAAAGCACTCAAAAGAGTAATAGATAATAAGAAGTTCCTTCAGTAAAAATAATTTAATATTTAAGGTTAATTAAAGTTAAAATGCATCATAAAGTTCTATTTAAAATTCAAGCAATTAATTAGCTGCCTAAAAAAAAGACAAAATATAATAGTAATTTAAAAAAATGGGATCATATTCTCAAAAATCAAAAAAGTGATTAATATTTTTTTACGTTAATGTCAATTTCTACGTTATTTCAAACAATTTTTTTCTTTAAATTTTAGATAACCTCATCTAATATTGATACAGATAAATTGATTATTATTAATGAGTCAGTTTTTTGATATTTTGGCTTTGGATTCGTTTGAAATTAATCAGTATAATTTAAATTAAACTGTCTCCAAATAAATTGTCTTAAAAATTTACCGAAGAATCATTTTGGAAATAATAAGACAAAATACCTGAAAATAAAAATTTACATATATTTTTTTCAAAATTTTAATGTCCAGCTTTATTGCTTTATTTAAATTATGTTTTAAGAAATATGATGCTTAGAGAAAAATGCGATTCAATTTAATATTACAGATTGTATGATTTATATTATTTATCATATTTTAATATATAATTAAACTCATAATGTTTGATTCAATCAAACAAGGAACTTGGAACATTTTATATGCTATTGCCTCCCTGATTTATTCTCCTTTATTTGGGAATCTGTTTTTATGCCTTTACAGAATTTTAATTCTGTATTTAGCTATGATTTTGAGAGAATGGATCTTATTGAGCCATTTAGGACTTCTTTTCATTACTTAATAAATTATCATCAATAGGATTTTATAAAGTCTCTTGTTTTTTTTACTTCTCAGAAGTTTCAAGTTCTGCTTAATTCAAATTTTCTTCTTTATGATCTTCTTTAGTTTATTTTACTTGATTTTTTTAACCTTAAAAAACAACCTATGAATCTTATCCAATTTATTAACTTTGATTTGATAAACGATTGAAAAAATCGTCAGGGTTTTCTGCAGCTTATTTATTAAGTAATGCATCTCTATTTGATTCATTTTAGTTTTCTGCTTTCACTTATGGGGCTTATTTTTATTGATCTTATTTGATTTCAGGATTAGTATTTCTAACTTGTTTTGTCGACTTTTTAGGAGGAGGTGGGTTGACTTATTTTTCCACAGCAATTTTTTATTTTTATGGTGATTCCTGTTATTTGGCATTTTTTTTTTTCTTGTCTACTTGCTATGGTTCTTCCTTTTACGAAGCCTTATCCGCGTCTTATAATTTTTCATGCTCCAAATCCACAACTTAAAGTAGTTTTTAATTTTATATTTATGGATTTAAAGTTAGTTCATTATTTTGCTTTATGTGATTAACAGGCTTCTCATTAAAATTCAAATGTCCCTCTTATACTTTATCTTATTATACTTTATCTTATTATTCTTTTATTTTATTCATCAAATCCTTCAAAATTACTTATCTTTCTTAAAATGTTACTGTAGTTAAATTTTATGTCTCCTGCTTTGTTAATTTTTTAGCTAAACTTATTTATGCTTTCAAAGAAGCTATTTCATTTTCAAAAATCTATTTCTATTTATTTAGATCTTTTTGATATTGCTCTTACACTCTTTTCAATTCTGATTGATAGAAGTCTTTTTATATCTGCATTTCTTTATTTCTTTGTCTCATTTCGTTTATTTCACTATAAAGCTAGGCTATTAACTCAGTATCCTCATTATTTCCTTAGTCATTTATGTTCTTTAACAAACTTTTGCATAATTTACTCTGAGAAATGTCAATATCATCTTAAATTATATCTTGATTTAATTTATTGTCCGATGGGAGAGGCTCTATCTGTTTACTTTATAATTTTTCTTTGACTTATTGAAATGTCTCGATTTGCTTTTATTTTTGTTGTTGTTATTATTAATATATCAATTTCTAATCAACCTAAGTTTAAGTATTAAGAATCGGCTCATATTCTTCAACTTCGTCATCTTTTATATCCTATTAGAACTCATCCTATTGCTTATTATCAAGCTCTTCTAGAAAAAATTTTATTTAAGATTATGATTCTATAAGTTCAGCTGCTTAATCATCTAATTAAGCTGGATTTTCAGGTACATTCTCTAATTTCACCTTTATTTCTGAAATTGCTTCACAATCGTTTAGGTGGTTAGTAAACTTTTAATCTTTATACTACTACGTGTTCTTGAATGACATAATTAATTAGAATTATAAATATTATTTACTATTTTAATTTTACTCATTATAAACATAAATCAAAATAAAATAAAGAAGCCCAGCCAAATTCATAGAATTTTAAGAGTTCTTATCTTTAATATGAAAATTAATTAAGTTAGAAAAGTTTAATGCTTGAGCATAAATAAAAAATCAAAAAATTAATCATCAAAAATGAGGGATCTGTGTAGATTATTCTCAAGCTCCCTTCAGTATTCTTTAATGAAATATTAAAATTTTAAGTTAATTAAAATTGTTCAACAATTTTAGGATCAAACTTACAGTATTTCAAATACTAATTCTATTCAATGGATTATATTTTCCTAAAGCTTTATTTAGCTTTATTTTAGAATTAGGGTAGTACTCGATAAAATACTTAAAAGTAATAAATTATTAATTAAACGCAAAGCTGATGCTCATATTAATAGCAGTTAAAAAATGAGAAAAAATTAGTTTACATTCTTATTATAAATCTTTGGATGATGATCATAATTTAATAGTAAGATCATATAATTTTAGTTGTTTAAAGTATTTGAGACTCTGATTTTTAACATTTTTCCCAATCAAAATAAATTTAATCATTAGATCTATAAGAAAAATTAACCTTTGGATTATTCAAATAAGATATTTAATAGATTTATTATAATTAAACCATAACTAATGCAAATATTTGATTGATTAGAATTCTTCTTTATTTCAATAAGAAATTAGTTTTGATAAAGTTTAGCATTATAGTTTAATGATGATGCTGATATTTAAGTTTGTAATTCATAAGACGTTAATATAATCAAACAGTAAGTGATCAGATTTCAATCTAAAACTAGCAATTTTTATAGAAGAAAGTGAAACTGAATTTAAAGGCTCGAGTAGTATGAATTTTAATACCTATAAAAACGGTATATATTTTATATTTTTTCTAAAATGAAGAAAACCTTTATAACTTTCATTCTATTGATCGTTGTAGCCATTTCTTCGAAATTAGAAGCATCAGAGCTCCGAACTCGAGGTATTGTTGCACAAATAGATAGGGCTGACATACAATGAAGCATATAATATAGATGTTTCTCGCTTGAGTTGCCATGCTAATTTCGATTTCATCATTGCTGAATTAGAGAGATGGATTGATATCATTGATAATCGAGAGTAATTGATAAAAGATTTAGCGATAATCAATACAATCATAAATATAGTTGAGAAAGCAAAAGGCACGATGTCTGCAATTCATTCAACTATGTTGGTGGAAATATAATAAAAAATTGAATAGTCTCTTTAGAATATTTTTATTCAAAATAAGTGGGCTGCCTGCAGAGTCGAAGATGCTCTTGAATATGTTGGCTAATTGAATGCTACATAAAGTAAAATGAAAATATATAGTAGCAAATTAGGAGAAAATATAATTGGCAAATTAAATTATTGCTCATTTGAGAAAGACTTAAGAGCAAATATATCAATATTTGAATCAGTGTTAATATGTTTAGAGAACATTAAATTTGAGATAAAAAGTTACATAACTTAACACGTTAAGGAGATTATGCTAATAGGATATCAAAAAGGTAAGAAGAATTTTTGAAAATGAACAGGATTCAGAAGAGGATATTATTTACTATGATGAAATACCAGGAGAAATAATATATTATTATTTTGAAGAAGAGGATTTAGAATCACTAATTGATGATTTTGATAATGAACCATATCATTAGATTTATAAAAAATAAAGTGATCAATTGAATAAGGATGAGTCAAATGATATAAATTAGGAAATTAAAAGTAATTAAAGATATATTGCTTTGGGGCATGAGATTGATGGAAAATAGAAGAACTCTGGTGATGATAATTTGAATAATAATGAAATTTAAAATTCTGAGTCTTAAAAAACCGAAACTGAAACTGAAATTGAAAATGTCATATAAGCTGTAAAAGTTGTCAAAGTCGAAGATTTAGATAATTAGGAATATCATTCATCTGATACCATTATTTCAAATGATAATAATAATTAAGGAGAAGGAGAAACCTAGATTGAAGAAAAATTTAATACAATTTAATCCTCAAAAGTGTAAAGATCCTCTGAAAGTGGTAATAAACAAATAGAAGCATAAAATTAATCAGATGATGGAGACATTTAAGTTGAAGAAAATTTTAATTCAATTTAATCGACAAAAGTGCAGAGAACCTCTGAAAGTAGTGATAACTCAATATAAGAAGAAAATCAATCAGATGAAGGAGAAACTCAAGTTGAAGAAAAAGTCGATACAATTTAATCTACAAAAGTGTAGAGAACCTCTGACAGTAGTCAATCAGATGAAGGAGAAACCGAGGTTGAAGAAAAATTTGATACAATTTAATCGACAAAGGTTTAGAGAACTGACAATAGTCAATCAGATTAAGGAGAAGCTGAGGTTGAAGAAAAAGTTGATTCAATTTAATCGACAAAGGTTTAGAGAACTTCTGAAAGTAATAAAAAGCCATTAGAAGAACAATCAGAACCAGAAGACCCTAAGAAAATAAGATAATAATAAATTGAGGATGAGAGATCATTCAAAATATAATCATTCAGAGAAGACATTGATGTAAATGAACCAACTGCCTTCCAACCACCAAAACATAAAGCTAATATCGGAAGGGTTTAAGAAAGAAAAATTGTGGCTGTAAATACAAAATATTAGGATTCTGAATTCGATGGAGAAGCTACAGAATAGTTTGAATTTAATGATAGAGCATTATTATAAGATTCATCTGAGTATGGTTATGGTTATTGGGTGAGATATTGTGAACATGGCACTAAAGAGCATGCTAGAGAAGAGGGAGAGTATTATTTCCTTTCTAGAATGACTACAAATGAGGAGTTTGAAGATTTTTCATTTTATGGGGATAGAGCCTTAGCTATTTTTCTATTTGATAATTCTTTTGTGTTTAGTACCTATGATACAAGTGACAAGGTAAAAACTAAGGATAAGGCTATAGTACTAAACGAGAACATGGATGGAATGTGGTATTTTGTGATGTTCTCGTATAGCAGTCCTTTAAGAAAGGCTGTAGGATATGTTGCTAGCTATGGAGAAGGGAATGGAATTTACAGAGTTGAAATTGATGCAACTCACATTCCTCCTTCTTACATAAAAATGATATTTGGGGGCAAACATTTGGATTATTATGGATTAAATGGTTAATTTGCTAATATATTTTATGATATCGATGCTCCAGCATTTATTGATGGTGATGATGCTTTAGATGAAGTGCTCAAAACATTGAGTAATCCCCCTTAGAATGTTCCTGCAGTTATTGATGAGAATATATTGACGAAACCAAAGTCTTTCAATGGAAATGAGAAGGGTGAGTCATTCCATTTTGATCCACAAGAATCATAATTAATTATTGAAGAATATGCTATCGGACTATGGTTTAGATGGATCGATGATCTAAGAGTAGATGAACCTAATACATTTTAAATTGTTAATTTAAGATCAAATAAAAATAAGACTCCAGGAAAAGGAGTTTTAGGAGATAGAGCATTAGAATTGCATCATACTTTTGGAGGAGGAGCAAAAAGTGCAATTTATTTTAACACTTACACAATTAAAGGGAATAAAGCAAAAGGATAATCATATTTATCAAAGACAGTAGAAAGTTAAGAGTTTATTTGGACTTACGTATACTTTGGTTATGATAATGATGGTGGTAGAGCTTATGGTGCTCTTATCAAACCAGGACAAGTAGGAGAAATTCAATTTGAAGGGATCTAACATAAATTAGTAAACAATTTAATGGTAACCCTTGGTGGCGATGACGTGATATCTCCATTTAATGGTAAGATTGGATATGTTGGTATATATTTGGGAACTGGAGCATACAGAGAAGGACTAGACTTTGGAATGACATTTAACTATGGAGATGGAGTTATGGCAGTTTATTAAGTGGGTAAGCCTGTGACATATGTTGGTGGAGACATAACTTCTGCGAGGTATGTTCAATATGATTCTGCCGAAAATGTTGTTGATAAGATTATAATTCACAATGATGAAGGTATGAAGATTAATGGGCAAAGTGAATATGCATTTGGAATGTGGACAAGATGGTTAAGCACACTACCTAAATATTTGAATAAAAGAGCTCCAATCCACAATATAGCCAGATTGGGAACTTAAGGGTATGTGATTGATTCAATCAATGGAAAACTTGTGAGATTAAATGCTAACAGGCCAACTACACCAAAGGATACAACTTTATCTATAGCACTAACGACTAATTCTTATGAATTTAAAACCTTAGAATAGAAAGATGAACTTCCGTTTACAGTATTGGAAGGTCGGTGGCATTATGTTTATTTTGGATACAAGAGACATGCAGATAAAGGATTAGCCAAGGGGTATGTTCAATATGGAGTTGATGGGGAAGTAGAAGAAATCAGTTTTGATACATATCATGATTTTTTACTTGAATATGTAGAATTCGTTATTGGCAAAACAGCTGCTCCATTATTCAATGGTGAAATGGCTAGGATTACTTTCTCCTTTGGACCAGGGTCGTTTATTTCAACAACTGATATTTTGAAATTATATACTCAAAATTCTCTTCCAGAAAGTGCGTATATCCATCCTATTTCTAGACAAACATTGCAATTAGTTGGTGCTCCTCAATAAATTGAAGAAGAACCAATCTAATTCTAATTCGAAAAGTATCAAGGAGCTGAAGAATATGCATTATCAGGATGGGTTAAATGGAGTGGGCCTTTAAAAACTGGAAAAATTGCTCATCTTATTACTATGGCTTAAAAGAGATTAGATGATTTAGATGGCAAAAATGAGGAAACTTTGCAAATTACTAGGGGAGACCAAGCCTTTACTTTCATTACTTACGATCAAAATGAAGAAGAGTATAAATTGGCTAGTCATGATGAATAATATGGTGAATATGCAGATCAATGGACTTATATTTATTATGGATTCTCTCAATAATTAAGAAAAACGTATGGATATTTGAAGTACACATTTACAGAAAGTGAATTCAGATAAGAAGAAGTCAATCATTTTTACTTGGCTGTGTTTTCAGTATTAATTTAAGAGAAATAATAATTTTCTTAGTTTATAGGTTAAATTAAGACATGGGTGATTAATGTTGGAGATGGTGCTTTTAGGGAAGGTGGCTTTGATGAAAATGAAAACATCAAAGTTCATTTCGGATTCATTAGTGGAACTGATCATATCAAATTATAATAGGCTGGTTAAGAAGCCCATAACGAAGAGACTATTTTAGAGTGTTCATCTCAAAATAAAGAAGTTCCCTTAAAAATTGAATTTGAACAAAGTGATAAGTTACATTTACATGGTGTTAGTGAATATGGTTATGGTTATTGGGTTAAATTTTAATACTTCTCAAATAAAAACACAATATACAGCAGACCACAATTAATGGGATTGAGCAGATTAACAACTAATAGAGAGTACAAAGACTTTGATGCCCCAGGAGACAGAGTGCTTTTAATATTATTAGGAAAGTCCTCATATCATTTTGCAACATATGATGTCATTACAAAATCAAATAATGTTGCTGGAGATATTCCCTATGAAATCGAATCCGAAAGTGAATGGACCTATCTCTATTTCAGTTATAAACGTATCTCATAAACACAAGGACATGCAATGGCATTCTCCAATTTTAAACAAATTACTTCAGGAATTTAGATGGATGTTATGCATTCATTATTGAATGATTATTTGTAATTAATTATTGGTAATGCAGGAAAATATTATTCAACATTCAACGGTCAGATCACAACAATTCGTTTCAATTTGGGACCAGGATCTTATGTTGACTCAAAATTAGGTTTGTTACAAAGGATAAAAAATAAGGACACTATTCCAGATACTCTATCACCAACTAAGAATTATGATGTTTTAATAGGAAAGCATGATGTGGCTACAATAGAAGAAGAACACCATATCACCCATATAAATGAAGAGGCTAGAGAGTACAGCATCTAATTGTGGTTTAGATGGTTCAAATAGTCAGTCAAAACACAATAATTGATATATAGATTCACATCCACAAATCCTGACAGCTTAGCAGATGCATAAAAAATAGGAGATAGGACTTTGGCTCTGTTTCATACAGATGGCATAGAGTTCGGTACTTACAGTTTAAATCCATTTTCTTTATCAAATTCATATGAAGTTTAGATTCCATCATAGTAATTGGAAGTATGGACTTTTGTCTACTTTGGATATTCAAAGCATCATTAGAAAGTCAGTTATTATTTATAGGCTGATGAAGATGAACATAAAGGATTAGAGGTTGCTTTGCACGCAGTTTCATCAAACTATTGGTTATTTTTAACAAAGGATGCTTTGATCAAACCCTTTGATAGTAGACTAGCCTAAGTTATTTTAAATATAGGTGATGGCAGTTATAGAGAAGACAATTTTCATACTCTTTAAGTTTATTTGGCGGCATCAAAATTATTTAGCTCTGATAACAAATTTGATTGGGAAGCGGAGGATACAATAACATTGGTATCAAGTGATCCTGAGAAATTGGGATAGAAGATTACATTTGCTGAACCAGACAGATAAATAGAGAGCGTTTAAGAATATTCGGTTGGTTTATGGGCTAGATATTTATAAGCTTGGCCAGAGAGGTAGTGGCATACACCAACAGAAATGCAAATTTTCAGACTCACATATAATGATGAAAGAGATAGTGGTAGAATAGCAATTGGAGACAGGGTTTTGAGTGCTTATGTTATATTGGATAATTATCTATTTGGTACTTATGATTTAAATGATGATGCTCCGAATGAAATCAGCACTATACCCTATTCACACTTAGAAGGTTAATGGCACTACATTTATGTTGGTTATAAGAGGTAATTGTAGTAAGCAAATTATTTTGTGTTCAATGGAGAGGAGATTAAATATGCTACAAATGAGAAATTGTTGCATAAACCTCTCGGTGATTATGTAAATTTGATTTTGGGAGGAGAAAATGACATATCTCCATTCTAAGGATTATTGACGTAAGTAGCTGCTCATTTTGGAGTCGGATCATTTATAAATGATGGGGATGAATTATTGAAATCAATAGACTCTAGTTTTGCCTTACCTTAAGAATTGACAGTTGAATACATTCACAAGCAGAAACATGGTTAATAATAGTTGATTGGAGAAGGGGACAACAATGATGGTAGTGAAAGCACTGGAGACACTTGGAGTGGAGTAGGTGAATATGCTATATCTGGTTGGTTTAAGATCTCAGAGACTTAAGTAAAAAAAGAAGGAGAGATTAATTCTAATTGTTAATTATTGTTTAGAATCACTAATAATGATAAAGAGCATTTGAATGATCGTAAATTATAAGGAGATAGAGCATTGCATGCTTAGATATGCGCAGGTGATACAATTAAATTGAGTACCTACACTCTTAAAGGACTAAAAGATTGGAATGAGGCTAAATTCCTGGAGGAAAAGGTTGAACTTATTGAATCAAAAAAGGCATGGTCGTATATTTATATGGCTTATAATGAAGATGCAGGTCAGATTCACACATTGTTGCACCTATTTGCAGAAGACAAACCAGTCATTTTCAATGGAGTCTAGCATTTTGTGCCTCATTTTATTGGTATTTATGTTGGAAGGGATCCACATTCCAGAAAATTCTAAGGTGATCTTTAAAAATGGGTTGCTCAATATGGATAAGGGGCATTTGTTGATGTTTTGAAGAAAGGATATTAAGACAATTTACCTAACTTTAGACACATTTAGATCAATCAAAAACATCTGTGGTTTGAAAAAGAGAATCGCATAATCCAAACTCCTGAAAAACTGGAAGTAACCTTTACAGAAGAGACAGAATCTGTTGATGAATATGCCGTAGGTGTTTGGACAAGGTGGCTGATTGCATTCCCTACTACTTTAATTGATAGATCAGATGTGCATACAATTTTTAGGTTCTCAAATAAAAGATAATACTAAGATAAGAGTGAATTAGGAAATAGAGTTTTATCAGCATTCCTCACATATGGAAATTATGAGTTCAGTACTTATGATGCATCCAAACCAGCAAATGCCGTTGATGGTTAATTGCCATATGAAAATATTGAAGGAGAATGGACTTATGTTTATGCTGCCTATAAAAATAAATAGTTCTATGGAATGGTATTGTTTAAAGAACAACAGAAGGCAGCTCATCTAACTTTAGATGTTACTCACTAGGTGTTGACTGGATATGCACATTTCGTATTGGGAGCAAGTGAGTTTGGTTACAAGGCATTTCATGGCTGGTATTTCGATCCCAGGATTTTCTTAGGTTCTGGTAGCTTCATCAATGACTCACAAAAAGTGGTTGAGATGATACATAAATTACATCGCTCACTACCTGTCTTTCCACTACAAGCTGATGATTTCATATGGCCTGTTTCTATGATGGATACAACCAATTGGGAGGATATGGATACTAAAAAGGATAAACTCAATTACGAATTTGCAGATAGGTCTTAGGTTCATTCATATAGCTTTGGTTTTTGGTATCAAACAGCTGTTTTATTGCCTGAAATGGAAAATGATTTTAGAGGATTAGTGAGATTAACTACCAATAGTCAAGATATAGCGGGAGATGAGAAATTCATAGGAGATCGCACACTTGCTGTTTTTACAAAAACTGATGAATTGTTGGCCAGTACATACACTATAAAGGATCCTTCATTTGAACCAGTTTCCCATTCATTTGAATTAATAAAAAACTAATGGACATTTGTTTACTTTGGATATGAAAAAGGTCATGCAAGAGCCTATATTTTATTGCCTGAAGGACCTCAAGAAAAAGAGCTTTCGGTACAACATATCATACCTAATGAATTCTATTTACATATCATCAATGACATCGGTCACCCTTCATTTTGGGTATTATATAGAATTTATGATTTAGGGTAAAATTTATGGATTGAAAGTCAATTTTGGATAAGGAAGTTACCTAGAAAATCCATTGGAACTAATAGAGAAATGGCCCTACGATCCAAAATAACATCGAGACTATGATAAGTAAGGCTAAAAGACATTATGTATAAATGTTGTAGTTATTTTAGCTATTAATTCTGCTAAAGTTTCAAAGTAGAAATCAGAAGAATTCAAAGAATGAGCTTATAAATAACTTATAAAATAATTAAATTTAATTAATAATTTTACGTGTTCAATAATGGAAGAACGTAGATTGCCACCTCATTTAAGAAGAACTCAATAGTAATAGCCAATCAATCGAGAACCTGAATAGCCTATATAATAACCTCCTGTGCAATAAAGATAAGCGAATGCATACTAATAGCCATAACATGATAATCATTAATAATAATACAATGCATAATAATAACATGTAGGTCAATAATAATACCAACAATAACAACCATATCAACCTTAATAACTATTTCCTCAATAATAGGTAGAGTAGCAGCGAAAACCATCAAAAATTGATGTTGATTAGATTCCTAGACCATATGTAAAGTCAGAAGAATCTATTCTGTATTAATAGTAATTCTTAATATTTATAAGAGGTTCTCAACAGCTCCTGCCCCTTTATATCACCCTCCTTCTGTGCATTAATTTTATTAGACTCTTGATGAAGGAAATTGTGGACCTAGATATATGAGAAGTTCAGTATACGCAATAGGAAATGAGCCATCTATTCTACAGTAAACAGAGATTCCTTTTGGTATTGTTGTTTAGCCACTAATGGAACCATCTCTTTTTGAATCAGAATTGCCTTAAGTAGAATTTACAAATGAACCATTGCGTTGCTAGAGATGTAAGGCATATGTTAGTCCTTACTTTTAATTTGGTTAAGGAGGTAATATCTATGTGTGCAACATTTGTAAAATGAAGAATTAGGTGCCACCTGATTATTATTGTGTGTTGGGTTAGGGAAACTAAAGAGGTGATAAATTCTAAAGAGATGAATTACATAAAGGTTGTTATGAGATAATAGCTCCTACTAGTTATATAAAAAAGGAAATACAGAACACTTTGATATTGTTCTGTATAGAGTTGACACAAATATCAGTGGCAAAGGGTTTGTACTCTTAAGTGATTTCCTCTCTTCAATCAATATTGGACACAATTCCTTATCCAGATAAAACAGACATTGCATTCATAACGTTTGATTCAAAAATTTAATTTTATAACATTCCACAAACCTTAACAGGAGAACCTTAAATAATAGTTGTTAGTGAAATTGATGAAGCTAATGTGCCACTTCCACCAGAGAAGCTATTCTTAAACATAGAGAATGACAGAGATAAAATAGATTATATGTTAGAGAAACTCAGTAAGTTTGGGGAAACTATAACTCAATAGGCAAATCAACTTGTTTCTGTTGGAACAGTGTTATCAAATGCAGTCTAATTGATGTAACCCAGAAGCGGACGTATATTGTATTTTGGATGTTCAGCACCAAGATATGGTATAGGCAAACTACCATAAAAGCCAACTGATACTAAATTATTTGGTACTGATTAAGAGAAGTTGTTTTATCAACCTAACGATCAAGCTTATGTCAAATTAGGACAAACATGTCTTAAGAACCACATCTCAGTTGATTTATTTATAGCAAACGATGAAAATTTTGAATTAGCTACTGTTTCTCCAGTTTCAAATCTAACTGGAGGCAGCATTTATTTTTACCCTCATTATAACTAATAAATTAATGGAACAGAATTGCATTACGCATTGTATAGGAATCTTACAAGGTCTTATGCTTATGATCTCATCATGACTGTCAGAACTTCTCCTGGAATTATATTGTTTGATTATTACACTGGAGGTGGGAAAATATCTGTAAGAGACTTGGAATTGTCCAGTCTAAATTCAGATCAATCAATTGCTATAATGTTGAAGTAAGAGGAAAAGATATTGGATCCTGAAGCCTATATTTAATATGCATTATTGTTTACTAATTAATAAGGTTAGAGAGTGATCAGAGTGTTCAATTTACAATTATAAGTTGTTAATAAGAACAGTGGAAACAATGCATGGCACAACATTTTCAAAACTGGAGATGTCGATTGCATTGCTACCTTACTTAGCAGGAAGAATCTACCAAACATAATGGTTCAATAAATTAAATAAATTAGACAAAGTCTATTTGAGTCAGTTGTAAATATCTTACATGCATATCGAAAATATGTATTATGTATATTTAATTTAGTGCTCGAGTAATAGTCCTGCAGGCTAGTTGATTTTACCAGAAGCCATAAAAATCTTACCTCTTTATTTATAAACTCTATCAAAGCGTGATTTACTTAAATACGGGAATGTGAGAATTGATAATAGAATCTTTGAAATTCATTTAGTTCTGACTCAATCAATGCATTTTCTGAACAATTTCTTTTATCCAAAGCTATTCCCAATTCATGATATTAATAATTAACTCGTGGCTGATAAATATTATGTGGGTACCATGACTGACGAGGAAAAGACAGTCTTGCCACACAATGTTGCCACCACAATTGATAAAATTAAATCGGATGGAATTTACCTCTTAGATACAAGCTAATTTATATATATTTATGTAGGATAGAATGCAGATTAATAATTATTATAGAATGTAATTTAATCATTTAAAATTAGCTATTTGGAGTGAATTCTTTTGCAGAACTAAGCTCGATAGAATTATTTACAAAAGTTGAGACTGATTACAGCACCAAAGTCTAAAATATCATCGAATCATTACAGCAGATCAGAGGTGGTACTTATGTTCCTGTAAGAGTTGTTCGCTAGAAGTATTGTAATATAATATATGGGTAGTTCTCCATAGGCTTCTTTAGTACAATCGAAATTGGTTGAGGATGAATAACAACTTGAAAAATCATATGCTGATTATCTTTGTGAATTGCATGGAGCTATCTAAAGTAAAGGAGGTGTGTGAGATAATTTTATATATTAGATTGATAATTAAATTCATGATTGAATATTAGCATCATGATATGATTCAAAATTTTCTGGGTTCGTGTTCTCTCTTTAAGTTTATAGGGGTTGCTAATTCATTCTCCAAGTTTATTCATCTGAAATGTTCACGGAGCCGGTTGATAGTAATTGAAAACTGGGTGCATTATTTTCTGATCGAATTAACAATTCTGCATTATATTATTCCAACTATTAAAGTAATTCTTGAGTTTATCTTAAGATGTCTTAACTCTCAATTTTAGCTGAATCGATATTTTAGGATGTCAAATTAGGAATCTAATCTTTTTTCTATTTGAGTTACTCCTATATGATGGTGAGTTTCTTCTTGATTACAAATCTGTTGAAATCTTCACTTTGTGGATGTGTTATCAATGCGCCTGTTGTTCCAGAACCCACTATTCCATACCTCTTGATTATTAAATATATTATTACCTTTAGCCTACACTCAGCCTAGATATACAATTTCTGTAAGTTTGATAATTCTGTCTGTGTTTCCTGTTATTTTTTCAGTAAATCATTTGTGAACGCGATCCAATCCCTTACAAATTAATTGTTAACATAAATAGGTTAAGAAGTTAGTTATTCAGTGATTTTTTATTCCTATTCTTCATTTTGGTGGCCTGAATAGTTACTAAACAAACTCTCTATAGACTCTTATCTTATGATCGAATCAAATTTTGTAATAGAGCCAGACATAAAAAATAATGATTGTATTAATAATTTTGTAATAATATAGCAATCGAATAGTTTTATATGTGCTTTTTGTTCGCTACATATTATTTTCGTGTAACTTATCGATAAAATATTAAGTTAATTTATTAAATGAGACCTAAAGAATCAGATGTTTACAAGAGAATTCGATTGCTGGGATAAGGATCGTTTGGGAAGGCCTACTTGTGTGAGTCGTTGAAGGATCATTCTCTTTGCGTAATTAAGCAGATGGATATGAGATATTTAAGTGAGGAAGAAAAAAAAGTAAAGAGAATTTAAAACGATTAGGAAACCTATTAAGAGTTTAGAATCATGGCTCAACTAAAGCATCCCAACATCATCAACTTTAGAGAGGTTTACAAAACTGTCAAAGGGAAATTATGTATTGTAATGGATTATGCCGAGGGTATAAATAATAATTAATTGATTCATAATAGGAGGTGATCTGGCACAATTGATTAAAAATTATGAAGGATCTATCCCAGAATCCAGAATTTTAGATTGGTTTACTTAAATGTGTTTAGCAATCAAACATTGTCATGATCGCAAAGTCATTCACAGAGATATTAAAACATAAAATATGTTCCTTACTAAGGATATGAGAATTAGATTGGGAGATTTCGGAATTGCAAGATTGCTAGATAACACTCGTGACAAAGCACATACAATGGTTGGTACACCATATTATTTGGCTCCAGAATTGCTAGAAAACAAACCTTATAGTTTTAAAGGTGATGTTTGGTCATTGGGAGTGATATTATACGAAGTATTCATGAGAGTTATATCTTAGATGTGTGCTAAAACTCCCCCATTCAATGCGGACTCGCTGGCATCACTAGCATTGAAAATAGTTCGTGGGTAGTATTAAGCTATTTCAAACAACTATTCAGCATAATTGAGAACGTATATCTACACTCATTATTAATCAAAGGTAGCCTTGTGAATTAGCTTCTAACAGTGAATCCTGAGAAAAGACCAGATGTCCATTAGATATTAAAAATGCCAATCATTACAAATAGAATAAAGAACTTTCTATCTGAAACCATCAAGAGGAGCGAGTTTGATCATACCATCTTACATAATCAATAGATTCAATTAACGGATACTACTATCCCATTAATAGATGATTAAGATCCTAAAGTAGATCAAACGGAATAGACTCCAAAGAGTAAAAACTAAAAATAATAATAATAATAATAATAATAATTACCAGGCCTCAAAAGTCCTCCCTTCTGTTAATAAAAATAAAGAAAGAATACTGACCTTAGAAAATTGCCAGAAATTAAACTATCAAAGCCTGAGAGACCTCCAATTACAAGACAATAAACGAGTCGATAATAATTATATTAGTTACCTAGTTAGCGCATTCAACCATCAACACCGGATTTGGGAATTGCACATAAATAAAAGAACTCTAGATTTGTAACTAGAGAAAGTCCTGATTCTTTTTAAGGTTCTGATCAGATATTGGAAGAGGGAACTAAAGTTAGCGAATAAGAAAGCCCTAAGTTTTTTTAAAATGTATTAGACAAGCCTCATATTAAAAATATTAAGGGATTATCTAAATTGGATTAGATCTAAAAAATAAAATTAGGATAAAGATCTGAAGATGAAGTTATCAAACCTACATATAGAGTTCACGCCTAGCCAAAATTATTGGAATAGTTTATTAAGAAACAGAGAGAGAGGAAGATATCTGAAGAAATAATTACAACTTAATAATAGCATTAAGAAGTATATTAATAATAATAATTGGAAAAAATATCGGAAACTCCAGAATAGAAATTACTAGACAAAACTACCATTAGTGACTTTTAAACTTCAGAAGAATAATAATAAATTTAAAATAATAAACAAACTGTTGATACTGCTGCTTTTGACTTTTAAAATTAGCTCTAAGTATTTGATGTCACTTAGAAAAAACCTACCAAACAACCAAGTAAGACATCGACTTCCAAAACTGATGAAGAGAAGAATAAAAAGAAAATCTATAAAATTATATATAAAGATCCATTCTAAAAAAAAGCATAAATAATTAAAAAAAGAAACAGTGAAGAGGATATGAAAGAGATGATTAATGAATTGAAAAATGTGCTTGTAAATAATATAGATATTATTATATTTAGTCAGAACAACCTAAAAAAATAGAGGATCCTCCAATATAAGGAGATAATGATTCCGAAGGATCCAGAATATACTCAGAAGATTTAAGTGAAGATTTTAGAGAAAATGCTGATACCTTACCTCCCAAAACTCAAGTAAATACTTGGATGTAAGGCAACTCAGAATAAATCTAAATTGCCAATACTTCAAAATCCTAACCAGAACCTCAGAGAGGAAACCAAAGTGGTTCTAGAATTTTGAGAGATAAACTAGAAATAAAATTAGGATAGCATTTTGAATAATTATATAAACTAGCGAAATTGTGTTCTCATCAAGAAGATTTAGGAAAGTAGCATATAAAAATGGCTATATTGGATAATCTTGATTTGGATGAAAATAAGGCTGAAACATGTGCTACATTGCTAGTAACATTAGCAACTATTGGTTACTGATTTTTTTATTTCTAAAAACTTATCATAACTATTTCATTTAACTCAATCTTTATTCCCATCCTTATAAATTTTAAGCCCATGCAGGAGTAGGTAGATGGATTTCAGCCATGCATTTCTTAATTAAATCTACATCTAAAGGTTTAGAAAATGGGTCAACATGTTCTACTTGATCATAGTTGATATCTTCTTCTTCTTTGTCAGAATTCTCTTCCATTTTTTCATAGCCTTGATATTCTTAAAATTCATCATCTTCATCTAAATTCAAGTTTTCATCCTTTTCTTTTTCTAAGTCTTTTTCTTCACCATCATCATTTTCTTTTTATTGATTATCATTGCTTTAATTATTAATCTAATCGATTGGATATTCAGCTCCTTTGTAATTTGGATTGTCGTATTTCTTAAACATCTCATATTCAGCCTCCATCATAGCTAATTTTTTGTCTATAATTTAATCCTATTATTATGATAATCTTTTTATACTATTGACTTCTGATCCAAGTCTTAATTCATTAATGTAAATAGTAATTAATAATTTGTAGCAATTTAAAAGAAATAAGTAAAATAAGTGAAGTTCTTTTCTATAGCTTATATTAAGTTTAATGCATCTAAATTGATATAATTAATCATCGAGCACAAGTGTATGTGGGAGACAGAATTCATAATAGAATATTCTAACTAATGAAGAGCGATTGGAAAAGGGAGTGCAATTAAAGTGATGGGTCTCAGATTTAGATGAAGTGAATAAAAGGATCTTTATAGCATTCAGATGGTGAAAGTATTAAAGAAGAAGTGGTTAGAGAAATCGATAAATTGGAAATGTTGTTCTAATATTCAATTATATGCAGAAATTAAAATCTCTTAAGACCAATTTTATACATGATAGGAGAGAATGGAGTCATAATATACTAGACTATCATTGGATGAATTGCTCAAACAGAGTGGATAGTTCTTGTCTTGATGAAAATTATTAAATTAAATATGATATAAAGTTCTACTCGTAACCGTTCTGAACAGTTAATCTACCAAAGAAGATCATAGGAGTAGTATGTAGGCAAATTGAACACAAAGCTTCGACAAGAGCATTACGAGAGAACATTTGCTGCCTGGGAAAACAAAGGAAAGGATGTTGCCAACATATAATATACAAAGAATAGGTTCTGAAGTAGCATATCTTAGACTTCAATAAATTCGTGCAGAAGCTGAAGCTAATAAGAATTAAAGAAGAGAAAAACTAGCTATTTTACTTAATGCTGAGCATGAGCAATATCAATAGGAAATAAAAGCAATGGTTGAAACTCCAGAATAGGTCAAGGAGAGAATGATGAAAGAAGTTGCTGAATTAAAACAAAGGAAGGAGGCTGAAAGAGCTAGATAAGCAGATGCAGCATATGATCGTAGATTTAGAGATAATGCTGATGAACTTAGAATGGTCAATTAGCAGTTTAATGAACTATAAGCAGTGGCATATAGAAATATGCAGATGATGGAGAAATAAAAAATGTTGGAGGATCAATATGAGGGTATACAATTGAAGAATTAACTTTATAGAGGAAATGATATATGCAGAATTGTATAGAAGGGAGATACTAAAAAAGGAGAGATTGGAGAAGGTGAAGGAATTGGAACAAAAGGCTAAAGTAGATGAACGAAATAAAGTGTTGGCTGTGCAGACTAAAATGAATGAAGTCAAACATTAAAAGACAAAGGAGGAAATTGAATAGGAAAAATAAATGCTGGTAAAATAAATTGTTCACAATTTTAGAAAGAAGAATGGAAAAGAGAAGAGGAAAGACATAAACATAGAGAAAATCAATATATGAATTATAAAAAGGAAATTAATTCAGAAATTGCATAAAATAATGAAAAGCAAAAGGAATATAAAAAGTAAATTAAACAGCAAGAGAAGATTGAAGACAAGGAAATGATTTCTTAAGTCCTTGCAAGAGAAGAGGCCATTAGTAAGATGGAATAGGCAGAGAAATAAAGATAGAAAGAAGAAACCAGACAATTTTTGCTTAATTTCAAGAATAGAACAAATGAATATAGTGTAAATGATCAATTAAAGGAAAGATTAATTAATGAGGAGAACAATAGACAATGGGAGACCAAAGAGGCTAAGTGGAAGGCTGAAGATGTAATACTTATATATATTTTTAGGATGCAAGAGTCAAATTAATGTACGAGGTTTATGCTCAAAGAGCAGAGAATGTGGAAATAAAAAAGAAGATAATTGAAGATGAGAAGAATGTGAAGCAATTGGATAAAATTGAACTTCAACGTCAAATGGAATTGTATCAAAAGGAATTAGAGGAAAAGCAGAGATTAGAATAGGAAGTAAATTATACAAAAATAAATTGTTTAGAAAATAATGTAAACAAAACACAATTTAATAAATTAAATGGATGAGAAAAAACAGAGATAATAATTGTTAAGAGATAAGAAATAATAGGAGGAAGAGGCACTTCGAAAATAGAAAGAGGAATATGATAAAAAAATAGAACTTGAAAAGGCCAAAGGTCGTGCTTTGCTCGATGAACTTAGAAAACAACGACCCTATTGAATTATTAGAATCAATTCAAATATTATTTAAAATAATCTCTTTATTAATGTATTTAGAGTAGTATTTTTTAATTAGATGAGCATATAAGTGTTTGAAGCTGCTTTTAATTGGAATTCGCATAGGTTGATAAAATAATGAAAAATTGATTAAATTAAATTATTTAATTCTTGGATATGTCAACTCCTCAAATAAAATCAAAATTGGTTCAAACCTTTGGAAGAAAGAAGAATGCTGTCGCAAGTGCAAGTGTTAGAGAAGGAAAGGGTACTGTAATACAATAAAATAAGGTTTGGTTAGAGTGAATGGAGCTCCAATTGAATTAGTCAATCCAGCCCCATTGAGATAAAAGGCTCTCGAACCATTATTACTTCTTGGTTAAGTCAGAACAGGCAGATTGGATATCAGAGTCACAGTTAGAGGTGGAGGAAGCACTGCTTAAATTTATGCCATTAGATAGGTAGAATTAGCAATCTTAAATATTACTTAGGCCATCAGCAAAGGTATCGTTGCTTACTATCAAAAATACATTGATGAAACTTAAAAGAGAGAAATCAAAGATCTCTTATTATAATATGATAGAACACTTTTGGTTGCTGATCCAAGAAGATGTGAGCCAAGAAAATTCGGTGGTAAGGGTGCTAGAGCCAGAAGATAAAAGAGTTACAGATGAAAATTTTATATCATAGTACATTAAAAAATATAAAATATTAATGGAATTTTAGTGTTGTTAATGTTCGATAGAGTTCAATCAGACTGATCATTCGCCTCTTGTCTTGCCAAGCTGTGGTCATTCCATTTGTTTGTCTTGTGTCAATTAATATACATCTGGGGAGTAATCCTTGGTTTGCAAAGAAGACGGGTACACATCTATTAGATTTATTTAAGAATATAATGCAATGTCCAAAGAGACATCAAATGTTTCCCCCATAATTAAAGCATTATTACATTATTAAAGAAACGTCGATCATCAGCTAGATGTATAACTACCATTCAAACTCCTGATGAACAACAACAATCAATTCACAATTAGACCAAGGATGTTAGCGATTTCTCAAGTGAAAAAGGACTTTCTTAATCTTAATCAATGGAAGCATTGCCTAAAGCTAGTCTTTGTAAATTGCATCAGAAGGAACTAGAATTAGTGTGTAAGGAAGATGGTTAGTATATATGTGTAAATTGTGCATTATTTGGTCCGCATAAATTTCATAATTATCTTCCCATCGAATAGTATCTCAAATAAATAGAGTCAGCAGTTCAATAAATATCCAATGTTTACAAACAAATACAAACTGAAAGAAATAGTTAAGAGTAGTTTAAACAATTACTGATTCTTGGACTTAATTAATAATAAAATTGTTTAAAATCTCTTATAGAATTATAATTCGATGACCTTATCAAATCAATCGGAGATATTAAATTATAAGTTTTGCATAAGATAGAGCTTAATTATTAAAATTCTCTTGAACACTAGTCCAATAAACTAGACTCAGAATTCATTTCCCTGTAGAT